CAAATCTCACATCAGTTTACCTTTGAGCGCAGGGCTTGAAAAATGCATGGCAGACCAAATATTCACTTCTATGTATGCTATTTTGTTATATTTAATAATTATCAGTCCAAATGTTGATACAACCAAACACTCCAATGAAACGGGAAGCATACAATAAAGCGACAAGTACCAGGCAGCATAATGCAAGAAAACAGAATATACACAATAAAAACACTTTGAACAGTACTGATGATAGCTAATTCCCTGACAACAACCAAAAATACAACGCTAAAATGACTGCAATGGCACTGTACTGAAAAAATAATATCAGCCTACTGTCTAGCATGGAAACATCCAACAAATTCCCACCCCGCAGTCACAAATCCACAAACAAACATCCCTGATGACCCACTGGAGACCAGAGGCACTCCCACAGACACAAAACACCCAAAATCCAACAGAAAACAACCACACTCAGACAACTGTACCCTGCCAACCACATCACATGACAGCCACCAAGAAGAACAGATCGACCGTGTCACAGCGCCCCCAGTGCCCTCTACGCCAAAATACCAAATATGGAAACACCATCGCACGACATTTGTAGCGTACCGGCAGTCTATTAGCAGAACAAAATAATTTCATGTACAATATTTTGCTATAAAATCTACCCTAATCAGGGATGGAAAAAAATTTATTGATAGCCAAAAAAATAAAAACCAATAAACAACGGAAACCGATTTTAAGGTTGAGGCTTGACCAAGTCTAGAATCATACTACGATTTCTCACTTCAGAACAATCTTACCACCGCGTCATGCTATCTGATTTTATTTTGAGTATAAGTCTGTGGTTTCCCTCTTTTTATGGAATCCCCCCTCTACCTCTTTTGGAACTCTTCCCTCCTTTATTACTTAAATTTTCAATGGAAAGCCTGCTTTTGTAATGCGCAAGTGCGCATTTCCGTTTTCGTACAGTTTATTATAAAAAAATTAATTACTATTTGTGCTGTACAATATCAACTTAAGTACATACGATATATATAAAAAAGCAAAATTTTAAATTTCTTGAACAATTTTTACCATGTTTCTCCCATAGAATTTTGTCCACATTTGCATTGTATTGTTCTTTCACTGGCGCCATCATATTATAAGAATTTCTTTCGAACTGTGGCGCCTGCTGCTGTTAAATTAATAAAACAGAGTTCCAAGCTTTCTATATATATTATAGTTGGGAAAATATTTTTTCATTTATTGTTTTATACTCTCTATACAATCTTTGAGCTCAAGTGTAGTAAGTCGACAAATATAAATATGCCAGAGAGGCTGTCTGCTTTACAAGACAAGTGACACCGTGTTAGTAGGCATCGGTTGTTTTTGAGATTGTACTAAGGCGTACTCCCCAATGTCTTAGATTATAAAGACGTTGGCTTGCTTGCTTCCAACGATTAAAAAGATGAGACAGACGCGTGTGTATGTAATTTTATTCTGAACAAAAAATAACAGGCGAGGGAAATAATGGAAGGCAAACTTAGAAAAAAAAAACGACGAAGGTTGCCAGGATAATTATGCTTTACGTTTCGATTTCTTGCCCAATATTAAATATTATGCGGTTTTAATTTGACCAGCGATTTTGTAGTTTTATTTGAAATAGTTAACAGATTATAACGGATTTTTTCAGAGAGTATAAAACTAATTTACAAAATAACGCAAGAAACGCGTAATTTACGTTGGGTAACATTTTTATTAATTTATTTCAATGTGGTCAAAAATTGTAGGAATTTGGACAGCGTTAAAAATAAAAAGATATAAAGATAAAATTTTACCAGTATATGTGGTATAAATGTATAAAATACCGAAATACATGCAGTTGAAACAGTAATGAAACGAACCACTACGTTGAGTCTACTAATATTTGGGTTTGTAAAACCATAATCAGTTATATAGGGAATATGAAATTAAAAAATTAAATGTGACATTCTCCAAGTAACTATGTTTGAAAAATTTAATTTATCTATGTCTTTGATAAAAATGTACTTCGAATTAGTGATTGTATACTTTTTGTTAACAGATAAATTAGAAGTAACATGAACATATACATCGTTCTCGTACTTTTATTATGCAGTTGGTCCGTCGTTAGCCATTATAGTCAAGAAGATACTGGACACTGTACAGCGAAGTACGAATCCTGCAAACTACATCAAAAAAACGTTGAACGTGGTAAATTATATACCAATCAGATAACAAAAATTTATCTTTCTTGGGTTATTGTATGCTTCACTATTATTCATATACATCTGGAATATTAAACTATTACTCGGAACGATCTTTTGAAGCCAGCCGTGATTAAGTTTGCCACGTGCTTTTAATGACGATATATTGCTTTTATTGTTTTACTTTATACATTAATACGGTTCCCTTTCTATAAAATTGCAACTCTTCCAATAATATTCTTGCGACAGTTGGGGGGAGAGCTTAATAATTTTTCATGATCTAGCTTGTACTAAAAATTATATTAAATTTACAGTGATAAAATGTGCATTCATTTCGCATTTCTTTTATCGTTCATAGTCAATAAGTCATCAATAAACAGATTTTTAACGGCATAGGGTTATTGCTGAAAAATCATTATTTCATTAAATTGGTACAATTGCAAAATTAAAATTCAGAGCGTCATTATCCGGATTGTTGTCGAGGTTTACACAAACTCAATTCTCTTTCTTGGAATGAAACCGGAGGAGTTTTTGAAATCTATCCTACCCCTGTTTCTGAAAAGATTGAAGTTTACTGTGACCTCATGACAGATGGAGGAGGATGGATTGTGAGTTGAATCGCTTTAATGTTATTCAAGTTCAACCATTTTGTTACGTATTTTCTATATTGAACACGAAGGGACGTATAGATCGTTTTGTTATTATTGATATTTGCCATTGTTGTTGTATTCTTCTTTTTAGTTTCTTCTTGTTGTTGGGAGAACAATCGCTTTGTTCTTAAACTACGGCATTTTCAGTGGTTAAATATTTATTATTTTTAGTTATTTCAACATTATTTTATTTTTCATGTTCATGGGTCTCTTTTATACTTTAAAAATGTGATCTCTATCGCAAATATATATTTATATACACCCCCAAGCGCATCAGTGGTCGGAAATCTATCTGATCAATCTTCTTCTGATCAGCAATTGTTCCAAAAGCAACATAATTATAACAAAACGACCTTCAGGACCACATCGTATGCAAAAAACTTATCGTAAACGACAGAGTTCGATGATTGGGCATATATATTGACTTTGGGAAAAAGAGGTCAGCATCGACATCAAGCGACATGAGTAAATAACTTGCATGGCTGTATAAGTAGAATATTGAGTTGTCTATGTTAGCATTTGACATTGTCTGTTCATGTACATTACTTGGATAGCCGTATATGTATATTGATTTGATTGTGTATTCATAAACTATTGACAATTCTATGTAAATTACTTAATTGTGTATTTATTAAATTAACTATACATACGAACGACATTGGCTGTGTATGGACATCGCCCAAATTGCTACATATTATGTTTATCAAGTTGTCTGTTTATGGATATTTCATTGGCCATGTAGGCATATTTGATTGGCGCTGTATTTTTATGAGTTGGCTGTATGTTCACATTTTGGCTGTATAGGTATATCACGTGTATAACCTCACTCGCTCGAATGCACGTCAGCCCGTTAGTGTATTTATTATTAGCTAATTTCTTTACATTGATTGAAACGCAACAATTTATTACACAAGCATGTGATAGATTTTCATTGCCCAAAAAATGAAGGTAAATTTCATATGGATATTATTGATGCCTAGTTCATCGTTTCTTTTCTAATATGATTAATCTCGCGATGTTTGCAGCAGTTCACGCAAGTGTTGGACGATGACGTGATCACGGCCATCGTGCGCCTTGTAGGAGAAATCTGATATTTAACGACAGTAATAAACTTGAATACTTAAATATGTTCTGCAAACGTTGAAGCGAAGTCTTGGAAAATTGTTTGCGCCAGGCCGATAATCTTTCTTTGTGTATTGCATAAAGACTATGTCACATTACTTTAGTGTCACAACAAGCTACGTTTCCTAAATTGCTGTGGAATATCATATAAGAAATGAAGGATATCAACTAGGCCATGTCGAATTGGAATGTCACATTTTCAATCCCTCAAACGTAGGAGGACTGTGAGCAGTTTTAAGAGAAAAACTCCAATACTTTTCTATATACTGACAGGCAACTTATAAATTGCGTTACAGAACTATTTGATATCTCTGATTGGTGTCGGTACCGAAACCAATATTACAAATAGGCATCGGCAAAGGCAATCGGAATATGCAATACATCGACGGAGTCTGCTAAATAACTATATATATATTTCCAGACATTATCGATTGATTGAAGTCTGCCAAAATGCATCGAGAAATCTTTCCACAAAAAAGAAAATGACTTTTTCTCATTGGGGACTTTCAAGATATTTATTATAAATCACGATTAGTTTTGAATTGGTCGTATTAATGCAATTTATTCGCCGTATTACATTATCTTTGCAACAAAATTGAGGACATTCAAAACCTGCATTATCACTTCTTTGTTGAAAAACAGAAGAATATCAAACGATTGACTGGGACAGGGTAAGATTGTTACCAATTTTATAAAGAAGAAAGTGCTGCATTACCAGACAGATATAGGGCCAAAAAAGTTATATATATATTCATATTGCGAGTATTCAAGTGCTTGGCAAACCATTCACAAAAAAGACGGAAGACATGCACTTGGAACAGTAATAAAAAACAACACTACGTTCAGAGTAGTGATATTTGGGTTTAGAAAAACATAATCAGTTGCAGAGAGAATATGAAAAGCAAAAAAATTAACTGTAATATTCCAAGTAAACATGGACGACAAATTTGTCAAGTGTTGATTCATCTATGTCTTTGATAAAAATATGCTTCGAATTAGTGAACATATACTTTTCCGTTAACAGATAAATAAGAAGTAACATGAATTCATACATATACATCGTTCCTGTAGTTTTATTATGCAGTATGTCAGTCGGTAGTCAAGAAGATACGGGACATTGTACGACGTTTAACGAATGCCGCAAACTACATCAAGCAAACGGTGAACGAGGTGAATTATGTACCAATCAAAAAACAAACTCTCATTTTTTTTCATTACTTTTTTCCCGTACATCTGAAACATTAAACTATTACTCTGTGCGATATTTTAAAGTTATAGCAGCGTGATTAAGCTTGCCTCGTCGTTTTAAAGACGCTATATTATTGCTTTGCTTGTTTTACTTTATAGATTCATTTATTTCGCATATCCTCTATCGTTCATAGTCATTGATCAAAGTTAATACTTAAAAAATATACGTTATTTCAATAAATTGTTGTAATCGTAAATTTAAAATTCAGAGCGTTATTATCCGGATAGCTGTCGAGAATTACACAAACTCAATTCTCTTTCTTGGAATGAAATCGGAGGAGTTTTTGAAATCTATCCTACCCCGGTTTCAGAAAAGATTGAAGTTTACTGTGATCTTATGACAGATGGAGGAGGATGGATTGTGAGTTGACTCGATGCATTGTTATTCTAATTTATCCACTTTGTTGCGTACTTTTTTTATTGGAAACGAAATAGACCCATGAATCTTTTTGTTATTATTAATACTTGTTATTGTATTCTTCTTTGTATTTTCTTGTTGTCATTAATTTTGTTGTGAAAACAACAACTACTACTCTCTTAAACTACTGGACTAATTGCATTGACATGTTCAGTGGTTAAAGATTTATTATTTTCAGTTATTTTAGAAATTTCTATGGAACTCTTTTACACTTTCAAAAATTGATCTCTATCGCAAATATAAATATACATCTCCAAGCGCATCAGTGATCGGTAATCGATCGGATCAATCTTTTTCAGAAAACTCAAGCCAGCAAACTTAACAAGCCAAAATATATTGTCAAACTAAAACTATCACGAATCTTCGTATAATTAAAACTAAATCGATTGTAACATAATTAAAAGTGTAATGTTTTTACAAAGGTATTTCAACGTCGAATGGATGGCTCTGAAGACTTTTATCGCGGATGAGATGATTATGTAAATGGATTCGGAAATACGGTTGGAGAATTTTGGCTTGGTGAGTTTTTTTCTATTCACATAAATTGCAACAACCTTTAAAAATCTTCCAACAAGTTCTTGAAAATACTGCCAACTAAAAATAGTTAGATATATATTACTTCCAGTCCAATTTTACATATTCATATTGGTTCCTGTTATGCAAGCTTTGATGTCAGTGCTCGACGCAATACTCTTGATCATAGTACGAAGCATTCAAACTACAAGCTGACTGACGATATTCTAACGATAGCCATGAGGACAACAATTTTAAAATTGCGTATTTATGTTCCTGATATACAATATGAAGCAGGTACATTAAATTTTTAGGTTTAGAAAATATCTATAAGATCTTGAAAGGCAAGACGTATGAACTCAGAGTAGACATGGAAGACTGGGAAGGAAACAAAGCCTATGCAAAATATGAGTATGACTTCAAACATTCAAGTTAATTTAAAATCAAGTTTATATTTGCATGGTTTTATATTATTTATCCTATTATTTCTAGAGCATTCTCGATCGGCGATTCTTCAACAAATTATCATTTAACGGTTGGCCAATACAGTGGAAATGCTGGAAATTCTTTAGGAGATTCCATCCATCAAGGACGACCCTTCACAACTAAAGACGCAGATCGTGACACAGCATCTGATAACTGTGCTGTGACTTTTAAGGGAGCGTTCTGGTACGGAGCTTGTCATGCAACAAATTTGAATGGACTTTATATCAAAGGAGGAAATGCGAAATATGGAATATCTGTGGTCTGGAAAACTTGGAAAGGCTATGAATACTCTCTGAAGTTTGTTGAAATGAAAATGAGGCAAAAGCAGTAGCCGAATTCTATAAAACGTTTACATACAATATCCATTGGTCAGCATCTGTAAAATATATACTTTACAACAATTATAATATTAACTTACACGAATCCAGATTTTTTTTATAAGGATCATAAATTAACCATGTGATTTAAATAACAGACAAAGATTTCCTTGAAATACCTAAGCTTGTTTAATAAAGATATTCAGTTCAATGGCGTCTTTATGTTTCCTCTTATCGGTGGTCTGATAAATATTCCAATGATATCAAAGAGCATATCTTATTAGGAAAAGCAACGCCGTTTACATTAAAATGGTATCGTTCGCTCGATAGCTAGAAACAAGGATCTTATCGACGATACTTCGTTGATAAACTATTGCAGAGATCACTTTCGTTAGAGTTTTAAAATGAATCAACATAATGTGAAGCAAAAATTTCACATTTTACGGCGTCGAAATTTCCAAATCACTTTACGTTAGCGCATTTTCCTAACGGGACCTTTGACTGGGAAAAGTATATCCTATCGATGTCTTCGTGACCCAAGACGTACGTACCTAAGTCGACAGACTTGTGAGATAGAGAGAGTTGGCAAAACCGAATTAAAGATGATCACAGACTAAATATTTACGAAACTGCGACAATGGTACATAACAATTAACGATTGCAAGAACATTGCCCTGGAGAATACCCATTCTTTATAGAGATTTCCTGACTGCTCCTTTGATTTGGCCTGCAATCGTAAATCCTAGTATCATCCGACTCTCTATGAAAAAAGTTTGGTGACCCCTTGCAATGTCTTTTGTTTATAAGTTTAATTCTTACTTACACATTTCATCAATTTATTCAGACACTGTATTGGAACGGTTCATGACTAGGGATGTAAGTTTCGAATATTTTATTTTCGAATCGAATTCCGAATCGGAATGTTCCGATTCGAATATTTCCGAATCTGATTCTATTTAGTATAACATCATATTTTCGTTAACTTTCCTTAAATTTGGAAGAACTATAGCATAAAGTGTGTTAAGATATCAATAATGAACTTGAAGAATGAATATTGTTAGTAGAAAAACACATTGAATGGTTGCATCAACTATCTAATATATTAGAGAAGTTTTGTGTAGTTTGTATAGTGATCGTTTCTTCTAAAATTAACTTTCAATATTTACCCCAATGATAGACGCAAGTGAAACATGCGTTAGTATCGTTTGCGCCGTATTTTCAGGGGAAAGCAAATGATACCGAGGGAAGAAATCGCAGACCTATGTTTTAAATGAGGAATAATGTTATTATTATAATGACATTGCATAGATAATTAGTAGGAACGTTTATATAATGTTAGATTTGTAAAACTTCTTAACATTTTAAATAGTCTAAAAAACATGGTTTCCTCTAAAGCTGCGACCCATGTAAAATACTCATAGCGTTCCGACTCGGGAACGCTGCAAACATTGGGGTAATAAACGCTTTTGGTCGATGTTGAGACCCGCCCCTGCATTGTGCAATCGCCGCGCGTTATATAAACTATAATTTTTTTTTAAAGTAGAATCAAGCCGTTTCTTCTTAAATTGCTTCGAATCAAACTCAATTCGAATCGCTTCGAAATTCTGAAACTCACATCCCTATTCATGACATCTATTTAATACTGTCATTTTTTAAACATAATTTGAAGTAACACCAGACCATTGTGTTGGTTGTGGGACAGTTTCTTGGGCTTTCCAGGTTTCAGTGAGTGCAGGAGTGAGTTAAACGACGGTTATACACGGCGGAATATACGACTGCAAGTCTGCGACAAAAGATCTTTGAGATTCAATTTTACTTGAGTTGTTTGAGCTTGCTTTCAAATTATTAACAGAACGCGAAAACTTCTTTTGTTTTAGTTTCATACAAATCTTCGCAAAATGACCATAATTATTTCAATCGAAACATTCTCGGCGTTACCTGGACACTGTCTTTTATGTGGAAACGAGCCGCAACAATAAAAACTAATTTTCAAGTCATTGTTTTTCTTGCGTGTTTTGTTTCGGTCCCTGATTTGATCCGATATGCGTTCTCTCTTCTTCAGTGTTTCCTTCCATCAGAGACAAGTGAGATTTTGCCAGTTCTACTGTTTCACCAGTGTCGAGTAGGGATTTAAATACATGTTTTGCTCAAACATTTTTTTCTTAATTCAGAAGATTTGCATCCCTGGATTATTTGACTTTTGATTGCCCCTTCTACTTTTCCAGGATCGAACTCACAGTTTATTACCATTTTCTTAAATTTTGTACAAAATTGATCGAGTCATTCACATTCATGTTGCTTTGTGTTGCGAAACAGATAAATTTCGTACTCTCTATTGGCTTTGGAGACAAAATATTCGGTCAATTTTCTTCTGGTATCAGCAAATGAATCATTTTCTCTCTTCAGGGTTTCATAAATGTCGTAACATTGCTAACCCATGTAGTGCAACATTAGAGATTTCTCCCTTTGCTTGTCTTCGTCAGAATCGTTGATATTCATTGCGAGTTCCACATGACACACGATTATAGCAGATAAAATAACAAAGCGACAAAATACAGTGCTTACTCAGCGACAGCCAGAGCTCGAAGGGAAGACCGTGCAAACCGCAGCATAATTTACATATGCAGTGATGGTGGTTGGAGTCGAGAAGCATGGTCTGACATTGAGCTAATTAAGGCTCAGACTCAGCATATGCAATAACTAAACAAGAAATCCAAATGATATATAAAACAATAAAAAATAGGACAACTCCAATCCCGCCACAGCAGCAAGTTGTTTATGGAAAAAATATATGCGGAACAGTTGCAAAATTATATTTAGATCGGTATTACCCGAATAGTTGTCGAGGAACTCATTTCTCTTTCTTGGAATGAAATCGGAGGAATTTTTGAAATCTATCCTACCCAGGTTTCTGAAACGATTGAAGTTTACTGTGATCTCATGACAGGTGGAGGAGAATGGATTGTGAGTTGAATCGATTCACTTAATTAAATTAGATTTTGTTAAAAAAATATCTAAAATATTCATGTTTAATAAAAACAAAACAAACTAGACTTGAAAGTGTAATGTTTTTACACGTCGAATGGATGGCTCTAAAGACTTTTATCGTGGATGGAATGATTATGTAAATGGATTTGGAATATGAGTGGCTGTAACATACATACGACATTGTCAGTGTATGTGGATTACTTGAATGGGCGTCTCTGTATATCTAATTTGCTGCATATGCATATGACATTGGTAGTGTATTTATATCACACAAATTGCTGCATATGTATATTAGGTTGTCTGTTTTTGGTTATTACATTAGCTGTATATATGTACACTTAGTTGGCGCTGTATTTATATAAGTTGGCGGTGTATGCATATTTTTAGCTGTATAGGTATATCACGTTTTCAACCTCAATTGCTCCAATGAACGTCAACCCGTTAGTGTATTTATTATTAGCTAATTTCTATACATATATCTGTAACGCAACATTTTATTACAAAAAGCATGTGATATATTTTCATTGCCCAAAAGTTTAGCTGGAGTCTTTATCAAAAGTTAGTTCGTCGCACATCGTTTTGTCTCTCTTCCAATACGATCGATCTCGCAATGTTTGCAGCAGTTGAAACAAAGTAATGGACTATGACGTGGAATCTGGAATGGAATCTGATATATAACGACTGCAATAAAAAATTTGTATATATATATATATATATATATATATATGCTCTGCAAACGATAAAGCGAAGTTTCTCAAAATTATTTGCGTCTGGCAGATACCCTTTCCCTGTATATTGCATTATGGTCACGTCTTTGGTGTCACAACAAGCTACGTTAACGGCGGAACGCCCATATGGGTGTACTTTTTTATAGTTTTTAAATTTCGGTACTTATAGGGTCAATATCGCTCTTAGCTGTTTATCGACGTAATGCCCTGATATGAGAGAAGCGATAAAACCTTCCAGCTGTGACGCAAAGTGCGAATCGTATAAATATCCTGGATTTCAAAATCACCTGTCAGACGTCTAAAAATGTGATTCAGCTCAGACAGGAAATACTCCTTTATAACGACTTATTATTGTTTTAGCATGTATTTTCAGTCATACTAACTATCCCTGACCATCCCTGGCGCTGTGTTGTTTTGATAAATATGATTTCGAATGCTCCATAGTTGGCAGAGGTATGGAGATTTTTTGTATGTAAAAAAAACGTAAAATTAATGGTAATTTTAACGCGTAAATGCGCGTATGAGATTGTTTACGCCGTTCTACGCGCATTTCCGTCGAAAAAATTTAATTTTTTTGCATTGGGGGTGGTCTGTGCAGTAATAATAAGAGCTGTGACGTCATCAGTATCGGTAATTTGACCTTGAACTTGACAATACTGTAAATACAATTGTGAATTTCAGAGTGATAACCATTTATGCTATAATAGTCGTTTTGGTATTGTTATGTTAGGAAAAACTTGACGAAAACGATGAAGAAAAAATTAATTAATTAGGAATTAATTATTAACCCTCTACTGTACACAGAATATCTCAAAGTCCAATTTTTTTTTTAGAAATTTTTGAAATTTTTTTGCAAAAATTTTTTTCGAGGGGTGTGTTTTAAAGATATATTGCTGAATAGAACTCTAGCAGACGCTCTTAAAAACCCATGAGTAAAGCTTTAGGGCTTAATGGTTGACATAAAAAAATAAGTTTAAAAATACCCATAAAATGGGCAGGGCTTGAGGCTTAAAAAGAGTTAAAGGACTATTTGTCATCCCTGATTAGTAAAGGTAAAGTTACAGAACGGGTACTCAACCAATAATACAAATACTGTATATATATATTGCATACATCGATATAAGCGTGGAACCTTACTACAAATCTATTACGGTTATCACTTGTTTCGTTTCTTTTTTATTGATTTTTCTCAACGCTCGCAGGGTTCAAGTTTAATCAGCTATATTCTCCTGTCTATTAACCAGAAATGTTCCATTCAAGTATTGCATACTTTCCTTTTAAAAATTTGTGAAATCAGTGCAAGCAATCGTGACGGGACATTATATGCTCTTTTTATTTACCTATACAGTATTACTTTAGGGACGTGTACAAGAGTGTTGTAAGCCAGAGTCATAATATATAGGGATAATTTTTCCACTAGAGGAGATTTTGGATATTCTAGTTCGACCCCGAACACTCATGTCCATGTGGCCCTGTATACCATTAAGCCATCTCATTCTGTATTACTGATATTAGGGTTGGTCGTGTTTTTATTAACCTGCATTTTATCTAATCAATCCATTTCTGCTGGATATTAAAGTTTAACCTTGTGAGCGAAGAATCGAACATATATTGTGCGGTTTTGTAGCACACCAAATCTAAGAGGGTTTTATTTACTTGGCATTATTGCGTACTTGTGACACTGCATGGCCGCACAATATTTGGTTCCACTGTTGTTGCAATATTCATGGCTAGATTGCACATAATTTTGAAAATTTTGTCCGCCTATGTTTCTAGTGTGTACTTACTTTAATTATCTTTATTATAAAATAGGAAACTTCGTGAATATTAATCGAAAGGATTTTGTCCATTGTCTCTTTATACAAGCGCCGTTCTAACGCTACGTCTGTCTCGACCTATTTTCTTTACTTTCATTTCATATTTGTTTATATTAGTATATCTTATATTTTCGAGACTATCATCACGCTCAAATATGTTGTTTTTAGAATTGTAAGAACAAGCATTACACAGGTCTTCACACATTTATTACCATTTTTAATTTGGGCAACTTTTACATAAAGCATTTCACTTGATTGGCAGTATACTCCTTGTTCAGCTTCCATAAAAATAAATCCCGATATCTACATGACAGCGATAAAGTATGAACAACATTCTTTGGGTGGCTGTACTCTTTGTAAACAGACTATCGGATTTCCAAAAAACATTGACATTTTCTAAAATCATTTATATGACCACTGTGCCCAATATAGCTGCGTGAATCGTGAGATATAACGTACGTATTTTACAAATGCTGAATAAAGAAATATTGTATGTGAACTCATAGTATAATTCGGCTACTGCTTTTGCCTCATTTTCATTTCAACAAACTTCAAAGAATAATCATGGCCTTTCCAATGATACCACACTACAGAGATTGCGTGTTGTGCCTTTCCTCCTTCGATATACAGCCCATTCAAATTTGTTGCATGACAAGCTCCGTACCAGAACGCTCCCTTGTACTTAACAGCACAGTTTTCGTCAGATGCTGTGTCGTGATCCGAGTCTTTAGTTGTGAAGGGTCGTCCTTGATGTTGGGAATGTCCAAGTGAATCGCCAGCATTTCCACTGTATTGACCAACCGTTAAACGATAATTTGTTGAAGAATCGCCGATCGAGAATGCTCTAGAAATAATATATATATATGAAAAGAGCAATTATGAAAATACAATTATAAAAAGCAACTATAAACTTGATTCTAAATTAACGTGAAGGTTCGAAGTCCTACCCATATTTTGCATAGGCTTTGTTTCCTTCCCAGTCTTCCATGTCTACTCTGAGTTCGTAAGTCTTGCTTTTCAAGGTCTGATAGATATTTTCTAAACCTAAATATATTTTGTAGTCTTTCTCATATTGAATTAAAATATAACTATAAATCATGGATATGCCGATTGAGGATCTTATATTAGATCAATTCTTTGTAAGGAGTAAAATCTCCCAAATTATTGATTTTAAATCGATATGACCAGATATAAATTCTCTGAGTAGCTGTAAACGCTTGAATCTTAAGCATATGACATTTGTCATCACTCAACAACTCAGCAATCATATTTCAAAAAATCTCCCAGATTAGTGAAATTCCCAAGGGAATGGCAATTCGTGACCAATTCTGATGAATCGTGCGTCGATGTGGGTAAACGGAATCAGTTCCAGAAGTATGTGTACCAATATGGAAGTAACTAATTTTGTTCTCCTACTTTACATCATGTTGTGTAGAGCAGTGGTCGGCAACCTTTTTCAAGTGCCGGACCGGTAAAGCCTGAACAAACTTTTGGCGGACCACCTTTATAGAAACGAACTAAGCCTATGCAATAAATTATACGCATTAGGAAATTCATGTTGACAATATACTAAAAACGACGGTAATTCTTTTTAATGCGATATCTGTATTTGTTTGATGGCCAATGTTCCCATATTCGAGATATGGTCGACATTGACACACGTAACGTGTGTTTCTTACATCCAGCCTACTTCGATATTTCGTTTTTGTAGTTATCAATATTGAAAACCAGGTCTTACAATAATAAAATTTCGGGGAAGTTAACATTGACTGTATCATTTTGTTGTGGAGATCTTATTCGGACTGATGAGAGACATTCTTATATGGGCGTATAGAAAACAATTGACCCAGCATTATTGCGACATACTGATATGACAATTGTTTATGAAGTCAGACATGCTGCTCAGTAGTGTTGTGCGGTGGTCGGCAAACTTCATGTTCTTGCGGGCCAAATATACACATTTCCGGTAGCAATATTTCCGCCTTGAAACAGTCCCTACATTAATTAAACTTCAAATTATGGCGCATTCGCATTGCTGACCTTCTATCGCTGTGTTGAAATCCTGTCCCAATGGGATGTCTATGTGGCGTTTTTTTTAAATATATTATCCAACAATACATTGTTTTTATTTACTTATTATCAATGTGAAAAATGATGTTTTTATGGCAACTTTTGTTCAAATGATGATCTGACAAGCGAGTACGAAATTTAATCTAAGTGTAATGCATTTTAGATGAAGGTGCTCAAAGCTTTATGTTCTTCCGAACGTGCACATTACACGTTTTGCAATGTCGCACATATGAGCTGTGGCGCAGTCCCGGGTCTCGGGGTCAAAATTTCCGACGACTCGTTTCGAAACGAGTTTAACATTGAAACCCTTAACAACTGCGATGCTGACTGGGCATACCGAGCAGACTGGTTTTGGAATGCGCAAGAAAGAAAAATATTTTTCCGTTCAAGCACTTTGGAATGCTCGACCCGCGTCGCTCCGTTTCCCAGACATTTTCAAATTTTAAAAATCAAAATTAACTCGAACGACATACAACTGACGCTACTTGTTACATAACAAGCGCCGTGCAGCAGCACTTGTCACCACATAAATCCGTGTAGAGACAATAATATATTTGGGATCAAATTTTTGTTTTATGTATTAACATTCGGGTCTTTCGAGGGCAGCAACAAATTAGCTCGCGGGACGCCTGTGGTCCGCAGTTTGCCGACCCCTGGTTTTGTATTTGTTTGGTTTACTGCTGGGTGCTGTTTTTTAGTCGTAGGGTTTGTGGTTAGATTGTAGAGGTTTTATAACAGCCTTGTCCGTTTTTGTGTCACCGGCAGTAACCTTTCCGCGGACCGTCGATGGGCCGCGGCCCGGTGGTTGCCGACCACTGGTGTAAAGGGACTAAAACCTATGGGAGGAGGTTACATTCACTTGTCTAACACAGCCAGTACCCGAACTCGTAGTAGAAATAAAATAAGAAAAATCGGAATAAAATTATGGCCTAACCCTAACCTGGTACACATACCACGGGAGTACCGATTTTTTTGCACCCGGATGCTCATTATACATGCCTTCAAACGAAAAAATTGCACGTCCGAGATATTTGAAAACTTTTTAACACAAGGCCATCGATGGTATTTATGTGAATAAAACAACTCACCAAGCCAAAATTCTCCAATCGTATTTCCAAATCCATTTACATAATCATTCCATCCACGATAAAAGTCTTCAGAGCCATCCATTCGGCGTTGAAATACCTTTGTAAAAATATTATACTTTCATGTCTTTTTTTTATTATACATAAATATTTTAGATAATTTCTAACAAATTTTAATTTGATCATGTGAATCGATTCAACTCACAATCCACCCTCCTCCATCTGTCACGAGGTCACAGTAAACCTCAATCTTTTCAGAAACAGGGGTAGGGTAGATTTCAAAAACTCCTCCGGTTTCATTCCAAGAAAGAGAATTGAGTTTGTGTAATCCACGACAACTATCCGGATAATAACGATCTGAATAAAAGTTTGCAATTATTAGGCGTATATTTTTTAATGTCATATTGTTTTTTCATGGAACAAATTTACATGCCACTTTTTTCCGACAAAATTTTACTCTATGGTAACTATGGACAAAATGGGAATCGAATGCACAATCCATTCGTGTCTAATATTCAGATTTATTGTTATTTTATTTTTTCATACTAAATTGCTTGAATCAAAATTTGCCAGAGCATATATTTTATCGATGTCAGAGACCCGAGGCAAACTGGAATCTAGTAGGCTATTGACCAAACAATCATCGTTCAGCATATTTTCACATTAGTGTTTCTAATTGATTTAGCTATGTCAATACGTTGCTGTTTTGTCGATTAAAACCCGAGAAAATATTTGCGTCATCGACATATGTGCTAGATTAAAACAAGATTCTATGTCAGGAATTAAACCCCAATTGATGAATATATATATTGATGAGATACTCACAAAACATAGAGTATTCAGAGGCGTAATGGGGACAGCCTTATTAGGCAAAACCAAGTTCGGCCAACTCTGGGATCGCTTAATGACTTATGACATACGATTTGAATATTCATTTTTACCTCTTTGCAATGCTTCTTCCATCTTATTGTATTTCTCATTCAGACGCATTTCCACTTCTGCAATGTTAAAAAGAAACTATTTGCTAAAACCAATTTACAAATATTACATATGGATAAGTTGTGTGTTGATCACTAGTGCCGCAACATCAGAAGCTTGAAAATGGGTAGTTGATTGAAAGCAACTTGATTCTGTACTTGACGTTATCAAAAGGTCAAAGTTGAGTTTTCAGAGGTCAGTTTGTAATATTTTAAAAAGACCGCGCTAGCTTAGCAATCGTATTCAAATAATACTAAATTAAAAAAAAAAAACAGTTCACTCACATCCCCCGACTTTTGTAGTCAGATTGTTGAATCAAATATTGTATTGCTTATGCATGTTCTTGAAAGCAATTTTATAAGGCAAGATGTGTTTACTTATACAAGACAATGTGTGTCAAACTTGATATGCTGTATTACTTATCACCAATTGCTCGTCTGCATCCATGAAAATAAAAATGACCAGGGCAAATGTATGGAATTAACAATACACACATATAGTACCTGAAATGTCTTCTGATATTTTGGCATTGACACGATTGTAATCAACGACACCAGGTTCTCCTTTTTGTCCCGGCATACCACGTGGACCAGTTTTTCCAACACGACCCGGTTCTGAGATCTGATCGGCACATGGCTCACTCTGTCCACCACTCGTTTGCTGTAGTTTGCAATATTCGTACATCTTTGTACAGAGTCTGATGTCTTCTTGGCCTACGACTGACCGACTGTACAATAAAAGTACAAGAACGATGTATATGTTGTATAAGCTCATGTTATTTTTAATTTTAATAATCTGGAAATCGGAGTATATTTCCATTGAATTGAATAATAATTTTTGTAGAAATGTAGTTAACGATATAAAGAGGTAGTCTAAACGCTAAATGATCCATATGATTACTCTTGTAAAATTACGCCTGTGTATCTTCTGCTATTACCTATTTCTATTTGAGATATATATCATGAATATGAACTAAACTTAGAAGTCTGATTACTATTTCTTCTAAACGCTCTCAACTATTTGAGAATGTTGTTAATTCGAGTTTTACATTCCTTTCATTTGCTTAGTCTCTCTCCAGGAGGTAAATAAATAAACGATTGCGTTCTAATCGATGTATTTCGGTCATTGAACTGCTGCAAGGTATGTCAAAGTTTGTTTGTAAAAACATTCTGAGACCTGTCAATGAGAGAGCCATGCGCTTGGATGTACCTCCGTATGGCCTCAGGGTCGAGGTGAATTACCCATTTATTCTATTGTAGCCATATTTTTCGATGCAATTCTGACATACGGTATGTTTTTTTTCTGTAGTGAGTTATCGATAAATAAGCGTTTTGTTATTGTGTTTGAACGCTCCGCAATTACAACGAGTGCATACAATTACATATCTCCCATTGACTCCCCGAGTATTCGAAATCATCAGGTAATCGAAAATGCCCTGCCCAGCCCTTTTAGTCCTTGCCATTGTGACATAACAATGGATATTTCGACACGGCGTATTGCTATCTAAGTTTGCACCGCAATTTTCAGAGTGGTTCAACGTTTTTTTTTCTCCAAAAACTCTTTGCAACTCCGAGGAGTCTTTTTCGTGAAATAAGTCATCAAAGAACTTGGTCTGATGACAATGTGCAGTATGGCTTTACCTGCTCAACTGGACGGGACTCCAATGCGAAATGTCATGAGAATTGTTCATTTTGAAACGAAGCCACGTATCTCTCAGTTGTTCACAGAGAAACAGTAGCAGAAGTGTCACTAATAAATCTAATGAATGTATAAAGTTTACTGTGTTATTGCAATTTATTCTGCTACAACCAATGGCGTAACCAGCGGTTCTTTCGGCGGTTGATACTCTCTTGGTCTTGACAAAGCATGTTCTTTGAATTTTAACCCGAAAAAACAACCTATGCTCAACAGTAAGGCAACAAGTTCATATTCTATCAATTGAAGTCGATCAAATTTTCTATAAATTTGTATAAATCCGACTTCACCTTAATAAGTTCAGGTTGCGCTCTTAGTTCAAAAATTTTGGGTTCAACAGGAGCTAACGGAATAGCGTAGGGGTTCGGCAGGCTCACAAATGTTAAGAACCACTGAACTAAATAGAACGTAAAGCTAGATTCAATATATATAATGGTCTTATGAAAGTGACTTCAAAGGCCGCTTAGAGACAGTTAATAAATTGGTCATTACCTTTCCAAGTTTTCCAACAAGCAAATATCCTATATTACTCATTTCCTCTTTCAAATGTAGCCCGTGTTGCATGACAAGCTCCGTACCATAACGCTCCCTCAAGTTAAATTGTTAAAATAACAAATAAAGGCCTACAAAGTGACTTTATAAAACTTTCATGTTGATGTTGACATTAGGATATTAGACAGATTTTCTCACTACAACAGTTCCTGATGAATGAAAAGTACTGGCTTTTTTGGCAGTGAGGGCGGCATCAAATGGGACCTACAACAATGTTAAATTTAAAACTTGCCCTTTTTGCTGTTTTTCGCGGCATAATTAGGTGGTGAATGACCGTAACCGATGACAGTACAATGAGTAAACGATGGTGACTACATAAGGGGCCTATTCGTGAAATCTACTGGGACTATTGTTGGAAATTTGGAAAAAAATACTTATTTTGATAAATTTCGAATCATCTAAAACGCTAAAAAATTAAAAATGGGTTTGTATTAATTTCCTCAAAATTTATTAGATAGAACACAAGCGAGCTATGCTTAAATATATGAACCCGTAGAATAATTTATCATCGCTCCACCGAAATCCATAGGGTATCCTACACGAAGCTGAACAGTGAAACTAACTACCAGTATCCGTACCCAGTACGGCACAGTTTACCTATTTCCAAAAAAGCCCCCATATTAGAAGACATTAATTATAACTGTGACTATAGGCCCATCTCTCGAGAGACTGTGCCCCATATTGAAGGACAGTGAATATAACTGTGACTGCACGCCCCGCTTACAAGAGACTGTCTGGGCATCCATATCGTCAAAGCGGAACTGTTACAGGACAGGTACTTTCCAGGTTCTGTGACAATTCCGTTTCAACGTGAATTAAAATACCAACTGACTCGAGTAATATCTTTCTGGAGAAAAATTCCATCTTTAACCACTGAAAATTTAATTATTTAACAATAAATCACAAAAAAAGTCTTTCTGGTACTTAAATTTGTATTTTTCTTGTTATTGTGCCGCTTCAAGAAGATCTTTGTCGTGGCTGATAAACTCATTGCATGACATAATATGAAAATTCAATTTCATCTTCAGTTCAACTTTGACGGGATTAAAGTTAGTTTTTTCTACTATTGGTCCAAACCGCATTCATAATACTGAACACTCTTTCACAATTCGCGTTTGACACTCGAATTGGCAGGGCAAATGGTACAATACGTAAGGTTGTGTATCGTCTGGCTACTGAGTGGCAAAGATCTTCACTCTATCTGTTTGAAACGTCATCTCTCGTTTAAACGGAAGGGTCATTGCTGACACTCTTCACAAATTGACGCTATTGGTCCTGCTTCAGAGACAGTTTGAACAATTGAGACATGCTGAGGTCTGCTGATCTGTCTGATCTGTCTTTTCAGATATTGCTCAGAGAAATCATTGAAGCTTTCGCCATTGCTATGCTCCGTCTTACCGCTTTTGTCTCGTCTACTTTGTTTGTTAGAACTACACCTAGATATTTGAATCTTTCTACATTTTCAACGCTCTGGTTTTCCAAAATTAAGTTTTCCTCATTTGTAACCTTTGTAATTTTTATCACTTCAGTTTTCTTGATAATGAACAAGAGTCCTGCTTCAGAACTACATCGTCGGCTTATCTCAGTCTATTAACTATCCTTCCAACTAGTTGCGGCCCATCCACATGATGTTGAGAGTTTCTCGCATGACTTGCTTGAAGAGGTGGGGTGACACCCTGGCCAATGTCAAAGAAATCTGTCATCCCGTGAGCCGATCTTACTGCTGCCTTTTGAGAGTCATAAACAGATAAAGGTTCTCTAAAAGATCAATTATATGCATAGGTAGGCCCACCACACGTCCCGATTTAGTCGGGACAATTCTCGTTTTTGCAAGTTTTTCCGCCGTGATGACAGTAAAAATAGTTTTTCAATTTGATACTATTACAAAATTGCTTTTTGAATGGATGTCCGTAACGAATGTCCGTAATCTACCCACAATGGTGTGGAAAATGTTTAAACTATAAATAAGCCTCTTGAATTGAACCGATTTTGGCCTGTCCAATTCGCATCGACCCGGTTTTTTACTTCAGATATTTGGTAAGCATAGGGGACCCCATGTTTACCATCGCATTCCAGAGGACATCGTGTACTACAGTGTCGAAAGCTTTTCTATAATTGATGAAACATAGGAGGATGTCTCCTCCCACCTCCCTGATCTTTTCAAGAATCATCTTTAAACTAAGTATTTGGCCACCAGTTAAGCGTAAAAGTTCACTGCAAACCTTTCTCAGCGCACACTTACAGCTACGGAACCGTTTTAAAACTACCTGTATGTAATAATACCATCCATTTTGCAATTGTTTAACTTATTTGAATGTTATGTCACCAGGAAGTCACAGTTGGCGAAACATGTCTTTGTTTGAGTGACACCTACAGACGTAATTTTTATTTAAAAAAAAATTCGCGTGAATAACATCCGTTTCCAGTTTGAACGAATCCGATGTCCTTCTATTTTAAAACGCCTTTTTTCAGTAAATTCCGGGACAACCGTAGTCCAGTCTGGGACACGGGACGCCAGACGTCAATTCCGGGACTGTCCCGGTCATTCTGGGTGGGACGGATGGTAAACCTATATATAAACCTGATTTTACTTAGGGACTCGTTAAAAAAGATTTGTTTTAAAACAATTGATTTGAATCATTTTTTCACCTGTTTCGTTCTGTTAATCCTCTTCAAAAACCAACAAGTATGAATGACTTGACCGTATACGCCTTCTTAACATGGAGCGTACCGCTCGTGTCATACCACACCACCACGTGTTGGACTTTTGACCCGCCAAATTTCCGAGCGCCAACAATTTCGGCTTTAATTACGCTATGTCGTGCCAAAGCGCCAGTTTATTAAAATCAGTGATGGGTACTGTAACGAAGTATTTACTGTATTTCTGGCAGAAAAGAAGTTGTATAAAGTCTCTCCATCGCAAAATTCTACCCGATACAGGAAAATATAGAAAAAGGTTGGGAACTACCCCGGTTAAAACAAAAAAGTGAATGTGAAAACCTGCCCAATCGATCCTTGACGTCAATATCCTTCGGAACGCCAAAGATATGATTGACTTTCCCGTACACGTTCTCTCACGCTGAGAAAAACACGTCAACAAACGTGGTTGGCGAGAAGGCCGCAACTGACTAGCCGTTGCAGCGATGCTTGTTAGGTTAGCTATGGACTTTTGGCTATTACGGTATATAGTATATATATTTTGTAAACCTGTAGATCTTGCATTAAACAGAGAATAATCACACACAATTGTAACGACCAAGAGACAAATAGTTCAATGCAGCATGAGTTGTCATTTATTTGCATGTGTAAACCAAAGCAACAAATGATTCATATAAAAAGTTCAATCTATGAATTAGGTAACAAATACCAGATATATTAGACTCTAAAATGTACCCATGTAGGAGTTTTTAATGTTGCCGAATTTCGAATATGTACTTTGAAAAACAGTTTGCAATCTGCGAGTTATACGTACACATTTGTTTGTTTACTTTGATGACGTTGAATCTAATAAAGGTTTGCTACTGACATGATATTAATATACAATAACTTCCATATTCAAATATAGTTTGATGTCGTTGAGTTTGTTTTATAACGATGAAATATTGAATCAAAATACAACACTTTATAAAGTGAATATATCAAAAGAAGTACATTTTAATCGAATTTACTACTGCCAGGCAAAGCACATATCTTCCCATCCTATACTTGTTACTTGATTGTGACTGGCAAATACATTCCACATATTATAAATTGCCTTTGCTGTCGGAGTTATGGTTCTGAAGTGTGAAAATCCCTTCAATCCTGAAAATATTTAATGCAAAATGCAATATCATTGCATGTACTAATTTTATACATCACTATGTAACATTATTGTATTTACCTATTGGTGTGCAGAATCCCATGACAAAATAAGTGTCGTAATCTGTCATGAAGAAATACTCGCCTCGAAATAGGTTGTCTGCATCTGAAATGATAGTTGTAAGTGGGAGCTAATAAATGTAAACCTTGGTCCAAATATTGCAATTTTGCAAGGTGATAAACCATGGAAATACTTAATAAAAGATTGTCGGCTCTAGGGGCATTGTTCGCGGGCCACAATAGTGCCAAGAATAGGTAAACAGTTCAATACAAAACAAACGCTTTAATTATGGAAACAAATTGATAAGTAGTCATTTATCCAGCAAAACATGCAGAAACCACCAAAAACTTACTAAAACATGCAAATGTGTTTCTATATTTATATTTAGCGTAAGATTTCAAACTCTTTCAAACTGAAAAAGGGCTTCCGCTAATGTAAGTGCTTCCGAATATTGAGGGTAATATATATAGGCAGCATTTTTTGCAATTATGTTTAGGCTGGTTGCAAAAAACACCTGGCATTAATTATATTGTTAGACTTTAACATTAATATTAAGTTATCAGGCATAGCCAACCTAAGCTATCAGAATCCGCATTCAATTTTAAGTTCTCTGCGATGCCAAAATTGTTAGCATATATTCCTGACCAAAAAGATAGACAGACAGATAACAATTAAGCCTGCCGAGAACATCATTCAACTTCGCTAGTTGCCTCAGTTAGTCATAACTCAGACAATTCAGTGACATTAGCGATGAAACAACAAAAGCTTTTTCTGGTAAATGTTATTACGAAACAACACTAAATGCGATTTTTTGATTACTCGCCGAATGCGACGCGGGCTACAGATAATGAAGGTTGGGAAAATGGGCCTGGGTTCAGACCACCCTGTTCTAGACGGTCAAAGCAGAATGCGGCAAGTCTTGGGTCTATATATTAGTATATATCCGCAATTAAACCAACAATTTCTACTTACAAGTATCTAGCTCTTCATTTGTTGCGCCACCACCTGGGGTATCAAAATACAACTTCTTGAGTTTTGCCAGAAACGAAGTTTCTAAAAAAAAAAATATTGGTTATGTTCATTAATGTCGAGAATACAGTGTGTTATATTTCTAACAGCAGGTTTTCAATACGCTACGTCGATGCAAATTTGAGAATTTCGGTAAATGAGACATTGTCTTATCAGTAATATATATTGCTAATGCGGGTTTGAGCTTAAGTGCCTATTTTTACAGATGAAATTAATTCGATAAATTGTGTGGCTGAAAAGTTTACTAGATACACAAGTAATGGAACAGTAAATGGAATTGCGATTTGGTGCGATTAGCGCTCGCCTAGGATAAGAAATTATAAAATGCTTTTTTAGAAATACTACAAAATTAATTCAATGTAGAACTATTTTTTCTGTATGTTGTGTCTTTGTCACATTGTTGATTACAATTCACAATGATACAAATTGCGCTCACTGAGTTGTTGATCTATGATGTATGTTTCGCCCTCTCTTCGGATAAAGTGTAACTGGAAATCCATTGTATTCTTGTTGAATAGCCTTTAACAAAGGTTATAAATTAAGCAAACAAATAAACAAAAACGCTGCTACGTGATTTGCTCTGTCAAATGCACTCATAGAACTTTACAGTTTACACAAATCGATCAAACTAGACAGTCTATATTTGAATAAGATTACTGCTAGTTCACCCGCGAACGCTCAGAGTTAGGTTGAACATAACTCCATCTTCTGGTGCTTCGAAATGATGTATATCATGACATGTTCTCGGAAATTTACCAGTATTACCAGGATTCGGAATGTCAAGTCCATCAAACCATGTTCCTTTTATTTTGCCGAACTGAAATACAAATACACTTGAAAATTATTTGAATTCCACTGCATGTACCGCCCTGAATCGTTCGTTAATCGGGGTCCTATAGCTAATTTATCTGAATACGAAGGTTGTGTACAAGAAAAAGAACGAAAATGTGTACAGCTGTATATTGTCGAATTCAACTTCTCAATTCGTCAACTATACCAGTGGTCGGCAACCTTTTTCGGTTGACGGACCGGTAAAGCCTGACAAAACTTTGGCGGACCACCTTTATACAAATAAACTAAGCCTATGCAATAAATCATACGCATTAGGAAATTTACTAAAAACGACGGTTATGCTATTTAATGCGATATCTGTATTTGTTTGATGGCCATTAACTGTTCTCGTATTCGAGACATTGACACACGTAACATGGTTCGTACATCTAACCTACTTCGATATTATATCGTTTTTGTAGTTATTAATATTGATAACCAGGCCTCACATTAAGATTTCGGGTTAACAATGCTTGCATCAAATTGTTGGGGAGATCTTATTCGGACTGATGAGAGACATTCCTATACGGGCGTAGAGAAAATAATTGGCCCAGCATTATTGCAACATACTGACATGGCAATTGTTTATGAAGTCAGACTTGCTGATCAATAGTGTTGTGCAGGGGTCGGCAACCTTCATGTTCTTGCGGGCCAAATATACACGTTCCAGGTAGCGCGCGGGCCGCAATATTTCCGCCTTCGAACAATCGCTACATTAATTAAACTTCAATTTATGGCGCATTTGCATTGCTGCCCTTCTCGCCTGTCCCAATGAGATGTGTATGTAGCGTTTTTTTAATATATTATCCAACAATACATTGTTTCTATTTATCTATTATTAATGTGAAAGATGATGTTTTTATGGCAACTCGTCGTCCAAGTGATGATCTGACAAGCGAGTACAAATTTTAATCTAAGTTTAATGCATTTCAGATAAAGCTGCTCAAGGCCATATGTTCTTCCGAACGTGGACTTTACACCTTTTGCCCTAACGCACAGATGAGCTGTGGCGCAGTCCCGGGTTTCGGGATCGAAATTTCGACGACTCGTTTTGTAACGAGTTTAATTAAAACATTGAAACTCTTAATAACTGCGATGCTGACTGGGCATATCGAGCAAACTGGTTTTGTAATGCCCACGAAAGAAAATACTTTTCCGTCCGAGCACTTTGGAATGCTCGACCCTTGTCGCTCCGTTTTCCGGACATTTTTAAATTTTAAAAATCGAAATTAACTCGAACGACATACAACTGAAGCCACTTGTTTCATAAGAAGCGCCGTACAGCAGCACTTGTCACCACATAAATTCGTGTAGGGACAATAATAAATTTGGGATCAATTTTTGTTTTATGTATTGAATGTCGAGTGGTTCGAGAGTCGCAACAAATTAGCTCGCGGGCCGCATTTGGCCCGCAGTTTGCCGACTCTCAATGTTGTGTTTGTCTGGTTTACTGTTGAGTGCTGTTTTTTAGTCGTAGGGCTTGTGGTTAGATTGTAGAGGTTTTATTACGGCCTCGTCTGTTTTTTAGGCTTGCACGTAATTGACAAAAATCAATTCCGTAATTACGGCCAAATCGATTTCGTAATGACCCCGTAATTGCGATATTTTTTCACACATTTAAACCTATCATAACAACCAATTGAATCCACTTCATTTTCGATTGGGACATCGAGTTTGGGTTTTCATATTGCTGACAGTACTACACGCCGGCGACAGATGTTAAGACAAGAGAAGAGTGAATTCAAATTAATTTTATTCCGATTTTTATCTTTTGTGCTAGCTTTGATTTCCTTTATCATTTTTGCAAATTAACCGTCCCAATTTTATGCGATCAATTTTATCATTACCGACACTGGTATACGGATATTTATGAAACGATAGTTGAATTTTTTAAAATCGTATTAAAAAAAAAACGTCGGGTTTCCAATTTATCAATGGCACGACGAGCGTATTCTTTCGTTTGATTATACTTGCGCTTGCCTCGCGACGAAGACTTGTTATTGCACCGTTTTTAACATTATTCGACTTTACTACCTAGTCAGCATTTTATAATAATTATTGATGCCGACTTATTGACGTTATTCCGATTACCATGCTTCATATTACATTAAATCATTTCGCGGCCTAAATGTTGTAACATTATTTGCGACAAATTTAGATCAAAAATTAATTATTTGCGCATAATTTAAATAACGTACTTATATGACATGGCTTTTCCGAAAATACAAAGTTATATCGCAAAAAAATGCATATTGTGACATTTATTTTGCACTCACGAAGAAATCGACTTATTTTTCCAACTCAAGTCGACGATCCTATCGGCCAAGATTGACACAAATTTGGTCGAGTGTCGGTGGTATTCAAGAATCAAAATAAGTTGCCGCATTTGGTAAAGACAGTTAATCATATTTGGCCGAAATATTGCGAGGCATTGTGGAAAATATATTGAGCAAGGACAAGTCCGGACTGATATAAAACGATAAAACCGGTAACAGAACATCAAGGTTTTATAATTGAAAATGGTTCTCGCACAGAATAAACACACTGGCTCATACTTGATATTTAATAGTAGTTAAATTGAGAATATTGAACTGTTGAAAACAAAAAACGATCGTCGAAATTCTTAAATCTCGTTGCCTTGGTTAAATATAATCCAATGTTAGCATTATTAGCAATAGTTAGCATTATTACATTATTAAAAAAGGTTAAAATATTTCATTTTTATTCTTCATTTTAAAAGTGACTAATGTGCGACTTCGTCAAAATATTATACCAACAGAAAAAGTTTTTGATAAATTTCCAAGATTTCTTACCCTGTCCCAGTCAATAGCTTGATATTAATCTGTTTTGGAGCAGAGCTGAGAAGTTGCCGTTTCTCCCGAAAAATATATCGCAGCCAAAAATATGTCGATCTTCATTCCAACCATTTTTGCACGAATATGTCGCAGGTATATTGTTCTCAAATGTGCCCATAATAACTTGGTATCCTTTTATATATTTTTCGAAATAAATGTCGAAATATTTAGATGGAAAAAAAAAGCTTTAATCTTAATCGTCTAAGCAAAGGCTAATACTATATAACCGTATTTCCATCAATGAAACAATATATAAAAACAATGCATCAAATCTAATATGGCCATTGTTGTTCTTGTGCGCACACAACAGTAAGTTAATAAAAGTAAAATTTTTGACATTTTAGGATATTCGGTAAAACACGAAATGCCAAAGTTATCAAAGCAGTATAGGTTGGTCAATATCCAACGGTTTATAATATTTGATTATTCAAAATATGACATTTGAAATCCCCCGACTGTTCAACGAACTGAAGCTATTTATTTTATGAATTAAAAAATCGCATGAATTTGCAAGTAATTTTCCTGTGAAGCCGGTAAATGTAAAGGTCATGTACGTGCATGTTCGGTAAATCACGAAATGCTAAAGTTGTCAAAACAGTAAGGATTGAATTATTTTATTCGCTTTATGGTAATTACCTTTCCAAATACTGTATGGTCTATTTTGTCTGTCGCATAAATATGCAAATATTATTTCTGTGACATCGCTAAATGTGAACGTCATGCAAAACATTTATGGACACATTTCTGGATTACCACCATGGAAAATTAGTGGTTATATATCCGTTCGTGTTAAAAGGCGTATGATCCAACTACTCACCAGACGGCGAGACAAGTCTCAATTCAAATGTTTCTACCACGCGCCATTTCATTTTCACGCTCATTTTCAATTAACTTGGTACAGGATTGAAAAAGGGAATGCAACGAATGCTCATTACAATTCGGGTTTGATTTTAAATATATATATATATTTTATTTTTGTATCTTTTTTTTTAATTTTTATTGTAATATCCCTTGAATCGTGGTGAATCTAGGGCAAGTCAGTGCGTTTCAGCAGTTGCGCACGCTGCCAGAATTATGATTTTAAAAATGTAAGAAAAAATTTTGCTCCGACTTCCTATCTTATCGCGTAGCTTTATCGCCAAGTTATTAGGCTGCCTGCACCAAAGTCATAAGATTTTAAGAACAATGTTTATTCGACATATTAGAGAGAAGTTTTGATTGAAAAAGGCAAGATAAATCATGAAACATAGCTCACGGTCTTGCTGAACACAGTCAAAAGCAAGTTTATAGAAGACCGCTATTCGCCTAAATCTGGGTGTGTTGTTAATACAACGTCGGAGGATATTCTTGATGTCACGTCTTTTGATAGCCCGGAATCTATATAGACAAGACACAATGAAAACGTATCGAATGCGCCACTCTCAGCCCCTCTATCCACAAATAAGACACATGCATAAATCAGCTTCTTCTTTATACACTTGGCAAACAACAGCGGTTTTCTTAAATGAATAAAACACAATTGATTAACTTAAGTCACAAAGCATTTATCAACAACAAAAGGCTAATTTCTTACCAAACGTTTTCCGATCCGAGTGGCTTATACAATTACAATATATATATATATAAAAGATAAGTTAACAGTCAACAATACGGACAAATATCTTCGGCTATTACACGACGAATACGTAATGCAAAAATGACGGAAAGGAAAACGCTAAACCAGACAACAGATAAAATTACTAATTTACGCTACAAGCAAAGGGAATAATTGTAATAATGGTTCTACAATGATTGGTTACAAGGCAGCGCACGATGCACTGTACACAGAGGCAAAATGTACGATAAAATTGTAAACAACGTACGTTTACAACGTAACACTTGGATAGGTGGCAAGCAACGCAGCTTGCTACCTAAGTTCGAATCTCATGAAAAGTGTGACAATGTGCGGTAGGATTACTCACCGTCGCGGGGTTACTTCGATGTTCGATTTGAGTTTGCGAGTAGTGGGACCGCACGTTCATGACCCGCCCGAATATAAAATCACTCATTTCTCGGAATATTCAAAAACATTTCTTTGCTAACTATTAAATTGCTAGAAATAACATTCTCACTAGAGATCATTTACGTTGGTGAAAAGCAGTATAGTCGTCGTAGCAAATAAATGTAAACGACTAGTTATGACGTTCTTGGCAAATAGTCAAGAAATATGTCGCCGGACGTTCACATTTAATGGTGTCACAGTAATAATATTTGCAAATTTATGCGACAGTCAAAAATAGATAACATATCGAAAGTCAATTACCATAAACAGTTGAAAATTATTCAAAACGTATTGTTTTGATGATTTCAATATTTTTTCATATTTTCATATTTTGAATAGTCAAATATTATAAACCGTTGGTAATTGTCCAACCCTTACTGCTTTAACAACTTTAGCATTTCGTGTTATACCAAATATACTCAAATATCGAAAATTTTACTTCTATTAGCCTTCCTTTGCACATAAAAACAACAACGGCCACATTAGATTTGAGGCATTGTTCATGTATAACAAATTGCTCACTTGTGGAAATAGGGTCATATAGTAATAGCCCTTGCTTAGACGGTTGACTTTGAAAAGCATTTTTTAATCTAAATATATCGGCATTCATTTCGGAAAAAATATTTAAGTAATACCAAGTTTTCATGGGCGCATTTGAGAACAGTATACCTGCAACATATTTGTACAAGAATGGTTGGAATAATCAGTCCCATATCAGTCTCCTTCGAACAAAAAAGAGAGTAGAACTATATTCAGATTCAGATAATTTATTTTCGTCGTGCAAGAAACATTATGAACAACACAAGCATAGTAAATCAAGGCAAAAGAAAACAACAGACACATAATGTTTCGACTGCAATTAACGAGGAGCCGCGAAAGACTATCAAGTCATCGTGTCAGCGACACCATTAAAGCTGAATGACGTCAAAAGAACGTCAAATGATTAAGGTTGAGTTATATATGATCAGGGCAAAAATTTGGAAAACGTAAATCGAATCGAGAGAGTAAGCCAAATGAGAAAAGTTTAAATAAAAAGTATGAATGGAATCAAGAGAGTCGGGGAAGAAATGATTAATCTAGAATTAAGTTAGCTCAGGGGAAATTTAGAAAACGTAAATCGAATCGAGAGAGCAAGTCAAAGAGAATGGTTTAAAAAGAAATGTGAAGGGAATCGAGAGAGAAATGTTTAAATGGGAACAAATATCCATCGTGTCGAGTAAAAGTCAGAAAAAACGCGTTTACGATAAATCAGTATGTCAGTCTCGCAGCGTCATGCTCGGGTGATCGCATTCACAATATGAAATTGTTGACTGGCAGGACGCTGCAGAAACTTAGCAACTGAAGGGGAATTCCCAGCAACCATAACAGGGGGAAGCCGGGTTGGATTAAGTATCGGTACTGATACGGCAATATATAAATAAATAAATATATAAGTACAATTCAGACAGGAGAAACAGTTTTGATGGGAAAAGTTCATTCCACATGTACTTTGGGCAATGATGCGAACTCAGTGATAATGGTCGTGCTCTGTGAGGACAATAAAGAAAAATGGTGACAATGCCAATGGCATTAAGAGGTGAAAAAAGTCACGATCGTTTAGGTAAAATAGAGATCCTGGACCGAATGACCAGTTATAGAAAAATCGAGCCACAAAATGTGGGGGACATGGGTTGTATACGGTACACTACTATACTTATAAGGGATCTATACCACTTATTGAAGCAGACTAGAAGGATACATAGGAATCCAGGTAAAAATTTTTTCAAAGCTTGTTTGAATGAATTGTAATTCATAATTCGAATGTTATCGGATACAGCATTCCATAATTTAACGCCTGTATATTTTATCGAATTTTGAGTACGTTTGGTTGAAAAATGAGTTACATAATAGGAACTACTGGCAGAGGATCGTGTTCTATAAGAATGCACGCTGCTTTGTTTCAAGAAATAATCAGTGAATGTAACAGGGAGTTTTTTGTTGTGATGTTGGTGCATCAATTTCAATATCTCTAATTTATAAATATCCACCATTTTAATAATACGAAGTTTATAATAGATTGGATCAAGTTGGGCATAAGGTCCACTGCCAGAGACAGCACGAATGGCCCTATTCTGCATTATTTCAATTTTGCGTAAAAGAGTTTTATCAGCGGAGCCCCATGCAGAAATACCGTATTGAATATGGGCTTGGAATAACGAGTGGTAAACCATACGTAAAGTTGAAATTGGTATAAAATGCCTGAGTTTGTACAGTATTCCCACCGACTTAGATAACTTAGCAGCCAAGTTAGTTATATGAATATCCCATTTCATTTGACTGTCTAAATATATGCCCAGATATTTATAAGAATTGACTTTTTCTAATGTAATGTTGTCAATACAGATTAATAAATTATGATTGGCTTTATGTTTATTTGGTGAAATAAGCATAGACTTAGATTTATCGATATTTAATGTCAATTTGTTAGCCTTCATCCAATTAACCACTTTTACAATTTCAGAGTTCACTCGTGACTGTATAGCTGGTAGAGATTTGTCACTATCTAGAAGTATAGTGTCGTCAGCGAATAGTTTTGCGAAGAAAGAAGAACAGTGGGTGAGGTCATTTATATAGACGAGGAATAATAATGGACCCAACGTCGAACCCTGTGGGACCCCGTGAGTCACTGGTAAGACTGGGGAGCAGTGGGTTCCTACTTGAACGAATTGAGTTCTGCCACTCAAGTAACTGTAGAGAAGTTTATTTGGTATACCTCTGATACCATAATGCCATAACTTTTGGGTTAGAATATTGTGATTAACGGTATCAAATGCCTTTTGAGATCTAAAAATATAGCACTAACAAATTCTTTTTTTTCTAATTTGTCATAAATGTAAGAGATGGTGTCTAAAATTGCATGAGACGTAGAGAGATTACTCTGGAAACCAAATTGATGTTTATTTATCACGTCATATTTTGTAAAGAAATTACTGAGCCTATTATGAATTAAACGTTCAAATATTTTATTAATTGACGAAAGAATTGAAATTGGCCTGTAATTTGACACAAGTTTTTTATTGCCAGATTTAAAGAGAGGAATTACACGAGCAACTTTGAGGGATGAGGGGAAAATTCCAAGCGAGAGCGAGCAGTTGAACAATTTAACTAGAAGCGGCGCAAGCGGGTCAGCAACGAATTTCAGGAAGCGGGGAGGAATGTTATCCGGCCCAACTGCCTTTCTCTCCTTCAAGTTTAGAATTTCCACTATCATTTCGGATTCTGTGACCAAAGTCATAAAAGCTGATTTACTAACACGATTACGAAGAAATGGCTTAAATTCACACATGTCATTAGAAAACTTGGCTGCCAAGCTAGATCCAGCAGTTGAGAAGTACTTATTAAATTCGGTTGCGATTAAGCAACCGTCTTTAACTGTACTGCCATTTTCAAGACATACTTCAGCTATCGAATGCTTGGAATTATTTTTTGTGGTTGTGATTTGATTAATGATTTGCCACGTAGACCTGGGGTTACCCTTGGTCTGGGAAATAAGATTTTGGTAGTGAATTTGCTTCGCTTTGTCTAATACGGAAGTAAGTGTGTTGCGATACTTTTTGAAGTATGAGCGTTGCAAGGGGGTTCCACGTAAAAAATGGGTTTTTAAACAACTTATTTCTGTGTTTCATACAAGTGATTAACCCTTTGGTTAGCCATGGCTTTAGCCTCAGCCTTTTTTGACGACGCGATAGAGGTCGAAGTGGGGCATGCCGGTCGATGGTACTAACGAATGACTGTATGAATTCGTCAAATGTGTTGTCAAAGTTCTCAGCAGTTATATTAATTGAGGAAAATCGATTATTCATAATGTTATGTACCTCAGATCGAAAGGCATCAATTGAGAACAGTGACATATCTCTTGACAATACACACTCATTCGTTTTTGTGGGTCTAATGCCTCTTAAACAACAAAGTATGGGGAAATGGTCAGTTATATCGGGAATGCACGACAAAGGAGTCAATTTCTAGATGTGTCAAATTGGTGTATATGTGGTCAATAAGAGTGGCTGAGGTGTGGGTGACTCTTGTGGCTTCGGATATTAATGAAATAGCATTGTGTGACACAAGCATATTAATGTAATTTGCAACTTGGGTGCTGTTAGTTGCTGAAAATAAATTAATATTAAAATCACCAACAATGAGGAATTTTTTATTAGCCAATTTAGACAGGATTGTTCGAGTAAGTTCGTAAAGTCGTAGATGTCATTGCGTGGGTGTTTGTAAATAATACCGATTACCAGGTTATCTATAAAATTTTCTAAAGAAATTTCAAACCATAAATTTTCACAATTAGAGTACCGAATGCTATTTTCTATGGTTACAGTATAGGTAACATCATTTCTAATATACGCACCTACGCCTCCTGCTTTAGTAAGAGATGGTGCATGGATGAAAGTATACCCATCTATGTTAATATTTGAAGAATAATTATCAACTAGTTTGGTTTCACTTATAGCTATTATGTGTGGCGGTAATGGGAAACAGGATAATAAGAAAGTTAGTTGGTCAAGGTTTTTATGGAGAGAGCGAATATTAGTATGAAAAATAATAAGATCAGAAGACATACGAATAGAATTCAATTTCGAAACTTCAATATTGTTGCAGACAATGTTAAAATTGTTGGACATTTACGTTAAGAGAATAACATCATGAATTTATAGAGAATCAGTATAAGAAGATGCGAGTAATAAAATATTATTGCAACTGACCTATTTGATGAATGCTAGGTCATTCTCATTTCTGATTTGTCTTGTTTTCGTGTCATCGTTTTTCTTGACAAAAATTCTCCCATTGTTAGTCCAAAGGTATTTGTATCCACATTGTCTTTTTAGTTCCCTTGATTGAAAATAAAGCGATCTAGCTGTTTTCGTTAAGTTCTCCGCAATGAAAATTTTTGGAGAAGTTGAAGAATTTATTAGGGTCTTTTGCTGTTCTCAGTTTTTTTCTATTTGTAATTATGTTGGTACGGACTCTCCTAGAGGTGAAGCGAGCAATTATGGCAGAAGGTTTATCTGAGTTATCATGTGCTAGTCTATGTGAGTTGTAGATATCTGCGGTGGTAATGTTCACTCCAATGATCTTTGACAGTTTACATACAAGCAGGTCGGTGTTTTCGTTATTATTATAAGCTATACCGTGGAACTCGAGACATTCCAATCGTGATCTTCTCTCTTGGTCTTCAACACGGTCTTCCAGGTGGTCGCAATCATCCTCAAGGTCTTCCACAAGTTCTTCTAGATCTTTAATCTTTTTCTGCTGTTTTTTCACCATATCTTGTGTGGATTTAAGAGATTTATTAATCGAGTCGAATTTATCTGATAAGAATTTTTGGCTGTCCCTGAGGTCACTCTGAGCTTTAGCAATCACACTGAGTTCGCCTCTCATATCTTTCAATGAGGAGTCTAGTGAACTCAGAATGTGTTGAAAACTAGACTCGGCAACTCTTGAAAGATCCGATGGACTGGATGGTGTTGTTTTGGTGGTCAAACATTCATCAATCATTGATGGCAATTGTATCAGTACTTGGCGAAGAATAGTGCTTGTTATAACCGCCATTAGTGCGCTATCTTCCTCCTGTGATGTACTTGGCGAATCAGGAATTGGACGCTTGGAAGAATCCATACTCTACAAGTCTACAGTATATTATCCTAAAGTTTCTTAATCAAATAGCGAATAATCATAGCCATAACAATATTAACAAGATGATACGGGTAATCCTCATGGTTAAAATTTGATTCGACAACATCTTTACAAAATCCTTCAAATAATACATTTTTTTTTTTTCAAAATATGAAATCTTGCGTTTATTTTCTTCTTGTAAACAGCCTACGCTTTCAAAAAAATTGACTAATGTTTCCTGATTAACGATTAATGGCGCAAGCTGATTTCATTTGATATATAATAGGATGGGAAGATATGTGCTTTACCCCACGAAATAAAGTCGACTAAAAACCAATTCTTTCAGTGAAGTGAAATGAATACACGACATCCAACTATATTTACAAATTATTTGTGATCGCCCACAAAAACATATTACGGAGTCAGTTAGCAATGGAAGTGCAAACGTCACCAAAATGCTATTGGTTTTTTCTATTTTATATTCGGCCATTCGTGGACCAATTTTGCTGGTTTTCTAAACGCGCCACCACGTGAATTTTTTTAGCTATTTAATTCTCATCAAACTTGGGCAATATGCTTTACCTAGATTTAAAGCTTTATTATATTACCGTTGTAAATTGTGCAATTTTACAGTTCATATTTAAAATTAACCTTTCGTCTTCTGTTTTTCACAAATCGCGAAAACAATGAGGAACCCTTGAGTTCATGACAATTATGCAGGTGTGGTGAATGAATTGTATACTTTAGAAAATAAACAATTTCCGATATTTGACATAATGAAAAATAAAATTAGTTTCAATTTAATTTTATGTCGTATCAAGGAAGTTGTTATACATTAAACAGACATATCGGACAAAATTAAACTCCTTGAACAATTTCTACTATGTTTCTCCCATAGAATTTTGTCTGCATTTGTATTGTATTGCACATTCACGGGCGCCATCCCCCTTCATATGATAGGAATTTCATGCGAAATGTGGCGCCTCCTGTTAAATTATTGAAACTAGAGATCCGTTTTTATATATATATTATAGTTAAGATTTTTTTTCAATTTATTTTTTTTACTCATGCAATCTTTGAGCTCAATTCCGGTGAGTGAACAAATATAAATATATCGCAGAGGCTGTCTGTTTCACATGACCAGTAACACTATGTTAGGCATCGGTTGTTTTTGAGATAGTACCAAGTCGTACTCCCCAATGCCTTAGATTCAGAATGTAAAGACTTTAGCTTGCCTTCTTAGAACAAGTAAATAGACGAGAAAGACGCGTGTGTACGCAATTTGATTCTGATAAAAAAAAAACAGGCGAGGTTAAGCATTTTGCCTAACCTTCCGATTTCTTTTTGTATAATTTTTTTTTGTAGTTTTATTTGAAATAGTTAACAGATTATAAAGGATTTGAATCAGAGAGTATAAAACTAATTTAGAAGATAACGCAAAAAACGCGTAATTTACGTTTGGTAACATTTTTATTAATTTATTTCAACGTGGTCAAAATATGTAGAAATTTGGACAACGTTGAAATTTTTTGATGGATCAAGATTTATTGTTACCAGTATAGGTGGCATTCACAAAAAAGATCGAAAGACATGCAATTGAAACAGTAATGAAAAAAAAACTACGCTAAGAGTACTAATTAATCAGTTGTATAGGTATAGCGAATATACAAGCAAAAAATTAACCGTAATATTCCAAGTGAATATGAATAGCAAATTTGCAAAGTATCTATTCATTAAAGTATTAATTATTATTATATGTCTTTGATAAAAATATGCTTCGAATTAGTTATCATATACTTTTTTGTTTACAGATAAATTAGAAGTAAGATGAAGTCATACATATCCATCGTTTTTGTACTTTTATTATGCAGTTGGTCAGTCGTTAGCCATTATAGTCAAGAAGATACTGGACACTGTACAGCGAAGTACGAATCCTGCAAACTACATCAAGAAAACGTTGAACGAGGAGAATGATGTACCAATCAGATAATACTTTCAATACCTTCAATAATACCTTCAATACTTATTCCTATGCATCTGGAATATTAAATTATTACTCTTATTACTCTGAGTGATATTTTAAAGCCAGCATCGTAATTATGTTTATCACGTCGCTTTTAATAACGATATATTGCATTGCTTGTATTACATTATAGATTTTACTACGGATGCCTTTCTATAAAATTCTTAAGGGCTTAATAGTTTTACATGAACTAGCTTGTATTAAAAATAAAATTAAATATATATACAGTGATTAAACGTGCATTCATTTCACATTTCCTGTATCCTTCATAGTCATTGCTCAAAGTTAATACTACAAAAAATATATGTTTCGTCAATAAATCGGTATAATTGTAAATTTAAAATTCAGAGCGTTATTATCCTGATAGCTGTCGAGGATTACACAAACTCAATTCTCTTTCTTGGAATAAAACCGGAGGAGTTTTTGAAATCTATCCTACCCCTGTTTCTGATAAGATTGAAGTTTACTGTGATCTCATGACAGATGGAGGAGGATGGATTGTGAGTTAAATCGATTCATTGTTATTTATAATTTAACAATTTTGTCGCGTACTTTTCTAATATTGAACACGAAATGGACGTATGGATAGTTTTGATATTATTATTTGTTATTGTTGTTGTATTCTTTTTGTAGTTTCTTCTAGTTGCATTTTTCTTAAACTACTATTTTTAGTTATTTCGAAAATTACTGTGGAACTCTTTTGAAAAATTGATCGCTATCGCAAGTATATACCGTATATTTTAATATAAATCTCCGAGCGCATCAGTGATCGGAAATCTATCTGATCAATCTTTTCCATGAAAACTCATGCAAGCACACTCATCCAGACAAAGGTGTCAGATTAAAACTATCCCAAATCTTCGTACAATTAAAACTAAATCGATAAGGTATATAATTAAAAATAGAATGTTTTACAAAGGTATTTCAACGTCGAATGGATGGCTCTGAAGACTTTTATCGTGGATGGGATGATTATGTAAAGGGGTTTGGAAATACGATTGGAGAATTTTGGTTTGGTGAGTTTTTTATTCACTTGAATGACATCAACCTTATTTTGCTGCAACAAGTTCCTAAAAATGTTGACAATTGAAAAATGCTCGAGATATACTTCATCGCGTCCATTTTAAATATATATATATATTGCTTCCTACCATGCAACCTTCAATGGTTGACGAAAAACTCCTGATCATAGTATGAAACATGAAACTTATGCAAACCAGAAACTGGATGACGATATTCTATAGAATCTATACAATCTGGTAAAAAATGAAAATTAACTCGCGGCAACTGTTAGACGTAATGACATCAGTCGATTACGTGAAGAGCACCATATATAGCTATGTGGACAACAATTTTAAAAGCCCGTATTTGTGTTACTGATATACATTATGAAGCCAGTACATTAAATTTTTAGGTTTAGAAAATATCTATCAGATGTCGAAAGATAAGACATATGAACTCAGAGTAGACATGGAAGACTGGGAAGGAAACAAAGCCTATGCAAAATATGGGTATGATTTCGAACCTTCAATTTAATGTAAACTTTATAATCAAGTTTATAAATGTATGTTTTTATATATCCTATTTTTTCTAGAGCATTCTCGATCGGTGATTCTTCAACAAATTATCGCTTAACGGTGGGTCAATACAGTGGAAATGCTGGAAATTCTTTAGAAGACTCCTATCAAGGACAACCCCTATACATCAAGGACGACCCTTCACAACGAAAGACGCAGATCATGACATAGTATCTTACAACTGTGCCGACACTTACAAGGGAGCGTTCTGGTACGGAAATTGTCATGCAGCAAATTTGAATGGGCTGTATATCAATGGAGGAAATGTGAAATATGGAATATCTGTTACCTGGAAAGCTTGGAAAGGCTATTATTATTCTCTGAAATTTGTTGAAATGAAAATGAGGCAAAAGCAGTAGCCGAATTATGCGATGAGTTTACATACAATATTTCATTATTCAGCATTTGTAAAAATACAAACGTTTTATCTCCGCGATTCAAGTAGTTTTAATGGTCACAATGGCCATATATATGATTTTAGGAAGTGACAATGCTCTTTTGGAAATCCGATAGTCTGTTTACAAAGGGTCTAGCCACCCAAGGAGTGTTGTTCATACTTTATCGCTGTCATATAGACAGCGAGATTGGACTTTATGGCAACTGAACAAGATATATACTGCCAATGGAGTGCAGTGCTTTATGTAAAAACTTGTCCAAATTAAAAATGGTAATAAATGTGTATAGACCTGTATAATGCTTGTTCTTACAATTCTGAAAACAACATATTTGAGCGTGATGATAATCTTGAAAATATGAGATATACTAATACAAACAAATATGAGATAAAAGTAAAGAAAATAGGTCGAAAAAGATGTAGCGTAAGAACATCGCCTGTATGAAGAGACAATGGACAACATCCGTTCGATTAATAGGCTAAGGTAAAAATAATTAAAGTGAGTAGACGTTAGAAACATAGGCAACCAAATCTTTCAAATTTATGTGCAATAACCCTGAATATTGCAACCATGGTGGAACCAACGATTGTGCAGCCGTGCAGTTTCACGAACACGCAATCTTGCCAAGCAAGTAAAACCCTCCGAGGAATTGGTTTGCTATAAAGCCACATAATTAGTTCGATGGTTTGCTCTCATAGGTAAACTTTAATATCCAGCAGAAATGTATTGATTAGATAAAATACAGGGCAACAAAAACACGACCAACCTTAATATCAGTGATACAAAAGGAGCCTGTATTGGGTTACATTGATAGGGGTGTTCGGAGTCAAACATGAATAACCGGATATCTACTTTGGTGGAAAAATTATCAGCTTATATTATGACTCTGACTCGACACACTACTGTACACGTCCCTAATGTAATATAAGTGAATAACAAAAAGCTAAATACAGTCCCGCGACAATTTCTTGCACAGATTTCACAAATTATACACAAGGTTTTGCAAGCTAACGCAAAAAACCTTGCTAACGCTAGCCATTTAGGTATTAAAATTTAAGAGCTGAAACGCCTCAAATTTTAACTACTAATTAAACTAGATTCCAATCTGACTCCAGAATATCAAAGAATATGGGTTAGCGTGTAACTGAAATAGCTGTTAATTTGATATAACAGTAAGGATCAAAGCGAATGTCTCTATAAGATTTTATTTCCATCGATATTATATGACAATAAACTTATGACACATAGACAACTCATACTTCTAAATTATTATTATTGACAGATGAAATTAGTTAAACAATTGTTTTCGAGAATCGCTTTTTAAAAAGGATCACATATATTTCATATTACTCGTTAAAATCGTCTTTCTCTTTTTTCTCTTAAAACCATCCGTTTTCACGGGGCAGGATCTTGCTCCGGCTCAATTGTTGCAAAACAATCCACATGATGGAAATCCATATACAAGAAGATGAATTATGCATATTGCTAATAATCAAATGCGAAATATTCATTTTGGCTACATTTAATTTCGGAAGTCAATAATAGAATGTTATCGAATTTTCCAATATTATGACGTGAAAACTATTTTTAGTGTTGATGTCAATTTATTCAAAATTATCGGTTAATTTGTTACAGAGCATTTAACAGTATCAAGAAATGGACATAATGTATTAGATATGTGATGACACGTAAGTGAACCTTACGATTCCCTTATCTGATTAACACATAGGTTTATGTTTGTGTCGTACGAGCTCGGGTTTCTACTAAATTATATGCTGGCAGAAGTTTATGTTAATTCAATCGAATTATATATTTTGCAAAATAATTAGGATAAATATACACAGGAAATAAACGCTCCACATTTGGGTGAAAAATTATTGTAAAATTTTGCATGTTTACTTTTTGCTGCACCTATTGCTGTTTATAATTCAGATATCACGAATATCAACTCGATTAAGAAAATGACTTACTATTCCTTTTTACATACGAGTCTTTATTTTTAGAAAATATGATAGCATACAATGCGCCTAATTCTTTTCTTGATATTACTCTACCCAGGTTTCAAGCCTGATTACTAATTCATTCATAGTATACGGTCTTGAGTATTTATCCGAAATGTTCCATTTGAGTTTTGTATACTTTTGATTCGTATAATTTGTGAAAACCAGTGCAAACAATTGTGACGAAACTGTATTTTGCTCCTTTCTATTTCCTTGTGTTACATTAGGGACAGATGAAGGAGGATGGAGAAGAAGAAACACCATAGTTTTCAAACATAGATATAATTTGATTAGATGAGACTAGGACAGGGAATGAATGGGTAATCAGTAAATCGTTCTTGGTCTCGGGTTACAAATAATTTTGACGGTTAACCGCTATTCCAGGTATCATTCCCTTTTCAAATGTACACTCATTTAATGATAATTAATTTGCACATATTTTCCTTGTAATAAAACTAATGGGTGCTGCCAATAAATTATAACGAATACATATTTCGGAAATTATGACTGATGATGACAGTGAATAAATAGTTCCCAATCAAAATATATTGTTCATAAATCAACCATATTCGAATTACAATAATTTTAACAATGGCTATTGAATGCAAGTTTACAAATGCCGATTCTGCAAACGAAAATTAATATTTACGAAAAGTGCTGCCGACGCTTCACTGAATACAAAATTTAGACTTAAATTTATCATTCAAATTATGTCTGATTTCAGTATCAATAAGAATATAATACTTCTCATTATAATAAAGTAGTTTTATTCTTGCTAGTTACTAGACTAATCCATCAGGACAGTTACGAGTATTACTACGCCAAATTTACATGAAAATTCTGTAAAAAATAACTTAACAAACCCAATTTTCATATTATCACCCGTGAATTGAGGCAATGCTGTTTTCTCATGTGCTTTTAACACCAGCCGTTGTTAACTGACTCATTTAGTCCAGTTAACTGTCAAATTTTAAGTTTTTTTATTAAATTTCCAGTTATGTAGAAAAGCTAAACTTGCTTATGGATTTGAATTGAGATGATTTCCATAACTGAATAGAATTTTTATTGTAAGAAATTAAAACGTTCGGTTTGTAGATCACAGGTCTCTGCCACTTCCTATCTCAAGAACATTCAAATTGTCTGTAACAGTATGAACGAGAAGCTGTATTATGGAAACGCGTCAACTCAACACATTGGCCCCGATGTGGTATCCGCTATGAGATATTAACTGCCTTCGACGTACTTTTCAGAAGACCATTATATTCATTGAATCTAGCATTACGTTCTATTCAGTAGGATGTTTTTTCAAACAAAATTAGGCATATCTTGAAGCAGTTCAATGACCGGAAAACAACGATTAGAATAACGTCATGGTGTATTTAACCGCCCCAGGGACAGACTGGAGCGAGCTAAATGCATTCGAAAATTAAGTTACCAACTCTCGTAAATAGCTGAGAGTGTGTAGAAAATTAAGATCAGACTTCTGTATTAAGTTCATATTCATAATAATATCTTAAATAGCAATAGGTGTAGCAGAAGGTACACAGGCGTAATTGAACGACAAAATTCCAGTTAAATATAAACCACTAGTTACTATCACTCTAAGAAATTTTTACCGGTAATCGCCTGGCATTACATATGACAGGGATGCAGCTGCGAAACTTTAATGCAATTTTAGCGTAAAAATTACAGGAATTTCCGGTAAAATCGCCGTTAATCACCCGTGAATTTCGCAGGATGTTACTAGTAATCCTTACAAGTTTTTTCCGGTAATTATTACCGGCAATCCGTAGTAATATTTACCGACGCTATCCTGTAAATTTACGTTTAAAATCCGGTGAACTTACATTCAAAAACCCGGTAAAAATCACCGTTATCCTCCTGGCATTACATTTTACCGGACATAATCAGTAAATATTACAGGCTATTATAAGAAACCGAATTTATTTACAAATAAAATGAAATTGGAAACTATGCGAATGAAACGGAAAGAAATTGTACAACAGTGATAAACCATGAAGAAAGAAATGGTGAAAACAGTAATAAACCCTGAAGAAAAAAATTGTATAAAAAAAACAGTGATAAACCATAAAATAGAAACACTGAGGAATAGAATGAGTGAAAAAAAACTAAATTTCATAAAAACAGCTAAAACCTGAAAATGAGAAAATTCCAAATTTTTATATGTCAAATGGATAAGTCACATTATCATCTGAAATATAATTTAAACAGTGAAAAAGTGTAATCTGTCCAAAGCAGTGCAAGTTTCTTTGTATAAAGTTTGTGGAAGTTTTCATTGTTGATGGTATATTGAATTATTGGAATTTTTCCAGTAGGGCCTGAACTTTTGGGTGTAGTCTATTTTCATCAGTCTTCTTTTTTGAGCGGGGGGCATTGTCACCAATTCCTGCGAAGTATCTGAAATGGAATGTGTAAACAGGTTCAACGACAAATATACAAAAATAAAAATAACTTTTGACTAAGTTCTAATATTTTTAGCATTAAATACTTGCCGCCAACCAATCTAATGCCCTTGCAAGCCTGAATGCTCGCAGAGTATATCTAATTAAGTGATAATATGATTGTTAAACTAGCATTCAGAATAGCTCACCGTTGTACAAACTCGTACGTTTTCTTTGCCTCCTTCGGGTATTGCATATTGAAAACGTAATAAGATCCAAAGGCGCATGTCACTGCATCGAAGAAATCTGCACATTCAATATATAAAGACTTTTCCAATATTACATGTAGCTTTCTAGCATTGATAAGAGAGGTGCCTGAAAATATATTCAAATTATATTCCATTACAATTTTTATCAACATATATGCGTAAAGACCGGATATAAAGAAATTGTCTTTTTCCACATTGTGGGCACAAATGGCGTTCTGGATATTAGCCGTGATCATTCACATTATGTCAAAAAGCATGGGATGTCTGTGTAGATACAGACCAATATCATGAAGTGTATAGGTTATAACGTTTTTCTGATAAAATTAAACAAAAAAAACATTCTTACCACGAATGATAACTGTTGGTGTTGGCTGCACAACCTCACATATTCTCTCGTCTGTTACATCTTCCTATAGATGGATAAAATAAAGGATTGAGTAATGTATATGATAAAATATATCATTAAAATTCCCAAATATCACACCCCATATCGTTAACTGCCAGATGGACCTGACCAAATATTTAACTTACGAATTTAAAATAAACCTCACTAGGAAGAATAAGTAGTTTTTTTACACAATTCCAAAATTGTACCCACATCAAATATCTGGTAAATGGATGATAATTCCTCTTTGAAATAACATGCCAAGAGATCCAGAAATCTCAAAGTTTTTGGAGCTTTAGACTGATGCTTCTCACACTCGACCTTTATGGATGAAGCCAAGATCAACACCATCAGTTTCGAGAATTTTCAAATCATTCAGCAAAGGCTTGAAAATATCTTCAACGCTCGAAGATTCAAGATATTTTTCTTTCACCAGCAATACCAGCTGAATAGAGTTTATTTTGGATCGACAATATGGATAGATGTTTCCCAGAGAAAAATAACAAGCCAGAATTTTATGCTTTCTTTTGGCAGATCCTAAGGGATTAACAATTTCGAAAGCATCTTGATATAGGATTATTTGAAGTCGAGGTAACGAGTTATTACATTGAAAAAATGTATTATTCATAATAGTTTCTCCATCCTTTACATCTACTTGATGTCCATCATTGCAAGGGGGATTCAAAAACTGTTGTCTGATAGAAGAAAATTTGAACAAAGCTCTTATAGACTGTAAAATTGGGACATATTCATAGGTTGCCGGCTCCAAATATTCACGGTTAGTAGAACGCCCTATATTGAAAGATATTGGTTCAACAAATGGAAATTGTCGTTTGTAAAATTGTTCAGGAGAATATTTCGTTCGGAGAGTGCCATCACTGATTGGATTTGACATTAGTGCATTAGAAACAGAACTCTGCAGCTCCTCAATTACGGATTCAGGAACACCCCCACTGGTTGAGATATTTTTGATGACATCCAACACAATTTCACTTTGTTTGATTATGAGCAATGATTTTTGGTGTATTATTTTGTCAATTGTGATACCGGGAACCAAATGTCTATATTGTAGAGATGCATAAAAAAGCGCACTTTGTTTATAAAATATTTCTGAAGGATTTTCTGATATTGCCACTGGTTCCACGTCGGAAAAGTTTGTTTCAGCTTCAGTATCTATGGATGAAGATGTTGCTCCACATATTGGATAATGTATGGATTTATGACAACGATAAATATGACTACAGAGTGATCTATAATTGCTGTAATCTTTCAAGCAGTTTATATAAGGGCAAATAATCACTGATCCAAATTTAGTATGAGTTTTCAAATGCTTCAAAATTTCTTTCAAATTATCTCCTTTGAAACTACAGGAAGCAATGCAGCAATTTAGATTAACTTCCATGGATTATCAAAATTTAAATACTTTTCAGGACAACACTAAAAGGCTGAAGGAAGAAACGGATGAAGTGGAGGAAAAACGGAAGTTGAAGTGTTCCCATAGGTGAAAGATTGAAAAACACTAAAAGGCTGAACACTAAAAGGAAGAAGTGGATGAAATTTCTTCCCACGAATAATGAGGTGGTTGAAGTCACTAAAAAGATGAACACTAAAATGAAGAAGCGGTTGAAATTTCTTCCGACGAATAATGAGGGGGTTGAAGTCACTAAAAAGCTGAATACCAAAAGGAAGAAGTGAATAGAATTTCTTCCGACGAATAATGAGGTGGTTGAAGTCACTAAAAAGATGAACACTAAAAGGAAGGAGCGGTTGAAATTTCTTCCGACGAATAATGAAGTGGTTGAAGTCACTAAAAAGCTGAACACTAAAAGGAAGAAGTGGTTGAAATTTCTTCCGACGAATGATGAGGTGGTTGAAGTCACTAAAAAGCTGAACACTAAAAGGCAGAAGTGGATGAAATTTCTTCCGGCGAATAATGAGGTGGTTGAAGTCACTAAAAAGATGAAAACTAAAATGAAGGAGCGGTTGAAATTTCTTACGACGAATAATGAGGTGGTTGAAGTCACTAAAAAGCTGAACACTAAAATGAAGGAGCGGTTGAAATTTCTTACGACGAATAATGAGGTGGTTGAAGTCACTAAAAAGATGAACACTAAAATGAAGGAGCGGTTGAAATTTCTTACGACGAATAATGAGGGGGTTGAAGTCACTAAAAAGCTGAATACCAAAAAGAAGAAGTGGATAGAACTTCTTCCGACGAATAATGAGGTGGTTGAAGTCACTAAAAAGATGAACACTAAAAGGAAGGATCGGTTGAAATTTCTTCCGACGAATAATGAGGTGGTTGAAGTCACTAAAAATCTGAACACTAAAAGGAAGAAGTGGATGAAATTTCTTCCGACGAATAATGAGGTGGTTGAAGTCACTAAAAAGCTGAACACTACAAGGAAGAAGTGGATGAAATTTCTTCCGACGAATAATGAGGTGGTTGAAGTCACTAAAAAGCTGAACACTAAGTGAGATTGGATGAAGACCCTGAAAGCGGACTGATGAGTAGGCGTGCCACTTTTAGATTTATGAATTGAATCGATTCAAATCGCAATTTTTTTCGAATTTGATTTACGCGATTCGAAAAAAAAGCCGTTTAGCGAAGAAAAACAAACACTCCAAATAACACCAATTGCCAGACGGGAATGTAAATGAATTTTTCGTTATTTACTTTTATTGATCTGCCTTTATTCATTTTCATGTTCGGCGCAACACACCCTGATCATCTCTCGAGATGCTGACGTGCTGTGTGGATAATTAATTTCCTTCAATCTGTCAGTTGAGTATTCCACTGAATGACGTAAGTTTCTATCACACGCAAATTTAAATGGATCGTATATCCGAAAGTTCGTTGCAATTTTGTTAAAAATATGCAACAGCACACCTTTTCTGCGACTGAGTTATGGTACGCCTTGACATGAATTGATAAGCGATCAGATACCAACTTCTAGAAAACATTTAATTTTGATTGAAATTTAATTTAAACTCCGTTGAAATTGAAATATTGGTACTACGGAAGTATGCACACCAAGATGTCGCACAACCTGAACCTAACCTCGTACACCAGTGATTTTCAACCTTTTTGTGTCGCGGAACACTTTTTTTATTCTAAAATTGTGGCGGAACACCAAATGAGATTTTTGGAAATGAACTATATTATGCAATTAACTGACATCGATCATTTCGGAATAAAATAAATTAACGAAATTAATAATAGCTTGTCAACTTCAGCTGGAAAAGACGTTACACATATTCCGATTCAGAGCTACCGATGAGCTAGGAACAGAAATGGTATTTTAATGTAATATCTGGGCCTGTTTCGATGATTTCAATATTTTATTCTGGCTGGAATTTAATTGAGAGAGACAAACACGCAGCTCTTTCTCGACGACTCTCAATTTTTTGTGTTTTTTATACTCTTATGGCGGCCAAGAAAAGGGTGGGCAAAATCAAATATTTTTTCCGAATCAAATAATTCGAATATTCTTAACAAATACCGAATAGTCCAGTACCGAATATTTTTTATACGCAGCAGGGTCCAGAACGTCGGAGGTAGATTTGGAAATTAATAGAAACATTGAAAATCGGCAACAAAGCGATTTTCACTGGTTAATTTCGTCATAATCGCTGATATTTTGTCCCCCTGAACGTTTTTAAATTCCCGCCATTCGTTCTTTTGCGCAACTATTAATTCCTGTGGGTCGGCGGAGAACGAACTTCATATTATTGGTATAATTATGAGTTCACATCAGCGACAGATTTTAATGACATTAAGGAGTGATTTCAAAGCCAAATTATTTGTATTCTGATATTTATCTTTTGCGCCGACTCTGATCTAACTTATCGCCGTTTGCAAATTAAACGTCCCAGTTTTAAGCAAATAATATTAAATTTATTCACAGTCCTTTGACTGGTGTATATTTTCTTGAAATCGAGACCCGTCCCGCGTCCTTAGATTTCAAGAACCCTTCTCAGTATTCTTGCACTTCCCAAAAGTGCCGCCTTTTGCAAAGATTCCAATCTATTAGGCAAGTTCATATCTTCTAAATACCCTTCTATCTTGTTTGATATTGCACCCAATGCTCCAACAACAACGGGTATAATTCTCGTCTTTACATTTCATATTTTTCCAATTTCTCTCCTTAAATCTTGATATTTTTCTAATTTTTCTTTTCCCTTTAATAAAATACGATGATCGGCCGGAACTGCCATATCGATTATCAAGCATGTGTTTTTGGATGAATTTATTACTACAATATCAGGCCTTCTGTGGGGAATGATGTGGTCTGCTTGTACGTTAAAATCCCAAAGAATCTTAACGTTATCCTTGTTTTGTGATTTTTCTGGGGTGTGGTCGTACCAATTATTCTCTCTGTTAAGGCCGTATAGTTTGCAGAGTTCCCAATGAACAATTCTTGCTAGATTATCATGTCGATTTTTGTATTCTCTTTGCGCCAATTTTGAGCATTCACACAATATATGAAAAACTATCATTATCGTCAACGGGATGCACACATTTATTATTACTTTCTTAGGCTCAGTGTTATTTTCGAAATAAATCAATTTGATACTGTGATTAGATAAATCTGTGAAGCTGTGATTGCGTGAATCATGAATGTTGATTTGAAATCTGAAATAAAGGCATTTCTACGTTGTCGTTAGGCAGCACTCTTGGACGATATTTTACATACGCGACCTGATACCAAAAAAATTGTAAACAATTTTGTGCCCAAGTGCTTTTCTAGTAGAAGGGAAGATTATAATTAATCACCTCAAGTTTACCATTTATTTTACAATAAATCAATACCCCGATCGCTAATATCGTTACCGAGAAATTCATAATTTGATTTACGGAATTTGCAAATTCAACACTCCACTTGACGATTTTGATGATGCCACGCCCTAATTAATACTGCAAGAAAAGCTTCAAAATGCAACGAATGTAATCAATTCCGATGATGACTCCATCCATGGTCGAGTATAATGTTCACATTTTTGAAACATTATTTGGTCAAGGATCAAATGGATCACTAAAAATACACGCCGAGCTATTAGAAAGTCCATCAAAAGAAAGTATGGTCTGTCATTTATTATCTGGTTATAAGTTTTTATACCGGCTTTTCAAAACTCTGACTCGCCATTTTCAAATCTATGCTTTTTATATGGTACTCCCGTGGTATGTGAACCAAGATGGCGGACACACGAACGTAGTATGTGTACCAAGTTAAGGTCAGGCCATAACTTCAGGTACAAATACTATAGGAGTCACCTGGCTAGTCCCCGAACTCGTAATAGAACTAAAATGAGGAAAATTAGAACAAAATTTTGGCCTAACCTGGTACACATACTACGTTCTGGTGTCCAACGTCTTGGTTCGCATATTACAGGAGTACCATTTATATAACTCGAATTTTCTGACGACCTAAAATTGCCGTTTTCACCATGTATCGAAAACGTCTTTGTAATTCCTAATTTCCGATAATGATTTTCTATTCGGGTCATGCATGCGGAGGCTAATAACATCTCCAAAATCTGGTAACTTTATTTTAGATATCTTATTTGGATTGACGTTTCTACATTTACGGACTAGTGTCGGCACGCTTTTTGCAAAATAACAGTGGAAGCCGAGCGTGATTTCTCGCGTAATCCAAGCGATCGATTTACCGGCGCAAATTCCGTGCCCAAGCAAAGCGGTACAGATTACGTGGTATTGTACGTACGAATAGTAAAATGGCATTCGAATATTTTAATATTGTATTCGCTATTCGAATATTTTGCCCATCCCTAGACCGGCCATGCTTAAAAAGCTCATTTCGCAAAGATATGTAGTGGAAAACGATAGCAAGATTAAAAGCGCTTGTGAACCGCGCTTTGTGAAATTTATATAAATTCATCGGACGGTCAAATACCAGTTATGACGTCATAATACTGCAAAAAAAACAATTTTCCGCGGAACACCCGGAGGTCTCTCGCGGAACACCAGTGTTCCGCGGAACACCGGTTGAAAATCACTGATCTACAGTATATCAAGGAATTTGCATACAATAAACAATGGAATAACTGTTATCTACAACATGACTATATTACCATGCATTTCATGTTTGCAGATTACTGCGATATATTTTTATATACCATGAGTTACCTTATCAGAATTAAATTAATACGGCAAGCATTTAAAATAGTGCTATCGGTCATAGATTTGAACATTTTGCGCAGCACAAAATCATCCTAGTAAAAGTCCATACTTTTAAATACCAACCATTATCCAAATTATTTGCCAAAAAGCGGGATAAAGTATAAATTATATTTCTTCTGAAATTATATTACTTCTTCCTTTTTAGTGTTCATCTTTTTAGTGACTTCAACCACCTCATTATTCGTCGGAAGAAATTTCATCCACTTCTTCCTTTTAGTGTTCAGCTTTTTAGTGACTTCAACCACCTCATTATTCGTCGGAAGAAATTTCATCCACTTCTTCCTTTTAGTGTTCAGCTTTTTAGTGACTTCAACCACCTCCTTATTCGTCGGAAAAAATTTCATCAGCTTTTTAGTGAATACAACCACCTCATTATTCGTCGCAAAAAATTTCATCTACCTCTTCCTTTTAGTGTTCAGCTTTTTAGTGACTTCAGCCACCTAACTACCCGTCGGAAGAAATTTCATCCACTTCTTCCTTTTCGTGTTCAGCCTTTTAGTGTATTTTAATTTTTCACCTTTGGGAACACGTCAACTTCCGTTTTTCCTCCACTTCATCCGTTTCTTCCCTCAGCCTTTTAGTGTTGCCCTACTTTTCATGTGATGTTACTGTGTTACCAAAAATAAAATTGTGATTTTATATTTAGTCTACTACAATATTGTAATACCATAGACAATAATCAATCAATCAATAGAGCAGCGGTCTCAATATCCAGATATCACTGGAAAATAACAATCGGCTGTTTTTGTCACTAGATTTTAAACAGAAACAGCAGCTTACATACCGGTACCATACTGTTAGCTATTTTTGCCCTTCGATTTATAGAAAGTGTCAGAGAGTAGACAATATACACAAACATTTTCATGCTGAATGTACCAGAACATACCGCTACGACTGTACAACTGTAGTCTATCAGGATACGATATTCTATTACTACATTATCGGCATTCGCTGCAGATTATATGAACTCTGGAACAAATCAAACTTTAAAAGGGATGTACCGGTACACTTAATGTGACTTGCAGCCTTATACCAATACAGTCTGATAAAGTCCAGAAGTCATTGTACCGGTAGTTATTCTTAAGTTTAAAAAATACTTCAATAACTACTGAACTTATGTACCGGCAATCACTGAATCAGTTAAGACTATCTGTTAGGTACCGGTACCGTACATCACCAAAATTTTATTAGTTACCGTACCGTTGACCTTAACGTGGCCGATATCGGTACAGTCAGACAGTTAGTCTAAATCTGTAAATGCAGAAATGGGTAAAAAGCAATGCTGCAAGTCCGCAGGTCTGAAAAATATAAACTAGGAAACCCTAGCTCTTGTCTGATCTCAAAAACATATAACGGTACCGTACCGTACCGGTATCCAAAACATGATGCAGTGATGGGGGGTCTTACTACTTACTAAATACAGCGCAAAACGGAGGAAAACAGCGCGAAACAGAAGGAAACCAGCGCAAAACAGAGGGAAACAGCGCAAAACAGGAGACGCAGTCATTACCACCTCCTGCCACGAAAGAACCACGGCGCCTCTCGCCATGGTTTTATGGCGCTATTTCCGGTATATTTACAAGGTTATGTACCGGATTATTGGTCATCATGCGAAATTTTATCTATCTTTTTGGTGCTCCAGAAGTATGTGCACCAATATGTCGCACAACCTGATTCCGCTACACACACACACTTCTGGAGGTCCCTTTTTACCTAACCCTAACCCTAAAGCCAACCATATCCACATGGAAAATGTTCTAAATTATAGTACCCAAAATGTGTCACCAGCAGGGGCAGACCTGCCATTACAGCATTACTGGCTACATACGTTGGTTTGTGTTTTTAATTTGCTGCCGTGGTAATCCAACTCAAAACAAGGTGCCCCGAACTCATTGCAAAATTTTTTTCTGCTTCACACTGTTTCCCTCTGTTTTGCGCTCTTTCGCGCTCTTTTGCGCTGTTTCGCGCTCTTTGCGGTGTTTCGCGCTGTATTCAGTAAGTAGTAAGACCGGGCTGCGGACACTGCATATAAAATTGAAAATAGAGAATGCATAATGCTTGTTAACAATTATGTTAAGTCATGCATGTATACTTTTGTCGTGCTTTCATGCCTGTAGTATACCTATTTCGTTTTTATCTTCAACACTAACATAAAAAAAAAACTGCGTCAAAAAGGGGCGGCCAAGAAAATCGCTGACCCGTAGCGCTGCTGTGATATTCCTGTGTTTACGTTTTTTTGCGTTTTATCAGCTGACCATTCCAAAACGTTTGCTATAGCATTCGCGCATTATCGCCTGGTGATTTCAGTTATTCCGGGATTTTTGGTGACTGCGCTTCAAAGGACAGGCTCCTAATTTCTATAAATACTACTTAGGTACCTATTCATTATGTCAGTACCTGCCTCTATGACATTCATGAGCTTTGATATGGAACAACCATTGAACAAAGCACATGGATACGAACGGGTAGCTGAAGGTTTTATGAAGAAAGAAAAATGGGAGGAAGCCGAGAAAAACTACATTTTAGCAGCAGAAATGATGAGAAAAGCACTCGATCAGGTGTCATGTACAAAAATAGCACTTCCTATCAGAATGCAAGCTGAAAAATTTGAAAAAATGAGGGACATCATTAATATTAAGCAAAGGGAGGCAAATTCCATGAAAAATATGATTCCAAACAGTCAAAAGTCGCCACATTCACATTCAAAATCTGGTGATCGTAATAAAATTGAATATCAGGTTAATGAAGATCAACCAATCCCTCAAAGTGAAGAAAAAACAGTAGATAAAAGCACAGAAACGTTTCGAATTTCCGAACCAAAAAAGAAATGCTCACCAGCAAACACATGGCAATTTGTCCCTCGAGATATCATTCACTTAGTTCAAGAACGAGAGACAGATTCATTGTTGCAGTTCTTGAATTTTCCAGTAGTTAACCAGGAAGAAGAAAATGCTGAGCTTTTTTCATCAACGACAAAAAACAGAAAGCCCAAAAGTCAAGAGGCCATCATCGAAGAATATCGAATGCGATTTCAAGCATTACAAACCACTGCTATAGCTTTGGTGAAGGCTTTAGAAGACACAGAAAATGAAAACCAGTCTTTGAAATCTGAAGTCAGCGATTTGAGGTCCGAAATATCAAATTTGAGCGAAAGACTAATGGTATATGAAGAAAACAGAAATTATTCACCCCTCGCTTTTAGCGCAGAAGATATGGGTGAACCCGTAAAGAACTTTATGCCACAAAAATTTAACAGCGATCCAATGGCAGCATCAATGCTCATTGGTCAACCTGAAAACTACTTCAAATTTGAAGGAAACGATATTGCATCAGAAATCCGACAAGCTGCTGAGGAAGAGTTCACACTACGCAAAAACTTCAAATCATTACCAGCATTTAACTCAAAATCGAAGAATGTTTTGTTTGACCAATGGGGACCAGACTTGGGGTCAATGGACCAATCAGTTAGATATGAAGATTTAGAGGAGGAAGTAAATGCTGAAGTCTCTGAGACAATATCACACTCAAGATCTGATGCTAATTCCCACTGCGGTGTCAGATCGCCACTGCATTATGCAAGTATTGCAGGACTGCCACCCTTGTCGCCCGTTCATTTTGAACTTGATGAAAAAGACAATATAGTTACAAATCACATTTAGTTGTGAAGAAAAACCTACTTTTGAATTTTTTTTTTAAATCAGTATATTGTAGGTGTGGGTTAGTGTGCTTTCGTTCCATTTTTAAGGTATGACACAATGATCGCTACCGGTTCTATTCCATGTATGACCCCAAATGCTATTGAATGCTAAATAAACAGTGGGTTTGATTTTTAGAGCAGTACTGCCAATTATGTGCAATATTTCTTATAGGGACTTGTTCTTTAAATGATTCCGAATGATGATGAAAATTTTGTAAATCAAAGTTAACCAGATGATAGTGTTAAAATCAGTGCTGGGGTTTGAAATCACAATTATTCCAGAAACCCTGGCATCATAGCCATAGTTTTGGTACGATCACTATCATGATACAGGATGTCCAGATGCAGGACTCTAAACTATGATCGATATGAAAGTGTCAAATTTTTAAAATCTTACTCCGATTTGAAACTGTAATAAAAAGAAATATAAGTTGAAAAATGAAGTTTTATTATTTGGAAGTCCTCGTAAATAATGAGAAAAAATTGGAAAATAATGATTGGAATCTGCCGGTGTTACTAAAATTTCTGGTAGCTTTGACTCCATTCTCCCCACACCAGCTCCCCAACCCTGGTGTCACATATCAACCAGATTGATTGGAGAGTCTGGGTGCAAAATAACACAAATATATTTTCTATGTTTCATCTGACCTAAGTCACCACTTCCTCATACAAACATAATGCAACTAGCAAGATCCCACTCTTTGTAAACTAAGAAATAACTAATTTCGATCACCCTTCTCTACAATAGGTATGGAACAGGATTATTTAGACAAAATGTATTCAATAGAAATACAGATAAGCACATTTTTCACTCAAAGTATTCGTTGCGTCACCATTATTTTTTATGACACATTAGTATGAAGTTTATCATACACATCTCAGGAACAATCGGCCAAATATAAATATGGTTGGTAACCAGTGTTCACTATTAGCGCACTTTTTTGCGAAAATTGCGAAGCACTTTCGCAACTTTTTGTAGGGACTGCGAAATAGCACTTTTTTGCGATTTTGAAGAGAAATAGCACTTTTTTCCGATTTTGAATGGATTAAAAATTCAAAGTTAACAAATATTTTCGAGTATTAAGTTGACAAATGAGTACTTACTAGTACTTTTGTAACTCAATTCTGCATATCATAACGATATTTACCGGAATTCTAACCTATGAGATGCAGACATAGGAGATAAAGCTTTTGCATTAACCGCAAAATTCTTGTTTATAATATGATTATTATACAAGCACTGATTCCGCTTCTCCCGCAAAAAACGCTCCCCGGGCGTTTCTTTGAAGGAGAGTGGTCATGTGACTATCAATGATATCGATGAATTCAAAATGACTATAAAAGTGTTAGTAACGTGTTATAGTCACTTTGGATGAATTGTGACCAAACTGCACGATTTTCAAATCAGACGAAACTTTTAGCAGCATGTCACAGATTTGCAAAATCAACAAATTCACAAAATACCATTAAGTGCCATTTTATTGTAATCACAATGTTGAAAGGACGTGGCATTTTCCGGAATTTTGCGATATTTACAACTATTTCTCATTGATATGCGAGGACGGGTGGGCAAAATTCAATATTTTTTTGAATCGAATATTTATAGGAGTACCGAATAAACGTGGTGGAAACATTAAAAAATCGGCAACAAAGCCTTTTTACTGGTTAATTCCGTTATAATCGCTAATTGTTCTTGTCACCGATCGTTTTGGCGGCGATATCTAGGTTTTGGGTAATCTATATTCCCGCCTATATCTATATTGATTTGAAATAGTGATTGAATAATTCGGCTATAAAGGCATTTCTGCGTGGTCATAAGACGAGATGACGTTAATGAACAGCCCTTCTTTTACAGGATATTTTACGTATGCGACTTAATGCTAAAAAAATTGGGCTCGGGTGCTTTTTTTTTCGATTGCTCGAGTGCCTAATAGAGGTCAGGCGCTAATTGTAACTAATTCCCTCAAGTTTCAACGTGTTTTCAACAAAACAATACCCCGGCGATAATTATAGCTGAAATGTTACCGAGCAATTCACAATTTTATTTATGGAATTTGCAAATTCACCAGTTTCTTGACGATTTTGATATTGTCACGCCCTAATTATTAGTGCAAAAAATACTCCCCTTCTTCCGCGGCGGTTTGACGGGTTCTTTGTTCCATTCTTTAGAAAGTTCTGACACGGGGATATAGAATACTGAATCGGGAGGGTTGAATCCCTGTCCACTTACTGGTGATTTTCCGTTTTAAAATGCGTGAAACATTCTCTATTTTAAATTAAATGACGTTTCGCGGGCTAGAGTTCTCCCCGAAAATGATGTGTTCCAGACGTTAGTTAGACGATAGATAAAACATTAGATTAATAATTTTCGTGACGCCCCGTTTTCGAAAATACAAAGTTATATCGTAAAAAATTACACCCGGTATCCGAAAATACAGTTGTATCTCGAAAAATGTGTTTTGTTACATTTAAAATAAAACATTTTTGGGATTAATTTAGATCATATTTTACTTTTCACGACACCCGTTTCCGAAAATACAAGGTTATATGGCGAAAATGTGTTTTGTTACATTTAAAATAAAACATTTTTGCGATTAATTTAGATCATAATTTACTTTTCAGGACACCCGTTTTCGAAAATACAAGGTTATATCGCAAAATGTGTTTTGTTACATTTAAAATAAAACATATTTGCGATTAATTTAGATCAAATTTTACCTTTCACGGCAACCCGTTTCCGAAAATACAAAGTTATATCACAAAAAAATGCGTTTTGGTACATTTATTTTGCATTCCCAATAAAATACATATTTTCCCTAATTAAGATCGTCGATGAATCTGTTCCTGTCGTTCAAGCTCGACACACGTTTGGACGAGTGTGGGGTGGTTTTTTGGTCGACGATAAATTAAAAAGTTGCCACACGTTATTTGTATAACGATAATAACTGAAAATTAAGGTTTTATAATAGAAGTGAATTTGTCTCAAGATGGTATTTCACGATTCCGGCCCACAGAAAATAAACACGCTGACAGGCTTGGTTATAATTGATATTCGTTTAATTTATTTTACACTATTAATAAACGCGCCACACCAATTGCGACCATATAAATTGCAGTCGCATCGGTATGGACTGTATGTTTTTGGCGCTCTCACATTATAATAATTTTCAACAAAACAAAGCCCCGACGGTCATTAAACTGAATTCGTTACCGAATAATTCACAATTTTATTTAAGGAATTTGCAATTTCAAGATCTCACTTGACGATTTTGATGATGTCATGCCGTAATTATTACTGCTTAAATGCCTCAAAATACAACAAATGTAATCATTTTCGACGATAACAGGCGCAACAATTCGTAAACGAACCGTTATAACGAAATTCGCGATTGATTTTACCTTTCTCTTGTTTACAATTTTAACATCCCGCCGGCCATGTATGGTCGAATAAAATGTTCACATATTCGAAACATGACCCGGCCAAGGATGGAAGGGATTCCTAAAAAGCTAATAGAAAGTACATACGCGAGGGTATGATATTAATATCGAGAATATTTGTGAGCATATCACAGGACGGAAATATTTTGCACCCGGCTGTTTGTTGGCAGAACAACGATACGCTAAAGTTAATTGATCGAATACAGGAAGTATTTATTTATCATCTCACTTGCGAACATCGAGGTTTTGGCGGAATTGTACGATCATGTTGTCTTTCTTAAATAATAACTTTTTCAATAAATGTTCATTTTACTTTTGCGTCTTTATTATATGTCGGGTTTTCATTTATTTTAAATTCGAAATTGTCCGAAATACTCCAACAGGTGTATAGGTACAATAATAATAGTACTTACCAGGGAAGTTTAATACACACGATGTGTAAAGGGCGTCGTAACTCCCGTTTATTAATTATAATTTTTTTTACATTCTGCTTAAAAAACAACGGCAGTCATCTCACGTAAATCTCGCGACCAAATCTTTTTTGTTTTGTATGGCATCGTCTTGGCGACGAATTTATTGCCGACTGAATTTTAATTGTGTTTTAGGATAAGTTATTTTCTGTTTGTTGGTTTCTAAACTTTACAAACTTGGGTAGCAATTACTATTAATGTGAGATTTGTGCATATGAACGATTGAATATCGCGACTGGATGTCCGATATCTGAGAATGCGTAATTCTCTTTCAACATTAATTTTCAGGATATCAGCGTTCAGGATATCAAAGAGTGCTATTTATGAATGCTGAAAGTACATGACATTACTAAACATTTTGCCAATATATGATGTTTTCTGCCCGATTTAAACTAACTCGCACGCAAACCAAGGCATGTCGACATTTAAAAATTACTTGTCTTTGGGTAAGCTCTGAAATAGTATAATATAAATGTAAATGAGAAATTAGGTCACGCTAGCTCACGAAACGGGAGGATTTTCAAAGTGATGTTGTGTAATATTTCGGAGAAAAAAGTTTGAAAGGAAAGTAGGTCAACCTATCTCCTAGGGGGAGTATCGTGTGTAATATTTCGGAGGGAACGTAGGTTAACTTATCTTTTAAAACAGCGGGTGGCGACTTTCAAAGTGGTTCAAAATCACAAATTAATTAGGTTTAGGGATAATAAGTTGAATTTCCAGCGCACCTAACCCTAATTAGTTGATTGCTACTTATATTTGGGGGGAGGGGTTGCGGGGATTATTTTGCACGGGATTTGTACAAACGATCCACCCTGTAACTAATATGGTTTCCAGCCTGCCTCGTGTCTGTTAGATGGAAGGAGTAACAAGTGTGAAAGTCTTTGCTGTTTACGCGAGTAAGGACACGTGATACATTGCATGAAAGTTTTGTCCGCGGCAGGTGTTAGCAGATGTCATTTCGTTGCGATGAATTCGCTTGTTTTAATTAAACATGAATTCGCTTAAAGGGAACTGGGTTAACGAAAAGGCTCCTCCTTAATTTATAATATTAACCGGAGGAGCGCTTTTTCGAGTATCTATGCCGTTTTAAATGGGTTATATGAAAGGCTAGGGCACCTAACTTGTTAAAATCGGCAAAAGCACTTTCGCACTTTTTTTTTCGACTGCGAAACACTTTCGCACTCATAATTTGTTTAGAGTTAACACTGTTGGTAACATCATTAACTGAAACAACTTTCAAACGTTATTATGACATAATAAAACTGTAAACTAGGGAATTTTTAAACAATCAAAATAACAAAAAAATTAAATGATTGTTTGAATGACACCCAGTAGGCATATTAATATATATCTTTATCAGAATAATAATAAATATTGATAACATGATCTATCCATTGCTATATTAGTATTTATCTATGCCAGGGTTTTCCACACTTTCTGTTCATTGGTACCCTTTGGACAATGTAATTAAGATATGCTCATAAATCCCCAAAATTGTATTGCATGTTGTGATTGGGCAAAATAAGTCCTGTGGTCTGCGGAAGTAGACTTAGTAGTAACTGTAGTTGAAGCTTCTGCTTTGATGAAAATGTGTAAACTCAATCCAATATGGATTTAAATTACTACTGGTCAGTTCTGGTACCATAATTTCAATATAATGTTCATATTTACTGCATTTCTCTGATATCAGCTCTTGAAAGGCGTTATATTGCTGCATTGGTATCCACCTCATGCGGTAGCTAACTCCAATGGTTATAGTACTTTACCTCACAGACCATTCAGCAAATGCTGCATACATACATTGTAACCATTATCTTGTTATAAGAAAGAATGCATGTTAGATCATGCTTTGCCAACTATAGGCAAACCATTTCCATTGCTATTAGAATTTGATAAGTCTGAACGACCGGATCACGAAGTCGTACCGAATCAATCTCTTTTACTCGGAGGCAGTTATCACAAGCCCATAATGCTAGTTCTTCGCTTCTTAAACAATTGTATGCAGTGTCTGTAAGCCAGTACATGAGAGGTGATACCAAATATTACAGCTAGCTAAGCAACAGATACAATTTTCTCCAGGATAGTTAATCTCTTTATGGCATTGGAAACATGTTTGAGGTAGCACAGGTGGAACAGCATGTGGGGCAACTACTCCGCTCCCAGGTGAAGACAAATTAGACTTATTTCCAGCCCATGGGCGTTAGATTTCCATGATTTATCATCGGCTTCATTTGCGGCTGATTTTGCCAATTTGGCCTCGGCCGCTTTTGATTTCTTTTTGATTTTGGGGTAGTACTGCCACTATCACTTCTGGATGATTTATCTGACTTACTATTTGAAGATTTCCGATTTGATGGCAATGGCTGCGGAATGGAAGTCTGTAAATTTGGCCTACTTAGAATTTTCATTTGCCCACCTGGACCAACAAGCATGTTTTGTCCCGGGTTGCCATTATTATGTGGCATTCCATGCATAGGTCCTGGCATCCGGGGCATTGGTATTCTTTCAGAATTCATAGGCGGGCTCCCATCACCGAACCTGCCCATCATTCTTGGAGGGGGCCGATACATTGGGTGATTGGGGTTAGGGTGATTCATCATAGGTCGATTGTAACCATACTCTGTGGGTGACATCATTTGGGGATCAGGCTGATAACCTGGCACCATATGCCCCACAGGTGACATCATACCACTCCCATTCCAGTTGGGTCCACCAGGAGACCCATATGGTCTTGTGGGTCTCTGTTGGGGCCCGACTGGACTTGAAACCCAATTTGACCTCTGACCTACTGGGCCATAAGGGGACGTCATGCCAGGATTATGCAAAGGTGAATGCATCATCATACGTGGGGGCCCTTGCATCATTGGGCCCCCTGGATTGTTCATTACATTCGAAGGTGGGTCATCAAAGGGGTTCGATGCCACTAGATGTGTTGCTGTTGGTGTCGGAGGAAGTAAAACTTCATTGCTTCCCGGAGATGTGGCAGATGAATTTCGATCTTTTGTTGATGACAATCTTTGCCGCTTTTTTGTTTCCCCTCCATCTTTCGAACTCTTTTTCGGCATTTTAAATATTATGTTATTATACTATAAACAGAAAACACACAAATAAAGTTATTAGTATAAACAGTGCTGGACCATACAAGTAATTTTTCAAATATATATGAAACTTCAATATAACGAATGTACCAAAAAAGAACTACAGTGCAACTAATATGAAATAATTTGCCATAAGAAAATATCATAGTTATAGCTCAAATCATTATATTTTGGGTTAGTTCTATCTCTCTTTAGCGGCATTTAATAATATTATGAATACAGTACATTGAAAAGACAGCAGTGGAAAATCTTAAAAATAATTGGTCTAGTTCATCAAAATACAGAAATGTCATAATATAAAAATTATATGAAATGAGAAAAAACCTAATTGAACCGTCTTCGAACCAACTAATATTATATACTCATAAATCAATTTTTAAAAAAACACGAGAAAAAAATAAAAAGTTGCAATATAACAGGTTGTAATGTTGTATAATATACTAAGGTTTCTTATGCAAAAACTAGATATAAATATATATTATCATTCAATATATTACGGATGTATGAAGCACCAAAAACTATAATACTAAGATAAATAACACTATTTAGAATTAGCAGATTCCATTTCAATGTAAATTTATATTCAACAAAACTTGTGTATAGAGTGAAATTCTTATTTAGGAGAGTTGTAAAAATGTAACAAAAAAGCAGGATTTCATTCCGGAAAAATTAACAGACAATGTAGTGTGTGGCATAGTCTGGCTTTGTCATATATATATTGGAGGAACAACATATGTATGTATTCCTGGTTAATTTCCCTGATCAAACAATAACTTTGCTGTATTATAAAAATTGTTAAATTTATCATCACAAGGATGACAGAAAAAAAATAGGATTTTGTCAAAGAGCCCCACAACAACTGCCGCCTTGGTTCTTGTCTATTTTTCAAAGAGTGTCAAACTAATATTTTTCGAATGCCAAGATGCTTTTGTGAAGTCAAATAAAACAAGATTTTATAAGTCTAAAAATCTTCATTACCATTTGTTCTATTTATACCAAAGGTTCTCAACTATCGATATTCTGTTTAGCATTTGACAAATTTTACCCGAATATTTTTCTGTTTTTACATCTGGCTTTTCTCTAGTTCTATGTTTTTGATTTGGTGGGTCAGTATGCGTAAACCGTAAGGGTAAATGGATCGGTATCTAGAATAATCAATCCTGATCATTTGAAATAAATTACATTACTTTGTGATCTAATAGACAATTTTGTAATCCAGATCCTTTACCAAAAACAACATGAAGCGACCACATAATTTTCAACTTGGTTGACACTTGACAGTCTACTTAAATAATCAATAATTTTACGAGCTAAACAGAACAAAATATCTACTTTCTAATACAAAAACTACACTATACATAACATAAACATGATTATTGAAAACATGGTAGTTTTTGAAGTAGCCTCGGCAAAAATACCCTGAAAATCAGTGTGGTAGGAAGAGAAGATTATAAAACAGCTAATAATGAGCTTTCAAGCATTTTAAATTATTCAACATCATCAAAAAACTCAAATTCTGGAAGATAATTAAGCTATGTTGCTTATAATATTTTGAAATTCACTACCAATGAAATTCGATCAATGGCAGCACTTACAATATCTATTCAACATTAAATAATTCTGACTAGGTAGTCACGGTTGAATTCCTGATTGGGATTAGTGTGAATGATATCAAAGTAGTCTGGATCATTCTAGTAATTAAATATACTCATTCAATACAGATATACAATCACTGAAAAGATTTTTAATAATAGCCTACCTATGATCAAAATACCGAAATACAAAAAACAGCATTAAATGAAACAAATATTGTGCATACTGGAATTGCATAAACCAGATATCTAACAAAACTAATCAGCGTAATTCCTAAGCATTGCTACAAATCGTCCATCAACGACAGCAGATCATCATCACCTGAACTCTTGCTAGTGCTGATAGATTTAAAATCATCCATTATTTTAGATAATTCATTTTCGCCAGATTTTTCAGCTTTTATCTCAATTGTGTTACTATTTGACGACACGGTAGCTGAAGAAGAAGACACCTTGCTAACGTCCACATTGTCTGCGTTGAAAAGATCCAGCTTGAAAAAATCACCTTCTGTTTTTTTTGCCCCAATTAAGTGACTGAGCAAATTGACTTCAGCTTTGGCTAAATTTTGCGATGATAACTCTTGCGAACCGCTTTCCAGTGCGCATTCATTTCCGTAGTCATGTGCATACAAATTCATACCAAGTGTGGTACTTCGCAATCCTCCTATTTCAACTGAGGAGTCTTTGATTTTACTGCTTCCGAAATTCGATCCTACAGTGAATTTTTCTGTCACAATGCCATTATTATTATAAAACGATATAACTCCTGGAATATCTGTGCCGACAGGTACATTTCCCGTCCTCGGCACAACAAATGTACCATCACGATTTTGAGCTTTCATATTAACAAATATTGAAACTTTACTTTTTGAATCGTGTAAGAAACCTAATAAAGACTGCTTTACAAAAATTAAATCTCCAAGTGGCATTTCATCATATAGTTTTACAGATTGTTTAAAACTTTCCATAACCAGTTTTTTTGCTTCAGCATTTGATGACACGAATTGTAAAATTTCATCAAAATGATTTAATGTTACTTGCAACAAATCTCGAGGATTTGGACATTTAATAACTTGATGTTTAAATGTCATCACCATGAGATCATATAACTTTTCCATACTGTCAGCGTCAACACGCATTATTGAAGAATGCACAAGTTTTTCAAATAAACTTCTCATGGCTCGCCTGCTGTAAATTGCTTGAGGTTTGAAGAGATCTTCCATAAAAGTTTTGCTGAACATGTTTACCACAATCTCGCCCATGACCTTGTTACCCCTTTGCAAAGCAACTTTCTGTGCCCTCAAACGCTGATCCAGTACATATAACATCTCACCTCCAAGATTAAAATACAGCATCGGAAGAACATGGTTCGACATTTTTGTCTGATCCAAAACAAATCAGAAAACTGTCTGGTCAACCAAAAACACGACACCAACACCCAGACAATGCGCGCACGGTAAACTTTACAAACAAATGGTTATAAAACTGATGGATGAATTTTACACTGTAAAATAGAACCACAAGGTGGCATAAGACGGCTTAAGTTAGAGGACTTGCATGGGTCACGTGACTTTGTTACTGGACGGCAATAAAATAAAAACGTTCATTTGGCTCCTGTCAGTTGCAAGTCGGATTATACGTTTCCGTTTTGTTTGGCTGTTAAAAATGGTTATTTCGTATTGTTCCGTTGGCTGTACGTATAGTATAGACAACGAAATGGATCTTCAGTTATATTCCACTGTTTTCAAAAGATCCGGAACGTCGCGCAATGTGGATATCATCTATTGGCTGGACTGCTTGGTGTCAAGTCCAGAAGCCATCTCACTTGTGTTTCACTGTTTGCGGACAGCACTTCGTTGATGGTGAGTCATCATGTGCCGTCAGTAAGTGTGAAAAGTTGAATAGATAACTAAAGTTTAACGCCAGTGCTAATGCAAAAAAATACCCAGAATTCAATTGAATTCTCCATCTAAGAATACGCTCGCCACGCATCTCTGATCCCCCTGGGAGTTTCACAGGTTCCAATCCCATGCGGGGATAGTTATGTGCGAGGGGATTGCAGCTCTCCTCCCACTGAGGGTGGTTCACACGACCGCTGGTCGATTACGACATCCCCCACCATCAAGTATATGCTTCTAAAACAAATAACTGGCTAACTAATCCAGACATAGAATGGTAATCGTACGATGTTGCACCTTGCAATCTGTCCCCAACCACAGATAAATTTTATCCTGAAAACTACCCACATTGGTAGGCATAGTTGCGTTTCAAATTAAAAGAAATCTTCATTAATGGTCAGAAGGTGTCTGATTGTTTTGTTAGTTAGCAGGTAATTTATTACTGATCTGATACACAAACTTGGCACTGTCAAATGATGATTAGTGTTTAATTTATTTTCAGGAAAAAGGGAAGATAACCCATTATCAGCTGCTTATATGTTCCATCGATATTTGAATTTTCGCTATCCCCAGAGAGGAAGAGAATAGTTAGAAAAGGCGGGATTTTGAAAAAGGCAGGACCATTTCAACAAATTCTGTTAACTTGTATGCGTTGCAATATTAATTTGCAGTTGTTAGCATAAACATTTAATGTGTCTTTCGACTAGACCTACCACACTTTAAAAAAAAGCCGCCTACACCCCTTTTCACTAGAACCATAATACTGTAAAATATTTGATAGAAATAACCCCCGAGGCATCATATCTTCCATTTGAAAGGGCTGTGGAGGCAGATACATTTTTTACTCTAAATTATGGAATGTTACTTCCAGGTTATCTTATCCTTGCTTATAGATATCTTGAGGTTAGTGACTGCAACTGACCCATGCATGCCACACTGAAAATTTTCTTGTGTACCCATAAAATAAGGCTGTTGGAGCCTTCAGACCTTGAAAACAGTCGAATCTGAGCACGATGGATTCATGTGAATCACGTAATATGCATTTAGAGGCAATAATATCCCATCCTGAGCAGCACCGTTCCACAACCTCCTGCCCAATGGAATCAAAACCTTAGACAAATTGGTGTACTGTGCGCATTCACAAATCTTTGCGAATCAAGTGTGTCTTTTGACTAAAGAAATATTAGCATTGAAATGGTCAATCTCAATATCAACCTAGTATCTGCATATAAAACCAATTGTTTTTTAAAAATACATTTTTGATGTGCTTTATTTTTCAAATATAATTCATAATTACTGTAAAGTGTGTGATATATTTGGTACCATGAATACTATTTGCAAATTAGCTTGGGTTACACCCCTCTCAAATAAAAGTTTAGACTCTTAAGTCATATCTCATAATATTCTTTAAACAAAAGGTTGCGGATAGCCGGCTACCCATCAGAATTTCCTTTCAGATCACAAAGTCGCAATATTACGCCTCGCTAAGTTTCATTGGCAACTGTATCTGGTTGTAGTATTGGTGTTCAACTTTAGACTGAAACCTTCACTACCAGACCCACCAAAACAATTTTTTTTCTTGATAGGGTCGTCTTGAAGTTGCTTTCGTTAAAGCACAATGGACACTTTATCTCCACCAATCCACAGTAATCACAAGTTACTTTGTCATTACAATAAGCATCAATAAATGGATACTGAGGATGTATTATCAAGTCACGCAAGCTGAGGTCTTGTGCCACTGTGGTCTTGTTGCAACTTATACTTCTCATCCATCTATTCCATGGTCGCACCCATATCTGTAAGATAATGGATACAGATAGAGTTTTCATGAAAACTAACGATCAAGGAGTGCGAAATTTAGGTCCATTTTCCAACCACAGCCACTAGTCGTGAATGAATTTGATTCCGGGTAGCATATCTTTTTTACCAATGACAATGAAAAGACATTTTGAATTGGGGGGGGGGCAGTTATTTGTTTTCAGAAGCATGGACTTGGATGGTGGGGAATGGTCGTAACCGATTAGCGGTCATGTGAACCACCCTCGGTGAGAGTAGAGCTGCAATCCTCTCTGGGATTGAAACCTGTGAAACTCCCAGGGTGATCAGAGATGCGGTGGCGAGCGTATTCCTAGATAGCGAATTCAATTGAATTCTGGTTATTTTTTGCATGACCGCTGGTGTTAAACTTTAGTTATCTATTCAACCTTTCACACTTAGTAATGGGGAGTTGAGGGAGCTTGTGAATTTTTAAAGAAATTGATAACGGTACACTATCACCACATTATCACTCACCATCAACGAAGTGCTGTCCGCAAACAGTGAAACACATGTAAGATGGCTTCTGGACTTGACACCAAGCAGTTCAGCCAATGCAATAGATGATATCCACATTGCGCGACGTTCAGGATCTTTTGAAATCAGTTGAATATAACTGAAGATCCATTTCGTTGTCTATACTATACGTAAGGCCAACGGAACAATACGGAACAACAATTTTCAACAGCCAAACAAAACGGAAACGTATAATCCGACTTGCAACTGACAGGAGCCAAATGGGCGTTTTTGTTTTATTGCCGTCCAGTAACAAAGTCACGTGACCCGTGCAAGTCCTCTATATAATCCATGAGGAGGTTTCCCTGAGCATCGACTTCCTTGTTCACTTCGTATCATTGACCAATCATCAATAAGCAAAAAGAGACGTAACAATAGGCCTTTTCGCATACGCTCAGACACTTTTGTCGCTTGGCAGATTTTCAGTTGCGATTGTAAACATTACCTCGTTCTCGTGTTTTCGATTTCTATTTGTTAGTTTTCAGTTGTGTTTCGGAAATTTATCGTTCAGTTTAATTGCAGTAATCGAAAATTAGTGTAGAAATAACGGTGATAGACTCGGGGAGAGAGAGAATGATTTATTTTCCGAATATATCAAAAAATGTAAAATTACAATAAATGGAAAAGAACAATATTATAGAATATATTCGGGAGGGGACGGGCAAGACTGCAAGGTCAACTATGTCGACCGACCCCTAAAAAAAGAAAAATTCTTTTTATGACAAGACATTCGGGAGTCATGAGAAAAAAAGGCTGTGTATAGAATTTTTACCTTGATTAATTACAATAATTATTTGATGGGTTACACATAACAGTTCCAAAGATATAATAATATAAGGAGGGGGGTTATTCAACAAGTTAGTTAACACAATACAATCTTTGAATTATGGCCTATTTGAATTAATAGGGAATGACAAGATAGATACATATTTCAAAAATATAGTACAGTCAACTGAGACTTAAATAAATCTCAGATCAAAAATTCAATTTTATTTATAGTCTATAGCAGTGATTCCCAACGTGGGCGATATCGCCCCCCGGTGGGCGAAAACGATACAGAGGGGGCAAAAAAGTCGAAGGGGGCGACAGGGGGGCGATTTCGCGTAACCTGTTTTTGCTCGGCGCACAGTGCACTTAATTCTGTACTCTGTATGCATTCACAGGCTTGAATCTCGTGGTCGATTATCACACGCGAAAAGATTGCTGGACTCGTCTCCGCAGTAAGGTACGGTAGTTTGCGTATCCCAGTGGTCGGCAAAATACGGCCTGAGTAAAATAATCTGGCCCGGGACGATTCTCTGAATGGACCTATCCCCGACCTTTGACCGCGGAAAATTCTTCCTATACTTTACCATTTTAAAATTTTCTGTGCTTATTTTAAGAGTGGTTTTGCGAGTTGTTGCCTGTGTAGAATGGGGTATTTGTTTCAAACTATCATCATAATTCAAATCATTCAACAATCTGTTTTTTAAAAGTACCGATAAAGAATTTTAGCCTAGTCTATCACAGCTATTTCTACTCTAATTTTTGATTACTGTATTTAAACTGAAACTCATAGGAAGACAAAGTAATCATTGACGTATATGATTTAGATTTAAATTTCCGGAAAACAACTAAAAACTAACGATTATAATCCAAAAACGGGAAAATGAGAAATGTTCACGACCACGCCTGAAAGTCTGTCTGAGTGAGTGTGTCTGAGCGGATGCGAAAGGGGGTATTGTTACGTTTATTTTTGCATTTAGCTGATTGGCCAATGTCACGATGTAAACATCCAAACGGCGGTTTTGACGATGAATTTATTTTATTTATAATCTACGCTCGAGGAGTAAATTACATTTTTTTATGTAACAGAATTAATCGTGAGACACTATATCCTGAAAATTCTATTGAACAGCTAGCTACTCGTTTAACGAGCCTACAATTTAATTCTTATTGGACAAATGGTAACACGAAGAAAAAAAGTTGATGTTGAGGGCAAGGGATCTTTCTATTCGAGAGATTCATTACTGCGTAATTTTTGTAAGAATGTACCTTCTTGAAGAAAATCTTTATTAAAATTTCACAAACCATGCGAGAATATTCACTTAGATGTTCGGAAGTATATATTTGTGCGAACAATTATTTTCGAAAATGGACATTACAAAGAACAAGCAAAAAACTGGGATTAGCCCATTTAGAAAATGTTCCAATCTTGGCGTCGTAAAGCCACCAAGAGTGATGCAGCAACAAGACAGTGTCACATTAAAGGTCATTGTAATAATTTTTTAATAAGATGATTAAGTTGAGTTCACGAATTGTTGCAATTTTCACGCGCTGTTCCGTTTTTAATTTTCAATAATATATGCGACCCGCAAAAGACTAGCAACCCTAAATTTTGTCTCGCGAACGACATAAAATTTGCCGACCCCTGGGCCGTAGTCGATAGTCGGTCACAGCTTCTTCCACATCCGAGTCCATGAATCCAAAAACAAATAGCTGATTAATTCTATGGAGTGGTGATCGGACTGGAGGCCGTGGTAGGATGAGGAATCGGGTATCGAGTATTTTGGTGCAGGTCATCAGGCTGTAGGAATGATGAGATGTACGAAAATCATAATTATAACTTTGGAAAAATTAACTTTGTTTGCATTATTTTAATGTGAAATTGGGTGAATTTAGGGAGAGAAATGCTATAAGGCAAGAGTACACGGCGGTTTTTGAGAAGGTAGAACCCTGGATTCTTTCATTTCCGACCTATTATTATGGTAAAAAGGGTTTTTTGAGCCGTGCTACTATTGCTATCAAAACAATGAAATCGCCTTTCCATCAGTAAACTGGGTAATTTCAGATATAATGAAAAAAACTCGCTGAAGAACACCAAGCTCATCCATCTCATTAAAACACCATAAACTATTATTTGTCTTCTTATTTGGTCTGCAATATATTCGTTTCAGAATTTTTTTGTAGTGCCGGGGGGGCGATGAAGTTGTATAAACTACTTTAGGGGGGCGATGGTCAAAAAAGTTTGGGAACCACTGGTCTATAGTCTATACATACCATAGTCATTTAAAATATTTCCTAATAGTTGCAAGCTCGATGAAAACAGCAAGTTTCATAAGCAATAGTTGATGAATATACATAGCTAAAACTGCGATTAAGTGTTTTTCAATATCAGATATTGAAACATTGATGCAATAACAAAGTTTTAATATTTAAGCAACCAAGATTATGTTTAAAGTTCTCAACTATAAGTTATTGCATGGCTCGTTAGGTGTGTAGTTAGGTGATTCCACCAAATGCAGAGTTACCACATTTCTCTGTGTACAACACGCACGGGGACATGTCCATAATGTATCATACAATCTTCATGCTATGTACATTTAATATAAATATGATCGTCACTATAGAAGCGTTCCATATCATTGTTGCGACTTATAAATTCAAAACCTACAAATTTCGGCAAGCGAGTCTTCTTTATCGAGCTCACCATGTTGGTCATACACGCATTTGATGTTTTTCATGGAATCTCCAATAACACCAATAAAATTTGAAAATAACAATAAAATTATTATGCCTACATCAGAGACTATACCTACTTTTTCAGATCTCCGTCACCTAGCACATAAATGTAGAAATGAAAAGTAATAGCCTACTTTAAAAAAGTAAAGTAGTGAAAATTCCAAATTTAGTCTCGACATCCCCCAACCTTAGTACTTATTATATCGTAAACGCGAATCAACAATTGATTTTGATGACCGTCTGATCGTATCACTCCCTCCTGTCTATACCAACTAATTTATTACTTATTATTGTGATGACTGGTATTTCATTTTGGTTGACAAAAAATAAAGCTCTCTCACACAAGGCGGTATGATATACACTTTTTAACTAGACACATACATGCCTCAGTTAGATTTTCACGGTCACCTTTAGCGCATTACACTTTGCAGCGGATCATAGCTTGGTCGCTTCCAACGCATGTATCATCTAAAAGGGCGTATAAAGCTACGCACAATCGACCTCCCTCTGGAAATTCTATCTTCTACTCCACAAATGGCTTGCTTTTTTATGCCAGTGTGCGAGATAATTTGAATCACTGTTTCATTAAAGATTACTAATTTCGCATATGGATCTTTATGAAATAAAACGAGTTTTCCCGTTCATGTTAACAAAATCTTAGACATACTGACAGCAACTTTGCATTACCGAGTGTAGGACTATATAAGATTTCAGCTGATCATAAAAATCCTATGTGATGTATACTGACTACTGGGCACCACAAAAGTCCCACAATACACAATATGAAGATTTTGATTTTATTCACAGAATATGGCGCAACTTCACACCTTTTATTCAACCATGCTTCATAACGCAGGGATGACAATCTAACATTAAGGTGCTATTGTGCGGAACAATACGACGCAAAATGGCCTTCTTCACCTATACTGTTTTAGTAGTATGGTAACGCAATTAGCCACTGATATCTACGTTCATGGGTATGTACAACAGGCATAATGAAATGCAAAGTCCATCACCTGAAAATGCTCAGTAGGAACAAAAAAGCAAAGTTGGATTATACACGAAGAAGTGATGAAATAGGCATTTTGTAGTTGGTACAAAACTTTTTACTATCCAGAAATTTGCAAATTTGACATAAATTTTCGTATCATATAAAATCAATTTTGTACAATCAAAGATTACTTTCCAAGGCTCATATTTAAGCAATTCCAAAGTTTCCAAAATAATTGAGCAGCCAGTTATGAACTCTCAAACCCAAGTTAACCATTGAAAAAAAGTTAAATAGACGAATAAAAAAATTCACAGCAACTACAATTCGCAAAGAGATCGAAAATCAAGTAGCTTGCGTACGCGACATGAAAATTCACAAAATACAATTCAATTTACAAATGATTAAATGCACCACACATCAAATAGAGTAGCGGTCAAGGATAATAAGACAAGGGACTAAACAACGCTAGAAAACATATTTTTATTCATTACACGCACACATGAGAGTATAAAAAAGAGAACTCCAATGAGCGCTCCGATTCAAGAAACAAAAAATTAACTTTGCGTGTGAAATATTCACAAAATATTTTTCATTTTTAGTGTAAAACATCATATCAAGTCGAAAAATTGTCCTCAAATGGTTGAGACGAAATTTTTAATTCATTCACGTTTAAATCTAGCAAGATGGACATGAATTTGCGATACTAGTTTCCCCAGTATCCTGAAGCAACATTGCCGTAAGCACTTTGCTTGTTTGCTGACTTCACCAATGAGTTGGAACCCTGAAAACAAGAAATGAATTTTGAACAATGAGGCTTCCATATACAATAATTGATACCCTTTCCTAAACGATAATATGAATGTTACAAACTCAACATTTCAAATGAAATACTAAAAATTGAGTGCTAAATTGAAGCTTTTGCGTTCATTAAAATCTGTCACCGAGAATTTTGTTTTGGTACTTGTTTTGGCAAGGTTTTCTAAACTATTTTTTTGTTAAATTTTAAAATAATAATTTTTTCGAAAATTTTTGCATTCGCCTTTTTATTTTAAAACTATCGATATGTAATATATTAGGTTTATTCCTGATATAAGCAAGGTTAAAATAAAACATTTTGCAATCAATAACAACACAACATTATTTGACAATAATAATATTTTTCTTACCAAGTTTCGTTGCGAACCAATGGGCTGTCCCCCAGTTGCATCCTGGTGCTGCTGTTGCAACAAATGAATAGCCTGCTGCTGAGAAGCTTGATGAGGCTGTAACATTGTCATGTAAGGAGCTGTTCCGTACGGACTGAGACCAGGAGCTCCTCCTCCAGTAGTTGCACCTCCGCCAGCTGCCACAGCAGCAGTTATCGCCTGAATAATTTCAAGTTGATAGTGAGTTACTTATATGAATTAGAAAATTAAACGAGAAATTTTTTCAATATTTTTATATAAATTTTTAATAAAATACATCATACAAATAAGGCATACCTGTAAATTGAAAGGAGGGGGTGTATTCGTATGTTGGTGATATCCTTGTTGCTTTTCGAAAGCAGACTAGAAATAAGAAAGAACAAAATAAAATTAAGATAACAGTACTTGAAACAAAATAAATCATGATACGTAAATTTTCAAGACTTACCGCATGAGTTTTTGAATAATTTGATCCTTGTAAATCTTGTAATCCACTTGAAGACGTGATCGTAGCTAAAAAGAAAGTGTATGTTAACAAGAAATCTTTAAAAACCAAATCTTAAAATAAATGTTTATTTCATATTTGAATAGAAAAGCTGTATACCAAAGTAAGTGCTCGAAAACAACAAAATGTACAACACAGTCAAAACTATTTTTCACTACTCAAGGCATTATTGCTTGTCAAGTTAAAATATTTCATATCTTGAATTAAAGCACTAGATTAGCCTTTCTCAAAATGTGGCATTGCTGGAGTGCATGGCGTTTTTGTTGACCGTTCAATATCGTTAACAGTCGGCCTAAATTTACCATTTTTACCTTCTATTTTCTTGGTGATCCACGAGGCGAGATAAAAAGCATAGGTGTTCAGGGATATAAAGTTTGAGTAACGCTGCTCCAAATAAGCAGTAATTATGGAAAGTGATATGCTTGGAAAAATAAAATTCATAGTATGCATATCGCATTTTAAAACAGATCGGCACAGTGAAAACAAACTAGCTTTTGACACATTTATCACAAATGAACTTTTATTGATTTCTTTCAGTCTGAGTTTCATAACTGCACTTGTTGTAGGTTTGTAACTTGCTCCAAAAATGCGATTTTGACAAAACCTTAAAATATGATGTAAACTAGTTTTGTTCTACTGTGACAATATATTTTCCAAGCGCACTCGAATTTTTATTAAAGCTGTCATCAACTCACCATTTGAATACGAGTGACCGAAACCAGTAGTCGGCTGCTGAAATCCAGTCGTGGTATTAACAGAATGTTTTGGAGCTTGGTGCATGGCAGCAGCAAACATAGTCGGAGGATACTGGAATCCAGCAGTGTTGGGCATCCCAAGACCATAATATGGAGCGGCAAGACTACTGTAACCTGCGTATGCCGGCATTGCTGCACCAACAAATTGCTGCTGCTGTTGAGCTGAATGATGACCAGCTGTCTGAGAACCTATATATTAGGAAAAACAAATCTTTATTGATTTCTGTATCATGGTTTTCCATTAGGTCGTAGAGGGCAGTAAATTGGAGTAAAGACAAATTGGAAAAAACGTGGACCAAAAAAATGTCCGGTTGTTTTACGGCAGGCTTACTATCGTATTTATTGGCTCTCGATGAGCAGCTGTTTAGTCATGAGTCTATGAATGAGGAGTCTAGCTGCACCTAGATAAATATTCATGTCACACAAAAGCTGAGATTTTGCGTTTTCTCGTCTCTCATTTTTGCTGTGAATTGGTCATTTCAGTGTACTTTGGGGATAGGGTTTAGCCAGGCAGGGCTGATATAAATTTATAATTAGGGCATAGAGGGGGCAAATGACAGCACCATTCAAAATAATCGCTCATAAGTGAAATAAAGACTGGTCAGCTTTTCAGAAAACGCTTAAATTACTTAAAAGAGAATTGACATAAGTTTCAAAGAATAATAATAAATAATTAAACCATGAATTGTCGCACCCTTCAACTGTGTACTCTGCTGTGAAACTGAGGAATTGTGTTGAGACAATCCCGATCCCATTGATCCAGACAGGTTTTGCAGTTGGGAGGCCGTAGGCGTCGGACTTGACGGCTCTCTATTGTATTTACTGTAAAAATGAAAATTTTATGTAAGTTATGTAAATCCTTACTTACAACCTATACACAAAACCAATTTTTTAGCAAGTCTTGCAACAATTGGTTATAAAAATGTGTCTTTGAGTAGATTTGAGAAGAGTTTAGATCAGAAAGTAGCCTGTCCATTTCAATTTGTTCAGTCAGTCTAGGTTCATTTCTTAATTTGAATAATGCTAATATCATGTGTTGCATTTTACGGTATTGATGAGAATTTCATTATTAGCGATTTAGTCGTAATTAGAGAATTTATTTTGTTTAAATATATGGAAGCCTACCCTTGAATATGATTGGTTTAAATATACATGAAAACTAACCTTTGACCAGATGACACTTGCGCAGTCGAGTCCCGTCCATTCACAGCTGCGTTTTGTGTATTGTTGTGGAAGTGCATATCGTAATAGTTTTGCTTTAGAAAGAAAATTTGTGTGAGAAAGAGAAAATCACAGAGTAATTTGTAAAAGGAAAATTTATAAAATCTTTCTCACCAGTGGATTTATAACTCTAGATTGAGCCAGGAGTAATTGGTCGTATCCATACTGCATATCCGGCTATTAGAAAACACAAGTATTAGTATATAAGGTATACAAACATAATGTAGCACTGTATACAAATTCTAAAAAGTTTGAGAACCACTGGTCTAATAGAAGAACGAACTAACGACATTCCAAGAACATATTCTCAAAAAACAATGATGAATTATGTCATTGAAAATATTGACTGAAAGGATTCAGTAAGTAAACAGAAATTTCAAAAAATAAACTGCTTATACTCACAGTATAAGGCATAAGCCCTGCCATTGGGATTCCATATTGACTCGGTAGAATTGGAGTTGTGACACCAGGAGGCATATTAACAGGAGCCTTGTTCGTTATTGGATGCGGCATTTTCGCAGTCGCTGATTTAAAAAAAAAAGAACGATGAAAAAATGTTTTTTAAATGAATGTTTTGTAATAAGCAAAGTGTAAATATCTTACCAAATCCGCCCAAAGTGCTTGAAGAAAGAGTTGACGTCGTTTGTGCGTTGTAACCAGATGCCTGCATGTTTGCAATCGTAGTGACTGTTGAAGGCGTTTGCGACGGAACAGACTGTTGCGACTGTGTCAGCATTGCGGAAGATGGAACACTCGATGGCGTTGAAGTGTATGACGAACTGAACGACGACATGGAATCCTGTGTTGCGTCGTAACCACTTTTTCCCATCGATGTACCAGACGAAATGGAATCTGATAATCCGCGACTTACTGATGTTGAAAGTGACGACGCGGAATATGGCATGGCAGTACTAACGGCAGTCGACAAAGCTGATGACAACATTGAAGACTGATTGATAGCGGATGGCCCAGTGCCATGATGATGGTGCTGCTGCGCAGCAGGTGACGCGATGCTAACTTGAGATAAGCTTGTTGCCAATGACGACATGTTTGACAGAGAAGTGACTGCAGACTGTAACAACAATAAAATAATTGCTTCCGTTTCATTTATCTAAGAAATTATACATCATACTTATAAGCCCTTTGCATTGAACATGGGTCTACATGAGAAGTCACTGCTAGGCAATAAGATACTATAGTTTGTACGACGCGGAGGCCACAACACCAACAAATCCCCTATCAATAATTACATATAGTATCTACCATTAGTATCCAGAATGTACCGGCAGTCTATTTCCAACAAGATGAAAGGAGTGGTAATGTCACACCAATCGCTTAGAACAGGGGTGTGTAACCTGCGGCCGCCAAGGAGAAATTGTGCGGACCGCCGAGAAATGCCAATTTTGAAGTGTGCGGCTCACTAGGAATTCCCATCCCTTTGCGTTGCGAAACATATACCAGAGTCCAATTTATTATCTATGCCTATGACATTACAATGTCCTAACAGCTATCTTGTGCAAAGGGAACAAAACACCAAAATCAATCAGATCAATAACCAAAATTTTTGCGTCTGCCACTACTAGAAATCCTTTGTTATATAAAGGTACGTTCCGCGGTTTCACCCAGTTATTTGCATCTGACCCTCCTGTATTGAAGGTTGCACACCCCTGGGTTAAGACATAAAAGGTACAGCTATAAACAAAGATAATGCATTTTTAGTTGTACAAACAAATAAGTCGTAATCTACCTCCATATTGGAATTTGGATCTTTTACAGGAGTGTTGCCAGACATTTGCATCATTTTGGGCATAGGAGAGGATTGCAAACTCCCTGGCAAGCTGGATGAAGGAACAGGAGAATGCATACTACGACCTTAAATTCAAGAAGAAAACATTGATTTAGAATATTTACATCTTAAAGAAATTGTATATTACTATCATCTCGAGTGGAGAAGAGGGGCGATGACCTCATATATATTGAAGTCTACAAAATTTTGAGTTTACGCGAATCCAACACCCTATCCTTTTCGAGAAATTTTGCTAGCGTATCAGTATGTGTTTAATGCAAAAATGCTGTGGTAGGAATAAAGGTGACTATGTATATACTAACAGTTTCCAACCGAGGGCCACAGAGCAGGTGGATGGGGGCCACAATGCCAGGTGCAAAAATCAATTTACTTTTCACTTCACAAGAAAACATCTCGTTCTCCCTAATTTCAGTGCTTGATAAGGTTATTTCACCGAGTATTCTCATTTTGTTGAGCATGGATGGTTTGAACATAATGGAATTTGGAATCTACCAATCAAAATAAAATAACCCTATAATATAAATACCACTAGAATGATAAATGGGGGGCCACGAGTGCCATGAGCCTTTGAAACGGGGCCACGAGCCTTTGAAAGGTGAGAACCACTAGTATATACTATGTATGTAATTCAAAAGTCAGTCTTGCCGCACACTGACCCAAATGTGTTTGGTCAGAACCTTATGACAAATACCTATGTACATCTTCGTGCATTAAATTTGGTTAAATTGATTGATATCACGAATTCAATAATCATCAGAATAGTAAATATAATGAAACCAAACTAAACTATTCTAGAACACGGATAGTAGGTTGCATGTCATTTTTCACTTAATTTGCCTTAGCTGATTCAAACAGCACATGCTAACATACTATTATATCTCGTCTTCAAGAATGGCATCTATTAAGTCGTAAGAATGACAAGAAACTACGCCATTACCAGAGGAAAGCTCCGACTGAATTTGTTGACCTGGCTTTTGTGAACCAGACGGCGTCGTTGAATAGTACGAATGAACTTGGGAAAAGCTGGAACTCAAACTGAAAAATAAAATTAATTTCAACCCCTGAAAGATTTTCCCTATACTTCAATTTTCAATGCTGATTTTGAGAGTGCTTTGGAGAGTTGGCACTTACAAACTGGTTCACATGTTCAAAACTATCATTTTTATTCAAAACAATAAACCATGTGCCGCTTATAGTTACTGATACCTAATTTCAGGTCAGTCCATCGCAGCGGTTGCGGTATCAACTTTTGATTATTGTAACGAAACTAAAGGTCCTCGGAAGACACAATGACAATTAAGTTATTTGATTTACAACTATTTTTTTGAAACACAACAACTAAAAACTGAAAAATACCAAGCAAAACTACCAAAAAAGGAAATGTTTACAACCTCAGTTAAATATCTGGCTGAGCGAAACAAATGTCTGAGCGATGGCATAAGTTCCAATTGCTACGTTATTGTTAACTTATTGCTGATTTGTAATTGTTACAAAAATAAAATAGGAAGATAGATGTGATAAATTCCTACCTTGAAACTTGATTTAACGAGGAATCCAAAGATCTTCCAGAAGCCATATGATCATTTGGAGCGTTATACGCTGACCCAAGATCATTTCCATGACGACCAGATCCAACATGGCCACCGCCTCCTGCATTGAGAGAGGAAAGTGCAGAAGATGCAGAAGCAGGAATTGTTAAACCAGGTGGTGCACGCGTCGGTGCGTCCAGTGCAGAAGTACCAGTAACAGTTGAGGCTAAAAGCAGAAAAAAATAAAAGATCTCAATATACTCGCAATTTAACAAAAAATCTCCATAATAATGATATCAGTTGGTAGAGATAAAATAACCGTTAACTGCAGCAAGCATAACCATTGGTATGTTGGTGAACTTGGATGACTTGTACTCATCAGAAAGTCAAAACAATACGGGGTGGCGTAAAAAAAACAGAACCCAAGACATTTGAAATATTCTGGAGCAGTGAGGTTCTCAAACTATGGGGAGGTATTTGCGGGGACGTTTTGTGAGGGGGCGTTTTACTATCTGTTATTTGCAGCTAATTTTTGATGTGGGGCGCGAGACTTGATAAATACTAAAAAAGGTGCATGCGTGACTTGAAAAGTTCGAAAACCACTGTCCAAGAGAGAACATAACTTTTATGCAAAGCAATTACTGAAATTTTTAGATAAAATCATACACAAACTGAAATCCCATTGTTAAATAAAAATTACTTATTTGTGCACAAGTAATTCAGAATGTATGGGTCCTGTTTATTTGTGGGCACCCGTATTTTGAATTCAGTGTACATTTGCATGCATAGATAATTGGTGAGAAAAGAAATTTTTCTACCCGGGGTCACGTCACCCCAATAGTTGGACAGAGGCACCCAATAGTTAAAATAGATATTAAATATTTGATACCTTGAATTAATTAAGAACTTACATTCTACCATTCTATTGCCAGGTGGCATCATAACATTTTCTTGATTCCGTTGCATTTCATTCTTTGTAGGTGTCATCTGAAATGTACCATGATTAAAACTAAGAGCTTTTAACCTGGTATTAGCTCGATCGAACATGAACCAGCATTCACCTGATAGTTAACCGTAGGTAAGGAGATACTCCATTAGGAACTGGAATCTTTCCAGAGTACCTAAATCAGTATTATTCTATGCAGTGCCTCTAATAGAAACAGCAATCAAACAGTCAATTTTATCTAAATGGTTGCAAATGTCAACTAAAGATAAGTATACCTGTTGTGCTGACTGACTGAACAAGGATTGGTCTGGAACACTTGATGAAAGATGATTGGTCTGTTGCTTCTCTGATGAAACATCACTGAATTAAAAAAAGTTGAACAGGTTAGAATCTCAAGTACAGATAAACATAAGAGTATGCAGTAATGGAATAAACTAAATCAATCAATTTTATTGATGATTCAGTTGCCATAAGCATCAATGGTAGCTAAAAATAAGACTGCCCTTCTGCTGATTTCTTAGAATTGGATAGACAAAAGATCGACAAAATTTTTATCACAACAATCTGCTTGCGAAATGCAGAAATTCTACCTGGCTTTTTGAATTTTTTGCATGAAAGCAGGCATAAACCACTGAAAAAATGAAAAAAAAAATTCAAATTTGTTTGTGAGCAGTTTATGTGCGAATATACAACGAAGATAGCTTTGTAGTGCGTAAATGTCTTTCGATTTGTACCGTAATGAACATTTGATATTTATTTTTCACTTAGTTTCCAACAATATAGTTCTTTTTTTAATACACAATGAATGTCGGTAGGCTAATGAAGCTTTTGGCCTATAGAAGTATTCCAATTTCAAATATTGGTCATATAGGTATATCGATTCGTTGTCTCACATATGAAACAGTTTTAGAATGTAACATCAAGTAAAAATTATATTAAAAAACAAGATGCCAGAGAAAAATGAAAAATATCAAATTTATACACAGAATTAATAATCGTTTTAAAAACTCACTTATTCATGAATAAGCTTCTTTGCTGTGCCATTATATTCTGTGATCCCCCATTATGTGGCATTCCGACATCAAACCCTGAAGATGACAGCGACGAAGGATCCATAGGTGGGGCAGAATCGTCCGCACCAAATTGTAGAGAAAACTGCGTATTGTACGCACTGTTTCCAGGCATCTCTACAGCCGAAGCAGGAATCTGAAAAAAACATTTTATTATTTTAAAAAAAATTCACCAAAGAGACAGACTTGCGAATTTCTAAAATGTCTTACAACCTTCGGTGGTAGAGATGGCATTTTCTTTCTTTGTTGCTTGCTCTGTTGGTTAATCTGAGGGGGCAAAGGTGAACCAAAGGAAAGATGCGACTCGTCTTTCAAGGAGCCTTGATTCTGCATTTCTGCTACGCTTGACTGAACTTGCCCAGGACCATGTCTCATGGATGACTGACTTCCTCCAATAGGAATTCCCAACTAAATTTGAAGAAAAAAATAAGAGAAAACAAGCGCAGAAATCTTTATCAGTCTGCGTAAGACTCGAAAAACTTTATTAAGTGATGGCGAAGAAAAATTATAAAATGAGCAAAATGACCATGTAACAGTAGGGAAGGCAAATGAATCAGAAAAAATATCAAGAAAAAGTGCATATAGGACTCTTTTTTATTGTGGATTATGCCATGAATTATATAATCGATTTTGAAATACCAACCGAAGCTTTCACAGCATCCGTAGCCTGTTTCTGTTGTCCTTGGGAAAAACTGTTCATGTCACCACGATTCCCGACAGTTGTATTTGGTTGCTGTCTCACCTAAAAAATTTGATAATTTTGGCAAAACGATTTTTATAATAAAAAAGGAATTAATTCTTCAGCGTACCTGAGAATAGGATGACATTGACGTTTGCTTGCTCGATAAATCGGCCAGTTGTCCGAGCATTCCAGATTGAGATTGACTTGCTCCTCCAAGTCCACTAAACGAGTCGAGGAATGATGAAGAGGATGAAATATTTTTTGGTTGACTCGAGTGTGCAGCGAGTTTACCATTCAGTTGAGAATAAGAACTAAAAATCATAAAAATAATAAATTAAATTTAGAATTGAGCTATTCGATTGAGTTTTTTGGATGAAGTACCTTCTACCAGTAGTCTTTAACCATTGAGCACTCTATACATCATCAGTGAAAACGCTTTTTCTACCGAATAAAATGTTGAAAAGAAACTATTCATGCTTCTATTTCGTAATTTCAGATATTTGCCACATGACATGCACCAAAATGTATACCTATCCTTTGTAAAATTAATCCTGACTTTTTGTGATACCGTCCCCTCAAAGCTTTTCATCACTATTATCTATTTTGCCCCACAATATTGTTCACTTTGAGAATCACTGCGGTACTACATTAACAACCTGTATTAAAATGTGGGAGGCGTACACTACAACTTAGGCAAAACCTTCTGCCCGCTGCCCTGAAGCCTTCAATTCTTGATAATAAATTCAATTTCTATTGCATGATAGAATCAGAAACGGTCAAAATACAAATAACATTAGGACCGAACTTGATCATGCTCAAACTTGAGAAATAACAGCACCCACAAAGTTAGGATATAAAAATTCAGTAACTGGTTACTGAACTAGTGACATCAACCAACAACCAAACAGTGATACATCAATATGCGACTGCCCAGTTCAAATAGTTTGAATATTCAGAATAAAAAAAAAAAGGCTGTACCTGTCCACAGCGACAGAAGCTTCATTTTGTTTAAACAGACTGTCAGTAGCAGATGGTTGTTGAGGTGTTTGTTGCTGTTGACCACGTTGATCATAATCAGAAAATAATCTCGACGCACTAGAGTTGCTCTCACTGAACAGTGAGTTTGACTAGAAAAAATGATGATTCATTTAATTTTTTTTTACAAGGCCATTTTTTCTTTGCCATATTTGAAGGAAACTCATTACAATAACTTGGCAATTTTATTAAACGAGTGATCGTCGAAGTGGGGTAAATTACCTCACTCAAATGGCACAATTTGAAAGTTTCCTAGGGCAGTTTCAAGTGCCACGATGTTCGAATAAAAATCTATTATTATCTCACAAATCTCAGCTTCATAAAATTATATTGTTAAGTGTGGCAACATTTTTATACTGTTGGTATAAGTGCATATATACGATATGCCTTGTAGAGATGTTATAGTCACCAACAAAGCTTCTTGATATTGGTCAGTCAGTCAGGAGTATAAACAAAACTTTTGTATTAGAAAAGATTTGTATGCAAATGTTTGGCACTAAGTACATTGGATAACCTGTTTTACTTTTTCTTTGAATATTTCAATTTTTTTTGGCAAGGGAAGAATATCTCGTTTGGGAGTTGAATTACAAAGAGTTAAAAAGCTGAAAACTTTTTAAAGATCTGGGAATCTAGGATGCTGGCAAGACCACAAAATGTTGCGCAATATCCATAAATTAAAATTTCCAGTTTCAAGACCTCCAAGGAAATTAGAAAAGATAGATCAGTGCAGCCTAGACTATATCGAGATATAATAAAATATAGATAACTCAAAATAGTCGATAACTTTTCACAAAAACCCTCGAATACCTGTCCTTGCTGCTGTAACTGCTGAATAACATTGGGCGCAGTGTGTTGAGGAACAGAATGTGATTGAGGAGTATTCCCATATCCCATTCCACTGTGGCTTCCATAACTTGATGTATTATCACTCGCTCGCATTGACGAGTTACCTGAATGCGTGAGACCCATCGTTTAAGAAGTGAAAGTAAAAACAGCCCTACAACGGTGAATTTATGAAAATTTGCATATAAGCAGACCCTACAAATCGTACCTTAAATGTTAAAATCGACATTGCTTTGGATTTCGTAATATTAGTAAGGTTCAAATTTACGGTAATATATAAAACTAAATACAGTCTTTTTAAATTACATTCAATTATCCTATAACTAGGTCAAAAATTTACCAGATTTTTTGAACAGCAGCCCCAAATCGATTCTTTCTCCAGTCTGTGGCGTTGTACTCGGATAATGATTGGTCATTGTATTATCACCAGTGCTTTGCATTAAACTTTGACCTCCTCCATCAGGTGCATTATTATTACCAGTGATAGATTGAACAGGAGGTAGTTGGATATTTTGAGCTTGGAAAACTTTTGTCTCCGTCAACTAGATAGAAATAAACCCTTATCAGTAAAGTAAAAAGATATAATAATCAGATAATCTGCCATTTTGGGTAAAATTTAATGAAGACTCAATATAAAAATTTTATCTACCAGGAAGTCCTTGAAATCATAAATTATATAACACAATTACAATTCAATTCTGCAAATATGCATTCATATCACATAGAGCAACTTTTAAGCCGTGACCCAAGACTGGATCGCCTGTGAATCATTTCGGTTCGCTTGTTTTTTCAACAAAAAATTGAAAGGGACTGATTTCATATTTTAGGAAATTTTATTGTTTTTTATTTATTTGATATTGAGGTTTTGCTCAATAATTGTATATATGGAAAGTATCACTGCGTAAAAACTTGGCAGCATCTATTAGCTTACAGCATCTCGCTAGTGGAAAACAAAGCTTTCTCATTTGGAAGTGATTTCTGGGAAAATAACTTCAAAATGATTGTTTCATATTCGTAATTGAATTTTACTACATGGCGTTTAGTATTTGAGTATATCCTTGGGTCGCGAGACTTCACAAAATTTACTTTTCGAAAAATTTAGGTCGCTTCATCAAAAGGTCGGGAACGACTGACATAGAGTCCTTCCGACATTCTTTATAAAAATGGAAGGTTTTATATGAAAATATATAATAAAAGTTGAGTAAGTTACATTTTTCAAAATTGATTTTTTTTAATCTTCTGTCAATATAGATTAAGGGGCCCATCTTTTGATCTGCGTTCCAAAGCTGTATCAGTTTAAGTTTTGTGTTTAGACAGTGTCTTGTGTCCATTTTTAGGTTCGGCCATTAGAAATTGTAATTACAAAATTACAATTTTCCTAAAACATCAAAATGTGACATAAGCGAATTCGGTTCCATTGTATCATCAAAATACGATAAGATAACCTCCATCGAAAAATATGGCAGTTTGTTTATAGTGAAGGAACTAATTCAAGTCTAAACAATTTGTATACCAAAGTCCCATTTATAAAAAACAAACGCGATAAACATTCACTTATTGTTCATGAGTGATAAAACACAGGAAAAACCTTAGAAGGTGGCTTAATATAGTTAAAAGAATCAAAATTAATCACGTTTCTACATTTGAAAAAAACAAAAACAATGTGTTCAAAGTTGACAAAATTTGTCAAATCAGACAATGTGTTTATTAGTGTAACCATAGCAACCTACTTCATCATTCCAACTTTCAGTTCCCCAATTGTCTCCAAACGAATCAGTTTTTTCTTTTTGAGCTTTTTGCTTCTTTGCATCTTCACTTGACCAAGTACCAACCTGTGATCAATAGGAAAATTAAAAAAACTTATGGTTGGCAATTTCACGTTCAATATTATATAAAAAATGAAATTTATTAGAAAATAAAATCAATAATGACAAATCAAAAAGAAAACAACAAATTTGGGGTATGATCTGCGTGTTAAAATCATGCTAAATAATGAATATTTGACCATCCAAAATAATTACAGTCTTTTCCTAATTGCACCCTAAATATCAAATCAGTATGTGCTTTTCGTTAGGTCTCGTATGAAACGAAGGCGTTGTACATCTTATAAATACAGTAAAAGAAAACAATAGGCTGGATTTGTTTCTTATCAGTCAAAATCAGTCGAATTAATTTGACAGAAGCATCTAGAATCAGAGAAAAATAATGATTACCTCTATATCCCAACATTCGGTACTTGTTCCTCTCCACATGTCAACAGGTTCTGTAAGTGAGTCTTTTGCATTTGAATCATCCCCATATTTTGAACCAAATGTCTGATTTCTGAAACGAGAAATGAACATTTTTTTCGAGAATATCAATTTCGGTCAAGATGAAAAAAACTTTAGAAGGAATTGTACTTATAATGTCTTGGTGCTCCACCCCCTCGACCTCTGCCCCCACGTCCTCTGTTTGTCCCAGATCTTCCGCGACCTCTTCCTCTCCTCTGACCTCTGTCTTGAAAATTTTCATTTTCTTTGTCATTATCATCTGTGGTTCTGGTCCTGTCTTGGTTCCGTCCTGATAAAAATAGCATTTAGAGTATTACAATACTGATGACCATATTGTGATTGCGAGGTGGTTTAGATCCTATACCTCCCGGCCCCACCTATCCCAAGGCAGAATAAATTAGATGGATTAGGTACCTCCTCGTCCTCTTCCGCCGCGTCTGTTCCCTCTCCCTCTTCCTCTCGATTCTCCGCCATCCCATTCTCTTCTGTTTTCGTTTGTTTTATCATCTTTCGTTTCGTCATCAAATGTGTCTTGTCCTCTTGTCATACTCGATCCACCTCTGTTTTTTCTCCGACCCGCGGTTTCCCATCCACTGTCCTGTTAAAATAAACGATAATTTGTTTTGAACAAATATTTTTAATTATATCTACTACTACCTGAATCGTCTATAACGATACGTGAAAACCAGATTGTTACGTAATAACATATTCGCCAATTAATAATTGTGAAGTGGTTTGATATGAATTTAAATTTAATAGGTTAACACTGACATAGGCGAGCAAAATAAACAAATGGTAAAAACAAATTTTAACCATTGCTGTATATATATATATATATATCATAATAAATTGATTTAACATTAACCTTTTAAATTAGACGAGAGATATTTTTGCAAGAGTCGTAAATTTATAATAATTTATTTTTGGTATGCGGAGTATAAAATGCTATTTTATAGTTCAACTAATAACTGATGTAATGTAATCATTGCAACTATATTGATAAGATGTCCACGAATCAAGAATTATTTATCAATATATTCAACTTCGAGTTATGTATGGGCCGCACTACTTTAAAAATATGAGATCGGTGGACAGCCACAGGAAAAAATTTAAGGAAATTTGAGCAATTAAGATAAACTAGGCACTATACCTCCCCCTTTGAGCCTCTTTCCAAAATTAATTCAATGGCTCTAATTGGATCATTACTGGAATCATATAAAGCTAACAATGCATTTTCCTCACTGGTACCTGTGACTTCAACAATCTGAAAAGAAATAGATCATAGATGATCGAGAAAAATTCGATATCAATAAAAATTTCCCATTGTTCACATAGAACAAATCATGAAAAAACAAAAATTCAAATCATATTCTTATATGGCCAAGCTTGAATTAACTTTAAAATATAATTTTAACCGTGTCCCATATTTGGAATTTCCTGAATGCAATTCCTATTTTTAATTTATTTACTTAATCTTTCTGCCTACCTGTGAAACATTTTTAGATAATAATATGTCGTCATCCTTTGGTTGGTCGTTGACTAATTGTGCGATTCTCATCTGTTCAGCTGTGGCCTGTGGCATAAAAAGAAAAATAACATCAACATAGCAAATAAATTAATCGTAGAATCACTCATATACCAAGGGCATAAACAAAAATGTGAGAAACTACAAAAATGTGTCAAATATTGTAATTAAGTTTGAATATTAAAGTTTATATTTAATATATAAGAACAGTGTTTCTCAACCTATTGAGTCGCAACCCAAAACCGGATCGCCTAAAAATTTTCTTTTTTCAATAAAACTTGAAAGTTACACTAATTTTATAGAAAATTTCATGTTTATTTCCTATTTGTATTGAAGTGTCACTCAATCGTAACAGTATCACTGCGTAAAAACTTTCTTTGAAACATTTATTTTGCTAAGTAAAGCCAATCGATTTCAAAAACTCACTGATGGCAAACACGAAGTTTTCTCATTTTAAAGTAATTTTTAGAGATATTTGTTATATAAAATGAATTGTTTTTTTTTATTCATTCACTTTTGGTCATAAAAGTAACAAACATTTAGTATTTGAGTATATCCTTGAGTCACACGATTTTTTTAATTTGTGTCGCTTGAAAAAAAGGTCAGGAACCATTGTATTAGAAGGATCAGTATTAAATTCATTCCCAAAGCAATAATCTGAGACAATGACAAAAGTGTAAATATAAATCAATGAAAATTGTTACAAATGCACAAACCTGTGGAATTTTATGAGTCGTCTGTTTCCCACCACCACTACTGTGTCCTGTGTTTGATTTTTCTCGCTTTTGGCTTCCACCACGGGCCGATGTCTCATATGACATGACCATTTATATACAAATATGTACAACAGATATTATAAATCAGTTTCATGCGCTGTTAACACAAATAATAAATATCGGAAATGACAGGGGAAACGAGTAAGGCAATTTCGCATTCATAGACAATGGAATTTGAACACATTTTGGTCATGATATATTTTTTTCAATGCTAGCTAGTTTGTATTATAAGAATGTAGAAAATATAATGAATTCAATTCAATGAACAGTGCTTGAACAAATGGTCTATTTAAGAAAAGAAGTTTACATTGTTTGATAAACTGCAGAACTAATTCCCCAAAATCATAAAAAAAATGATATATTCATAACATTAGACCATTATGTCTACGGCACCGCTGCATTTCTAAAGCCAGAAATATTCACACGCAGTGAAGAAACCCATCAGGAAATGATCGGATATGACCTTATAAAATGGCATTATTCAATAGGTAATACAATTCATTCAGTCCACGCCCTATTATTGTTTTGAAAATTAGTAAAGAACAATTCTGCTAGTAAAGATAGAATATGAGACGCAATTATATCTGAATAAGAGTATTTATCTGAGCAGCATTGTTTATCAAATTTGGCACATAATTAATGGTTTACTTGCAGTTTAACTATTACTGATAAAGTATAGTAGAAGAAAAAAACATAGTGGAAATATTTGCTTAGATATAAATGAAGGAAATGATCAAGGAAATTAATCAATCTTGGCATAAGATTACATCATTTCAAAATGCATTGAAGATTTGTATCCCTATGATGCAGATAACATTCTTATTAATAAACATGAATTCGAACAAACAAATCTAAAAAGGTTGAAGCTCTTTGAATGTTTTCATCCAGTAGCCTCAGTTATCATGTAATAGTGCAGGGAATAGCAAAATACACAAAATAAAAAAATCAATAATAATGCATATTATTATGCAGGAACTACTCAAAGCAGAATGCATGTGATTACTCATAGACAAATATAGTTGGGCTATGAAGACATAAATTTATAATCGATTTCACACACTCGCATAGTATTTTAAAAATATATATCACTTTTCAATTTGTCCATCTCTAGTAGATGAAAAATCACAGATCTAATAATTAACATGTAGTTAGTACAAACAATTCAGTACTATTTAGTATTCGGAATACTTAAATCATGAATTATTAAACTGTGTGGTGAGAGAATGTCCTAACTGTCAGAGTCCACTATCTATGGTTATGTAATAATGCACACAATTAAGTTTGACACCAGTCATTCGACATCAGGTCAACAATATTGGATTCAACAGCATGGCATGCTAGAGTGATTCAAGAGTCTTGCTGCACACTAACCCAAGTTCTACACTACACACAAACATAGTTCAACATGTTACGTCTGACCAAGGTAAGACAAAATCCTACAGAAATATATGTGTTAGGGTGCAGCAAAGCTCTTGAATCACTTAGGATTGTTATCTTTACTCTTGCTACAGCATCCTCGCATTATATGCATACGGATCCACCGGCACAGAAGCATAGAAGAAGGATAAGTAGTTAGTCTCGCAGAAACCAAATAATCATGGCATGCTTGTATTTTGAAATGAGAGAAAATAAAGAGAAGCATGATGAAACATCTTATGTATGACTTGTTCCTACATTCTCTAGAAAAAGTAAAATGGGAGAAACTAGACAAACCAGCCAAAACAACTGCACTAGTAAATATCATAATTTATTTCATTATTTATGTTCCAAATACGTATTTTCAATGTGTTTTATGAATAAAACATACTTTCGCCTTATTATCTGTTATTTGTAGCTTATTGTCAGCTAGTTATTTTTTGAGTTGGGGTGAAAGACTTGACACATTCCAAAAGGGACCGCAGCTTAAAAAGTTTGAGAACCACTGTGTTGGGACAATGCCCTCAAAACAAAGAAAGCTTGATGGCAATCCTTAATAAGCAAAATGGAGTATAATCTTACACTTTTGACTTAAAAATTTATACTATACTTTCTTTGAGTGACACAGGACTTCCAGAATAGGGATGACAAAAATCAAGATATACCATTTATATAAATGCAGATATTTTTTTTAATAATTTACTAGACAAGTTGATTCAATTCGTTACCACGAATCACAAATATCTTGAAAAAAAAAAATTTGCGATAAAATCCCCAAAAATACAATTTGTTTTGGTACAACATAAAAATTTACACAGACTAGATTATATATTATCATAATTAGGAGGAAAAGTCAAGTGTGGCTATAGTAATTTACTGTGATATTTATATTTACTGTGCTATTTTATTTTCGTATTTGCCTGTGTTTATTGGTTTGTTTATGTTATTTGATATGGATAAAGGCCTGGTGTGATAAACGAATTGAATTAATATTGGTTAAGAAAGTACATTTAGCGCATAGTCAACTGTTTCAACTTCCGTTACCATGGTGCAGTTACCACGATAATTTTGTCAATTCAGTATTTAAAATAGCGCTTGTTATCTGTCACAAGGCATAATACAAAATTTATGTTTGTTTTTTTTTACTAATTCATAAGACCGTTTTTGAGTATTCAGGTATTAGAATTCACTCTCTCATTTTCATTCAGGAATTTGAGTCGCGGACTTACTTTTTAATTATCATTAGCCTAGAAACTCGTCGCTGATGATAGCACAGTAACTGATAACAGAATACCAAGTTTTTTATACTGCACATTTTGGGATACTAAAAAAAACGATCGATGTCCTTATGGCATTTCAAAAGCAAAAGCAGAATAGACATTCTGACAATAAGCTAAATTTTAACACAGCGATCTGCTAACAGTCAGACAGTCATTAATAATCCAACTTAACTCCAAAATTAGGCCATCTTCTAACAATCCTGCTGCTGTGCTGTACCGGTACTGACAAACTGGTCTGCTGGTGGTAGCCCTATTTCAGTATTTTGCCAAAAGTAAGTAGTGAATCTAACCTGCGCACCCACCCACAACCCAGCAATCGCAGGTTAAGCCAGTCAGGGGTGTTGTGAAAGGCTTATTCATAATGTTCACCATGGTGTGCCAACTCATATCTCCACAAAAATACTAAACAATGGTCATTATTAAAAATAGAATACCACCAAACACAAACCACAAAAAATACTGAATAAAAATAGGCAGAAAACAACCACAGAGATACAGGAAGCAGAACATCGAAACTCAAATCAATTCCTTTTGTTTGTGGAAAGTGGATTGCATCACGTGATCAACGAAACATGACTTTTGTGTGATCATTAGCGACCTCGGTGGGAGCCTATGTCATTTATTTGTTTGTACGTGACCACGTAAATAAAATAAACGCAATAAAATGATTTAATCATTTTGAAAGTTTTAAAAATTGGTCAAAGTAAAATTTGAGTCAAGTGAGACAGCAATATCATCATTCAATATAAGTGTGGTTTCGTGTGTCTGATGACGTCATTGACATATCTCTTTTTGACTTAACCGCCCCCAACGGGCGATATGAGTATACGGATAGTAATGAAAGCATCATGAACAAAGAGAGCACATAAAGACTAACAAATCTTGTAGTAAGGTTTAGGTCGAGACTAAAATCGTTGTATAAAGATAACAATGTAATGTCACACATTTTCCATTCTGTAATAATAATAGATGAGGTACATAATTTAGTTAGAAATCCGCCATAGTGTGAAAAATGACAACCCACAAGACAAACACCTAGAACGAAAATTGAAAATTCGAAAAAGTTGTCAAAAGTGAATATGAGGTGTAAACATGCTTCATAAATACACATAATAGGCAGGCATTCTAGCTCTTACTAGAAGAAGAAACAAGAAGTAAGAACTCTATAATAATTGACGTTTTAAAAATAACAGATATGACAAATAGGAATTATTACCGAATTCTGTTTGGAAATATTAGGAAGTTTATTCCATGCATATTTCAAATTCAGCAAGCATATTTTAACTGACTTGCTAACCAAGACGTAATACCATATGAATTTAATTTCAATATATGTGCCTGATTTTTTTTCATGATCATTTTGTTGTTTGCAATACCGTTAACAGAAATTTTTGGAAAAAGGCAAAAAGTCGCGGGCTCTCGTAAAGACGATCAACCCACGAGCAACCACGTCTCACATCAGCAATTGAACGCATGTCATTGTTGGTTTTATCATTTCTTATGAACGATTACGCAAGGTCATTACCACAATTGTACACAAATGTCTCTCTGTAGAAGTTAAGACTGTCTACAGTCGATACTTGGTATTTTGGCTGTTGATGCTTGTCTACAGAGAATGGAATTGAGGGTGGATGCATTCTATGATTATGGTGCTATAGTAGCAGATATACAAACGAGTTAGCCTATTCGAAGACCATCAGGGAGAATGTTTCCATGTGGCAGCGCTCCTAGTTCTGTTGCGTTAACGAAGTGTTTTCTTATCTTGGTAAAGACAGACTTGGTAAGCACAGACCCTGGAATTAATTCTCTCCAAACTCGGCGTATAGCCCCGTAAATAACACAAATCGTCCGAGAGGTCCGTTCAAATACGGAAGTCTGGTTACGATTCATATTTTCTCTAGATCAGTGATTCCCAAAGTGAGCGATATCGCCACCCCTGGGCGAAAACAATGCAGAAGGGTTCTATAACGCAGAAAATATTCAAATGGAACTCCTTGCGATGCAATGCAAGTAGGAAATAAAATTCATATTCTATTCGAGCGATGCACCACTGCTTGATGTTTACAAAAATGCATCTTCTTAAAGAAAATTTCTATCAAAATTTGACAAACCATGCGAAAAAATTTCATTCGATGTTTGGAAGTACCTGGGTGTGCAAACAATTACTTTCACTAATGAACATTACGAAGAACAAGCAGAGAATTCGGATTAGCGATGCCCATTTAAAAAATGCTCCAATCTTGACTTCATTCAGTGTGCCGCCGATGTGAAAAAGCTATCAAGCCTGATGCATTAATTTTGGCCCGCAAGCAACAAAATGTAGCCTACCCTTGAAATATCCGATGGACGCACCCCCCCCCTCCACCCCCCTCCCCTTTAATTCTATGGACTAGTAACCGGACAAGAGGCCGTGGTTCATGATGAGGAATCGAAGATGGATTTTACCGAAGATCTTTGAGATGATATTTTGATGCAGGTCATTAGGCAAGTAGACTTGAGACCACCCAATAAAAACATTATGAGCTATTTATTATGTTTATTTGTTCTGTAATATATTCAATTCTGACTTATACATTATTTTGTAGTGCCAGGGGGCGATGAAGTTGTATAAATTACTGTAGTGGGGTGATGATGAAAAAAAGTTGGGAACCACTGTTCTAAGTCTAGACTCTAGATTAGAATCTAGAACTAGATGATCATTTTTTTTATTAAGTATATTTGCTCAAAGCAAAGTCACGAAAATTTGTTTGTTCTACTGATTCTATAATCAGTTTTAATTTATTGGTTTTTATCAATACACTGCTATACTGATCATACTTTTACTCATTAGGAATGAAAGAGAATGATCTATAAACGAAGTTACGGATAACCACTAAAATGCCAAGTGCTACGGAATGTGACATGCGTGAATGGACGTATTTGTGATTTGCACAAGTGAAATATGCAGCCACGGGACAAATATCGGCGGGCAGGGTAAAGAGATCCAACTTTTATTGACGCGTTTCGACCTACTTTCGTGATATATCCATTCCAACTTAAATTTTTGGAGATGAAGAATCCAATCAAACGAAATTTGAATGATTCTTCTAGTGTTTCTTCCGATATTGAAATTAGAGCTATATCAGGATTATTATAACTCCTAACAGCGTTGTTTATCGGACATCGCATCAAAACAAGTATATATAATAAAAAAGGGGTCTCATCAGAATATTGAATGAATCGCAGATGTGAATATCCTGAAGATCATTGATAAATGATAGAAACAATGTAGGTCCAAGAATTGAGCCTTGAAAACCTCCAGAAATATAGGAGTCTTTTTTTCAACACGCACGTTGGCAATTTAAACAAGCCAGATCCAATGGTCTCACTAAACCAGTGGTTCTTAATCTTTGTGAGCCTGCCGAACCCCTGCGCTATTCTGCAAGCTCCCGCCGAACCCCATTGTACTGAACGGTTAAAATTAGAAGCCAAACCGTAACGTCATAAAGCGGAAGCTAATTCTTGCATTGTCATGAAACCTTAGATATCAATAACCATGTGGGAATAACCATTGTTTTGTCACAATGAAGTTGGCGGCAGAATGAGCAGATGGTTTTTGTTGTATAAGTTATGCGGGTGAACAGGCGAAAACTGATAAAAAATAACTTTGAAAATCCGAAAGAAGATAATATACCCCATAAACGTTGGTAGTTCAAGCAATTTGTTCTCAAACTTTAAACTGCGCTGAAATGCGAATAAAATCGTTTGCCAATTGTTTTATTTTACAGAAATAGAGATAGGATTAATTCGGCGCCATATCGAGGTTGTCCTGAATGGATCATAATAATTTCGGGTAAAGCTCTGCGATAAACTATTCCTTGTCGCAAATTTATCGCCTAGTGAAATTCAAACACGCTATGATTTTGCATTCATTCATGTACAATTACTGCCTATCTTCGATTTATCCGTAAAATTGAGTTAAATTTTATTAGTACGGTAGAATATGAATAAGGGTAACACCAATTAATTGTTCCATTCAATTGTTCAAGTCATTAGTAATTAGTCATCATGAACTATAGTTATTTTTGCATAATTAGTATGCAGGGTGATAAAAAAGTCTCATAATATGCAACTGTTTCAGAGCACCTTCGTCGAACCCCTGGAACAGCTCCACCGAACCCCAGGGGTTCGATCAAACCCAGTTTAAGAACCACTGCACTAAACCATTTGGTGATGTTAGCCACAGGCGTAAACAGCAGGATAATCCAAGTTCGTGGTGCGCGTTCATTGGGATGGGACATCCCAGACCTGCTATTTATCAATCCCGCGTGTTTGAAAGCGTCTATTTCTAGTACATAAGAAAAGTACTGTTATTAAGCAACAAATCAACCCACTGAAAATACCTATTCGATAGCGAAGTAAGTCTTTAGGGAAATTCTAGTAAATATAGTTAGATATCGGTGGCCTCTTTCATCCAGCTTTGTTCCGAGAAAAAGCTACGAGTAAGAGTCCTATTACGTCATTATGCAATTATACAAAAAAATTACTCCCTGCCCCAAAATTTGGGGCTGGCTTTGCCCTTGCCTCAACGTACACTAACTCATACTCCCAAAACACTGAGATCAAATACCTGAATACATCTGAAATGTATTTTTAGCCGACACCTGATACACTTCTTAAATTAACCAACGTTTATTAGAATTTAGACATTGATCAAATTGAACTATAAACAATTTATTCCAGTGACAGTTATAGAAACAATTTTTCTACAATTATCATTGAACAAAAATGGACAAAAAATACATTTTGTGCGTAATTTATCCGCAGCCATAGTTGTGTGACAAACTAGTTAGAAAAAACAAATGAATTGAAGACGAAACAATGATAAACAAATACATATCTACATGGTAGGTAATCTATGGCTTATGGAACAAATGTTACTTATATCACTAAATGAATACTATCACAAAAATAAACTACAATCATGTTTGCTGCTATTCAGATCGAAAACACAAAATTATTCAATGGCAAATTCACCCTGAAGATTTTCATAACACACAGATCAAAGTGTCTTAGATTACAGAAATTTTTAGATACAAATAATCATACAAAACAGAAGTTCAAGTGTTAAATTAATTTTCCCCATTCTCGAAGAATTGAAGAATTAATGGGTCACCCTGTGTATATCATTGCTAACTTGAACTTAGAACATTTCAGAATACCAGTAATTTTTGAGAAATTGCCCATTTTATACATTGCTAACATTAAGGTTTTCCATATTAAGGGTACAATAGTATAGTAAAATACAAATAAGAGAATCAAATGTGCGGTGAATTTTCAAGAAAAAAAAATTGAACAATATGTCACATATAAGTGCAATTAATTACGTAAAATTGTCATTGACACCAAAGAAAATCATTTCCACATCATAAAACCTCATTGGAACATTTATTTACTTATTATAATAAAATTAATGCTAAAAATACTTCGAAGAGTGCAAGTGGACTGAAAATTATTAGGCAAAAGAGCAAAACTACAATTGAATTGCCTAAAAATTCTTAACCCAGAGTTTTTGACAGTGAAATGTGCACGCAAATTAAGTGAATTATTTTTCCCCGTCAATTGACAGCGAAAAAAAAAAACTCAAAATTTTTTAAAATCTATCTGAATGTACATTTATACAGAAATACATATCGACTTTATACATAAAAAATACAGATTGCTGTTCGCGTGGAGCTAATTAAAACGACTGTTCTGGAGATATTTATGGGTTCTGCTTTATAAGGTCACCCCGTACATAGATCCATTCAAAAAAGCTAGAAGCAACTACGAGGAGACCCCTAAATTATCCTAAAACAGACATCCCCAATTTTTTGCTGAGAGTCAAAATAATTATCCTACAAGTATTACAACAAAATAATATATTGTAGGATGAAATAATAATAAGAAAATGTCACACATATAACTAAGAATTGCAAGAGATGAATACACGTCACAGTGAAACTACCTACAAAAATATGTGATAACAATAAAGAAGCAATCAAGCAAGTGAAGTGTTAGTATGTTCTCAATTAGAACTCCACCAGTTTACAACAATTTCATCTTAACCTGGTAAAGCTAGAATAAAATTATTAATATTGCAAGTATATACAACATTGCCTTGCTTATTATACAAAAGCTGATACTAATATAGAAACTCATTACTTGCACAGGAAAACAACTATGTAGGTAAACATTCCTTATTGGAAAAAGAATATCATCAGGTCAAAGTTGAGAGTTCAAGGTTCAGGTAGATTTGACCAACTCACATCAACTATATCTGAAAACTTTGACGGTGAACATCCACTCGCTCCGAGTAGACTAATTCCACTCAAATCCAGTAGTTTACTGAAACTGTTGTTTAACGCCACGCAATCAGCACCAAAGACACTCGGAAGAAATCCTTTCATTGGAGATTCATTCGAAGTGGAAGACGGCAAATCAGTGGTTGAAATTTGATTCAATCGAGAAGGGGACTGGGAATAAGTGCCTAAGATTACTTTTTTACTGCTTGGACTGACAAAATGCTTGACTGATTTGTCATGGAGTGAAGTGGTCCCTGTTCCTATATTGAAGCCATTATCTATGTTTTTCTCTATGTTGCTAAAAGGTAATTTTTTGGCTTCAGATCGACATCCTTGTGGACTACACAAAAATCTGGAAGGTGTTAGTGACCTAGAAAAATAATATAAAAAATAAGTCAGACACAAAGCGAATTTTTTTTTAAAATGTCAAGTAAAGTATAGGATGAATTTTACTGGTGTCAAAGGTCCATTAAACACCGATTGCAATAGCGAACGTTTCAGAAGCGTTTGCCCCACCCCCATTGCAAAACCTGGCTGCGACCCTGCTTAAAAGTGATAAATATCATTGAATATGTGCGAAAATGCTCAATTGATTGGTTAAAAAAAATAATAACCTGAGGGGTTTCCTTCCATATTTCTCATCACATATCGGTGTTGAAGTTGGTTGATGATATTCATCATGCGTAGAAACTCCCTCTTTTCCAGGTGTTGAATATACTTTGCCAGCTTTGGAGAAAGTATGGCTATGTTGCCTTAAAATAGCATCCAAATCTTCATTAAAACCGGGAGAATTCGTAAATTTTTGATACTGAAGCTTCTTGCATTTCTTTCTTGGAGGGGTACTTCCTATTTCCTCTCTGTTTGATGAAGATGTCATGAAATATATGTTTGAATAAATAGGAAAGGAAGATAGAATATCGGATTTTTAAAATATCAAATTCCCTATGAAACAAATACTCATTTTACAACAAAATGCTCCTGCGTCGATTTTTCATGCAGTGAATTTTCCCATGCGACAGTCCGTCCAAATAAGCATTATATACCGTAAGTCTAATCCAGTCACAACCGGATCTTATTTTGAATGATAAGAAACACAACTTACTCGCTGACAATATCTTTCGAAAATAACGATTTGTACGGAGTTTCCAAGTCATTTAATATCTCACTGAAACTGTTTGGCGAACCAAAACCAAACATCGATGAATTTTCTTTAGCGGATCTGAAATCTGTGAAATCTTCTTTTTCAATTTTTATCAACTTTTTGGAATTTTCTGGAGATTTTCCTGATTTGCTTTCATCCTGAACCAAAGAATGAAATAGTGAAATGAATGATGACATAATCCAGAATTCCAAGAGTGTCGAGGCCAGGGTCTGTTTCATAATAAACCTTTTTAATTATTTGAAAATATGGCCTATACATATACTGTACTAAACTTTAATACATTCTTTTCTTCATTGAGTTCAATAATAGTTCTAAAAACCATAAACAGAAAGTCAAGCACGGCAAAAAAATTACCACCTGAGTGATTGTATTTTATGCTAAGTATGTTCAACACATTTCCCAGACTACTGTCATCCTGAAAGCAATGGTTTTTACATTTTGATAGATCTTTTTATTACTAAAAAAACTTGAGAATAAAACTTATACTCACGAAATGTAAAGAACTATTTAATGAATCATTCAATGTCTTCAAAGGTTGTTTTCTTGGTCTTTTTCTAACTTTAATATTATCTTTATTATCCTGAAAGATTGTTTCACAAAAGTTAAGTTTTATTAACACAAACAAATCAAGACAAATCAAACAACAAAATGTGACAATATACCTTGGGAAACGTGGACAGTGACATATTACCGAACATCAGACACAATTGAATTATAAATCTAATAACGAAGCGATCATTAGCCTTACTAGACTTTTTACAATTCAGTATTCCTCACTGGACATTTTTTTTGCCCATTATGTGTGGCGCATCGTGTTAAGCGTTGGGAATACGCTCGCCACCACACGTCTGATTACCTTGTATGGGTTCGCAGGTATCCCATGCAGGGATATTTATGTGCGAGAGGTTTGCTGGACTTCTCACTGTCACAGAGTAGTGGTTCACGTAACCGCTGGTCGGTTACGGCTTCCTCCACTATCAAGTCCATGGTTTCGAATAACTGGCTAACTAATCCCATACCCGACATGGACTAGTAACCGGACGAGAGGTCGTGGTTCGCTATATGATTAAGCCATCTTATCAGCTTTCCACCACAGGATAAATATGTAAATCCCATCCTATAATTAATACATATATATTCCGCATGAATATTTTTATAATGAAATCTTGGAATTATACAAATTAATAAGTTAATAAGTAAGTTAATTTAAGTAAGTTAATTTGCAGGCTACTTACCACATCTAAAAAAACAATTTTGATAGCAATATCCTACTGATAGAAAAATTTGTAATTCAAAAAAATAACATACTTTACATAAAATTGATTTTTGTTATAATTTTACATACCGTTATAACATCATTGGAAGAAGTGCTTTGATATTCTGAAGATATTTCAGGATAATGTTGCTTGTATCCAGCAGACATCATGCTGGTTTTAGTTGTTGATGAAGGAGTCATCATACTCATGTCGGAATGACAACCAGAGTCGGCAAACAAAGAGGAACAATCCCTAAACGGAATATGACATAATTAATATTACATTCAATATTAGTAGTAGAATAAGGTAGAGAATTTATAAGAGAATATAACTAGGAATATATTTCCTGGCAGCTGAAAGTTATTTATTCAAGTTTATTCACTTCAAACAAGGTTCCATACAAGCAGCCAATACTATCTAATGATATGTAAGGACTATCGTTAGGAAGAAATGGTATCTTTTTGTTTCGTCATAGCCTACCCTATTTATTACACCCTGGGTGAGATGGGGGACAAGGAATTTAATCCAGTCTGTTGTCTGTGATGCCAACTCAGTTAGATCTAATGCATTAATTGCTAGGCCATTAGTTCCCAAAAGGTGCGGCGAAAATAAACAGAATTGTGTTAAACATACCTAATATGTGAGTTAATATTTGACATATTATATCTATTATAAATGTTTTATTCTTTGTTATTTTAAATGCTGTGTATATGAATCAATAAATTCATTTTATCTTTCTATGTCATTTGCTCGGCCTCTGTTGTTACGTAACATTAGAGATAGACACTACTTAATGCAATTTCGCAAGATTTTCTCTCTGATAATTTGGCGCCGCACGAACAAAAAGTTTAGGAACTACTGCGCTAGGCCATCACGCCACCCAAATAGCTAGAATGCGATGGATTTGAACCAAAGTAAAATCATATGGACCGATTGTTGTGTTACTCTCACTCATGAATGCAGAAGTTACAAATGTAAATGAAACTTTCAAGAGATATGACTGGACTCTACTATCACATACCTTGTTGCTGACATACTGGTTCCACATCCATCTGATTGTTGAGTCTAGCAAAATGTAGAGTGTTTATTAGTCAAACTCAACAAAAAAAAGATAAAGTCCAGAAAACTATTTTAATTTTGATCTACTTTTGGCTATGTGCCCAGCTTGTGGCTTCTCAGAGATTGCAATAAATGAAATATCAGATATTGACGAAAATTCCTGAAGACAAGCTATCTCCTCATGAACAGAGGGGGGTTAAATTTGGTCTGAGTATCAGTTCCTTGCAACAGATGGAAGTTTGAGATTATGATTCAGAAAATACCAAATATAAATAAATGTATCCCAGGTGCATCATTTGAATTAGATTGTGGGGTATGATACCAAAAAAATAAAAATAAGTTTAAAAATACCTGAATTTTCGTCATTGTCTACCCAGTTTATTATACCTTGAATGATGTGGTGGGCAATTCAAACGGGAGATTTAACCTGAGGCTGAGATGCCATCAAAGTTAAGCCTAACGCTACAGCCTCTAACCACACCACAACGCCCACCATTTACTGTGTTGTGATCTTTAATTGACAAATACTGTAATTCAGTGCAACAGTACGTACTTCATGTTCTGTTCGCAAATCTAAATGCAACATTGGGGAACTGAAAATCACACAAAATTATTTAGTCTTACTTTTCCAGACAAAGGAAACAGAAGATAAGGTTGGGAACTTGAAATCTGAGGAAGAGCTGATTTTTGTCTTTGTAATAATACTTCTGGATCCCAAGATGATCCTTCAATCATGTGACAAGGTCGAAACATATGCTGAGCATCCCCTTTCTGAAATTACAAACTATTAATAGAAAACAAATCTAACATTATTTTGGGTTAACTAAGTAAATGTACAAACTTACAATGCTTTCTAGTGTAAGAGGTCGCATATTTAAATCTGGTCGAAGAGTCCAATATGAAGCTTTCGAAGAAACAGATACTTCCCGAACAAAAATATCATGGAGAGACAAGTTGTGTCGAATTGAATTTTTCCATCCTTAAATAAAAATTAAGATTGTTTGAGCATTTTTGCGCATTTAAAAGACGGCAGGGTTAAATCAGAAAATTCGCACCATTCCAATTCTGCAAGCTGTAATAAATGTGGGTATTCGTTCATTGGCTGAAATTGAATTATTATTATTTACCAAGACAGTTTTATAAAATATTGCCTTTGTAGGCTTGACTTCAGTGATTAAAAATGAACCTGGTTTTGCCATTTTAAAATAAGGGAAAGTTTCTTCAATCCATATGTAAATTTGTCGTAACGTCATTCGTCTTATCGGAGAACTGTTGATTGCGAATTGTATGAGAGCCATGTATGAATATGGAGGTCGTCCACTTTTTAAACTTCTCTGAAAAGTAACGCAAAAATGTTAATAAACAAAATGAATGTTAATTAATCTTTAAAGCTAAAACCATTGTTCCTATATTATTTTGACAGGCAGAAAAGTAAACCAAATTTCAAAAAGTTTCACTGTATTTCGTTAATTTTACACACAGAAGAAAAAAAACATCATTTTAGAAAGATAGATAATAGATATCGCTAATACCCAAGAATATGACCAATAGTCAACAAGATTATGAATGTGTTGAATCTTAAACGCCGCTCAAGGTATTCACACTCAAACATAGGCAGTTCTCGCTGATTTTGATTATGAAACAGGATGTTGTGAATAAATCTTGGAATTATCGTATATCCTCACATATAAGACAAGTTTAAAATTAAAAAAAAAGTTGCCAAACCAAGTGGTCTTAAGCATAACTCTGATCGCACTCAAACGAAATTGTGTTAACTTAAATCCAACAGCTACAATTTGATCGTAGGGTCGAATTACATGCGAATTTTTATAAATTCACTGTTTTAGGACCGTTTTTAAGGGCTTGGCTTATATGCGAGGTTAAATGTATAACGTTTTGGTATTCATGTGAAAACCGCCATCTTCAGAATTTATAAAAAAAATAAAAAATTCATACCATTTATTAAAAAATAAAAATTTAAACCTACTAATGGCAACTGTCGAATATGACTTCCATCTTTTTCGACTCTCATAGGCAAAAAGTTATTTACACCCATGTGTCCGAGCCATGTAATATTGGTCAAGCTGTCATCTACTACATTGGGCTTCAATTGTCTTTCATCAACCATGGCCATTGCTTGACCAGGGTAACCACCTTGTTGCTCAAAACCATTGCTAAGATTAAATTGACAGCACAAAATCAGTCATGTTTGACAAAAATAATTTTAGATGAATTTTGAATTATTTATCAATTTTGAAATGAAGCATTTGAAAAGCAACATAATGAACAATAAAATATTCGATGATACCCTGGACAAATCGATCAATCCCAGAAACCAAGACAAATATTAACAAAATAATACAAAGCGAGTCACAATATATTGCACTTGCGTTTAGCACAGCATATATTCTTCTTATCATTGAATTCATAACATCACCACTGAGCGTTGTTTTTGCTTGAGGCCAGCTTTAAACCACCTCAATATTAAAAGGTCCATGCATGCGGGACAATTATTGCAAAATTTTGATTACACACATAACTATTGGTGTTTATCAATGAGGGATGAAAGCGATGAATCCTCATAAATAAATAATTTTGAAACATAATTTAAACTGACATTCAGTCTGAGGCATAAACAAATATTTTACCCTTACCTATGTGGATGAGGCCGCATGTTGGGAACTGAACGAGGTCGAATATTTTCACAATCTGAAAAATGAACTTGTAATTGAATCTCAATTCTCAATATCTACTCAGAATAATACAGCAGTATGGTCACTCTACATCTGACATGGCAAAAAGAACGGGCCCGCGAGTCAAATCCGGCCCATTGGGGATTTTAATCTGGTCCACCCGATGCTACTACAACCAAATTTCAATGTTATATTTAAAATATAACTCGAGGAATTCGTTGAGATTGCAATTAAATTGATTTTTGGCCGAGGATTATTGTTTTCCACTTTTACTCTTGTATCGCTGTAAATATTGTTCCCGAAATGTTACTTTTTACGCCACACTTACATCGCCCACCAGTCTAGGTAGGCAAAATTTTTTTGCCCCTGGTCCGAAAACCTTGGTCACCCCCCTGCTCTACATTTATGAATAGTAACAATAAACTGTATCAATGAAGATATATGTGAATAATACTATGAGATTTTACAAGACTGTGGAAGATTCCCATCTTCTGGTTGATGAAAATTTGACAGCGATGTGGCTCCAGGTTTATAACAAAAAAGTTGGCCTATGCAAGCCTTCTTCTGTTACATAATAAAAATCACTTCAGTTCATAAATGAAAAACAATCAAAACATTTTTCTACAAATATTTACCTAAAACTCCAGTTGGACAGTAAAATGGTCCATATCCATTAGAACATTTCTGATCCATCGGAATGATTCCACTAATAGCCTGGCAATTGAGTTGTCCATTAAAAACTTGACCCATTGAATTGATCTGTCCAGTAGATTGAATATGCTGGTCATTTATAATTTGAGGCCCTCCATTGCCAAAATAATAGTTCTTTGTCATTTGGAAGGGCTGCTGGTACGAAACAAATTGTGATCCAGCAGGATGGATTGGAATTTGGGAGGATTGTCTCCACATTGATGAACTTGTTCTGATATTTTCATCCGATGGTTCAATTTTGACGGAAGGATATTGGGTGAAGATTTGTTCCCTTCTTGAGGAAACTGGGCCAAATTGACACATATTTTTGGCTCGTGAATGGTTGATGTCAGGCATGCTGTGAAGTCTTGGTAATGCCATTTTCACGGATGATTTTGATTCCGAAACTGTTGTCGACACATTTTGAGATTTAGTTGTTATGGCGCCACACGAGCTTCGACGTAGTAAGATGATGGGTCTAGTTGACTTTTTTTGCAACATATTTGAAGATGAAAGTTTTTGAGTTTGCTTTGATGAATTCATTATTCAACGTTGCACTCAATTTAAAATGAAAGGAGTGGTGTTTGAATTTCATCCAGGTACTTCTTCACAGTGAGATTTCAATTAGCATCAAGGCAGTACCAACATAGAAAATGTATGGCTTGGATAAGTAGTACCAAACTGAAAAACACCTACACAAAGAAGCTCGCACTCATGACTCATGAAGGTGCAGACTTCTACTGCAGTACTGAAAAATTAATATTTTTACAAAACAATTAATTTTAAGTGAAATTACAGATTTAAAATTTCCATGCACAGTATGTTACAGTTTTTTAAAATTCAAAAATTTTCCACCATTTGGTTCAATAAAATAAAAACTCCATATTTGTCTCTGAAACAGGGGCATTTGGCATGACGGCAGATCGCACCATGCTTGACTCGATAATATTAAATAAGTTCATCAGCCTCCACATGACCAAAATTGTGTTTTTTTGGTAAAAACTTGAATGCTAAGGTAATATTAGTCTGTACATCAAATTTATTTTTTCTGAGGAATTGAATGGCGACATTTTTAGATTGCACCTCCTTTTAGTTTATCGCGCAGCTTTACTTTACTGTAATTTTACAAATATTGAGGGACAACAATGTCCAGGAGTCCCTGAAAGGAGGGGTGTCTGTTCATCGGCAAAATGGGATTCTCTGAAACGAGACAATGTCGCTTGATTCGGGGGAGTGTGCCATACTGAATAATTTGATTGTTGTTACCAATTAGGCTAATGAATCAACATTTCACGCAGCTGTCATTACTAGAAATTTCGAAACCATGTCTCATTTGTAAATTATATTGACAAGACAGCAAATTCTGAAATTGCAGAATTCATCTGAAAAATGATAACATTTGATAGCAAACATATTTTATAGTGTAGGGAGACTTTGAAAATGGATAAAAGATGGTCTATTATTAATTAATGGACTGTGTGCTGAATTTTACCCCATTATCCATATGAAACTGATAGAAGGCAATAGCAGTAGTGGACAGTTCAAATTATTTCTCATTTTATGGCTTGCCGCCAGATTTTACAGCGTTTTATCTTTTATGATGCATTTGTTTTTAAGCAAGTTTGTCGAAATTTTATGAAAAGGCTAACTTAAAAGGTAAATGACAAGTGTTGTATAGCATTCAGTGATCAAACTTACAACATGCATTTCAATTTAGTCTAGTTATTGTTAAAGATCGCATATTCAAGCAAAGTAGATACCGTACCGGTAACCCTATACGGTATGACTGTAACTTACTACCGGTACCTTCCACATCCTGTTCAACGTGAAACTTAACAAAAATCGCACAATAAAACATATGCAGATAACCAGTGTACTGATAACCGGGTACTGTTACGATAAAGTATTCAAAATTGTTGATAAGTATAACGAGAAAAAAACTTAGAGATATATCGGCGATAACGACTAACAGCGCATCGACAGAAGTTCAAAAAACCTCTCAGAAAACAATCGACCAATCAAAACAACGAAATCGGCAAAACATGATGACGTCAAACAGCTATATTTACCACAGGACAGAGCTAAGATCTGAGGCTGGAGCCCGACCCGACCCGAAATTCGGGCCAGGTCGGGCCTGAAATATCAATCATTACGTTCGGGTCGGGCCGGGCTTTTCTAAGATTAACTTTTTTTTTTAAATAAATATATGTTTATAAAAAATATATACAAAAACTATGTGTGGATACCAATCAACACGACCAATGACATTAAACAACATGATGCGCAACTGCGGCATTTTTGGCCGAAGATCGTATCCGATAGCACGCTCCAATGCATATACTTGACGAGACGAAAATGTGCGGATGTGTGCTGTTTTCAAGGCATAGCACGAATGGTGTTTGTGCCTGCTTTGACAGTTGTTGTCCATTTTAATGATATTTTGGAAAGTTGAGGTAAAAAAAAATCGGAAAAAGTTAAGGTGAATACTATTGTTGTTTATCACACCCGGGCATCGCATTGTTAAGTACATGTGGAAAAGCCAGCTTTTGCCAAATACTACGAAGTTATTAATTCAGTACGCTACGTAGTTGCCCATTTGCCGAAATTGCATGTTTACCTAACCCTTATGATTTCAAATATTTCATGCTCCTCCATTTGGATTTTTTCAATCAGTGAGGATATATACTCATTGCTGTAACATACTATTGCTCATTCACTTTTATTTACGTATTGAGTCAAAGGGTTAACAAGTTCACCTAACATTTTACTCATACCGGTCTATATTGTATAGTCTGATCTCTCAAGTATTTGGAGCCACGAATGCTTGTAATTTTCTGACTAAACCCCTTTATTAGTTGGTTTATATACCAAATTCAGTAAAACATTTTTTACATAAAACATGAGATATTGGATTTATTAGTTTTTCCATTCTAAATCATATAGACATTATTTATTTATTCTTAACGAAAATTAATAAATCTCCTCTCTTTCTTCAGATGTGAAAGTTGTGGACAAATCTGGGTAAGCATTGTGAGACTCCTGCAGCACAAGAGGCAATAGCAAAAATAGTAAGTATATCAATCAAGAAATTAATCCGATATAAAGCAAAACTTTTAACTATTTGTCTAACCTCAATTTCCTATTATTTATTCACAGGACAACTGTAGCAGAAGAGGAGATATCAGAAGTCTGACGACACATCAGTGACAGTGTGGTTCAAATAAATATAATTAGAGTACTCCATAAATGTTTGCAATAGAAGAACAACCAATGGAGGCATGCAAAGACCCTCCGGTAGAGTTGTGTATGGCCCCCACATCCTGCAGGGCTTGAGGAAAATAACAAAAATTCCAAATCGTAAGATTGCATAAGCAGTCTTATTTGTAAAAAAGCACAAAACACGCCAGACATACTTAAAACAGCTGTGGAAAATGAGGATTACGGGTCACTCACTACCATAGCAGAAATTCAGGAAAGGGTATAATCATGATTCATGATAAAATACTGTTATATATTTTGGACAACCTCCATCTAGACCAGGGATGTCAAACTCGCGGCCCCAGAGAACTTCCTGTGCGGCCCTCGAACGATTAACAATAATTGTAATAGTATTTTGGAAGTTTTTTTTTATCTAAATGTAGTAGATTTTTCAAATCTTTTAAAGTAAAATTGTTTATTCACACAGAAAACAAATTACTGAAATTAGTTTTGAAAAATTAATTATTTTTGTTTACATTTTGAACCAATTAGGAATACATATCAAGCTAAAAAGAATACTTGAATAAAACACTTGAGCGAATAAATTAAACGCAAAGTACATGAAGAAGGTGGCATTTTCGAAGAAATTGGAAGTTGCAATATTTCTGAATTTCACAAAATTCTGGAGAATATGTTTAATTTGTCATATTTCCAACAGTACAATGAAAAAAAAAACAATAAGCTCAGCAGTCAATATGACAAATTCGAAGACCAACTTCGAACAGGAAATTTCCATGTGTTGGTATATTAAATATAATTACACAACGACTTAGTTACTAAAATTCAATAACAATTCAAGCAACCCTATGCCACGCAATGTGGCGCGAAATGTCTTGTCGAAAAAATCTGTCATTTGTTTTTTTTACTGATCTACACATGAAATAATAAAAGTAACTTTTTTGCATTACTGGAATTAATTAAACATTCGCAAAGATCCAGATTAACTCATGATCATGTGACCTCGTTTGTTAGAGTTGATACTATAAAATCATTTTAGCCTGGCCCTAGTATGCTGGTGACACAAAAAAGATGCCAAACGCCAGGACAAATGTAATTAAAAAAAACATTGAGTTTATACTGTAGTATTTTTGTTAATTTTAGGTCCATATATTTAGATTAAGTCATTTTTAGTGTATGTATTATTCTTTCCTTATCCAAAGCTTGTTCAAAAATGATTTTGATGGTTGTACATAAAATTTTATGATTTTTGGTAATAGTGGAATGCAAATATTAATATGTAATTGCATTTGAAATTGAGGAAAATAATAAAACTTAATCCAACTGTTTAGTTGCATCACAATATATGTCACAAACTAAAAACTATCTTAAAAATATCTTTCAAGTATACATAATCAAAACTGTTTGGCGGCCCGTCTTTAAAAATTTTCCAAAAATGCAATGCGGCTCTCGAAAACCCATGAGTTTGACACCACTGATCCATCTAAAGTAGATTCTAGACGATTCAAGCATTGCTTTGGGAAATAATATCACTTCAATCAAATTGAAAAAAAATCTCGCTATATTAAATACAAAATCGTTGCTATCACAAAGATAAACCAATTCAGCCTTTTTGCCTTCACAAAGCAATGAAGGCAAAATTGAGTGTTCATGAGCTATGAACTTTTCTTTGTCTTGAACTTTTCATACTCCACAACCCCTATTAATTTTTTTTTTAATTTTAATTACCATGTGATGGTCATACATATCTTTAACTTGTATTTTCTGTCGTGATGTATCATCTCAATGAGTCAAACTTTTAATTAGTGTGCATATTTTGCTCCCAGATGAAAAGATTGTATTGTCTTGTTTATTACCTCAGCTTGGAGTATTGACAAGAAAAAGGTGCCAGTGAATTACGTGAAAATTTTTGTTATAATCAGAATTCACAATTAATAGGAATTATCAACAGCTAACAATCAATGAGAATTATATGCGAAATCCCTCAGAATAAATTTGTCTTCTAAAATCGGAGGAAAGAAAAACATATGGGTAGTTTTCATTCACACAAGTCTTTCATGAAGACTTGCTGTAGCCAAACTAAATTAGCATCGTCAGCTGATCGGTAAGGCTGCAAGTTAAGTTTCAGTCCTGCAACCTCCTGCATAGAAGATAATATTAATTAGTGGGCTATTAGCTAAATTTAGACACAAACCTATCTACGAGGCATTATGTACCAGCAATGCTACCTACGATTAACTGAATATGTAATATGTCTAATAAATTCACCTACTAAAGCAAGTTCGATAGGTGCAAACTTTGTGTTATGGAATTGTATCACAGCACCGTTAGAAGAAGTAAAAACAGTTTTGCTGTTTTGTATGACACCCTCTTTAAATGAAATTTCAATGTTTAAGCGCAAACATTAAAATTACTAACTTTGAACTTTGTCATTATCTGCAAAATGTTGCACACAAATCTTTACGCTATCGCGTTTGTAATCTTCTCTGATAATAAAAAAAAACGTCTATGATGTCCAGAATTACTCTCTACAGCTTGTCTGCCATTCCAGCTTGCCAAGTGAGCAAAACTTCTTAGATATAGGAATTATTTTTTTCGTTACAGGCGCAAAAAGTCAGGTACTACACGTAAAGAAGACGCCGAGTAGCAAAAGCGAGCGAAAACGGTCGCGAAAGGCGACGAGAAATATGTGCATTGGAGCGTATCATGAAATACAATCTTTCGCATGTAGTCTTATGGAGTGACGTCAGAGTTGCCTATCATGTTGTTTAATGTCATTGACACGACACATACTGTTCTAAACTCTTGCAATGACAATTCAAGGAAATCCTAAATAAAATATGAAATTTTGGGTTTGCTTCGGCCTCGGGCATGCAAATCCAGTTATTTAGTCGGGCTCGGGCTGCTCGGGTTTAATACCCACGGGCCTGGGTCGGGCCGGACTGAAATTTTTCGGAGGGACAGAAAAGTGGGTAAGTGTATGTGGATCATTCTGTCTCTAGTCTCTACCCTATAACACATACCGTACACAAAGCAACAGCATTGCAACAAAACAGAAAGAGCACTCAGAAAAACTAGCAAAATGTGAAGCGACATTTTGTTTGTATGCAAAATATGTTTTAACTACGTGGGAATTCGCTTTAGACTGGTTGTTTGGGATCGCTGATTTTAAAAATGGGGCCGCCCAAATAGCATACTCACTCGTGATAATCACATATATGAAGATAAATGCGATTAAATATGTCAAAATGCTGCAAATCACTAAAAAAATCGAAATCGTTTCTTCGACTTATTGCTGATTGGTCATTGTTAGGACGATAAACAAGAAAATAGACGCCCGGGAAACATCCATTAATAAGCTACATAAACATGAAACACTCCATATAAATCTAATAAATAAATTTCGAAACACCACATACAACGCTAGTTATCAGTTCAAAACGAATTTGCTGATCACGACATTTCGGGAACGGGCCCCATCCTCTTTCACCCCGCCACTGCGTGTAACTGACATGCCATTAGGCCTACGTCCATTTGCATCAACCTGAAAAAAAAACATGAATAAATAAGTAGGCTATAATGTTATTGAAATGGAACATCCCAATTTATTACAGTAGGCTGCGGTACTTTGACCGGCGCAAAGTACCAGGGTCATCAGTCTTGCCAAATGACCGCGACGATGTGGTTACATAGGTCGTAAAAATATCGATCAGTGAAAAATGGACGTGAGGGTGTTACCCATTCTTTTAACTTATTTGCCACACAGGCGACTCTCCAATGGATGTTACTCGAACATCGATTTCCTTGTTTATATCCGTAACAATGACCAATCAGCAATGAGTCAACAAATGCAATTTGTGAGCCGCCCAGACACTTATTTCGACCAGACGAATATTTAAGCCTGATTGTATTTTATGTGAATACTGTCTCATTTTCGTGGTTTTGCGTGCTATTTGTCAATTTGTAAGTTGTGTTTGCAAACATTAGTTGTGGGCCTAAATCAAATAACTTGATTGTAATGATGTCTTCCAAGGGGTAAATGTTTTTTTTAAATAAAAAGGGCGATTTCAAACATGTCAACCTGCTTGCAGGCGGCAACTAGCAGAAACACTTTCAGAATAAGCAACAATTTTGCAATGGTAAAATTAGTACAAGAGAGCCATGCTCAAATATATGGACACGCAGAACAATTCCCCAAAATTCATATGACGGTACAGGGATTGTCATAGATACTTTAGGTCATGTATCAATGATCCATTCTTTTTGATTATATTGAAACATCAATTAAAATATCTCGTGATATGAGTCAAATATGTACCGTATTACCGGATCAGGTACCGAACCACAGTCAAACATTTCACATAAAAACGTTACAAAATAACATGCGTGATATAAAATTATGGTACAAAATGTCTAGTTTCTCTAGTAAACCTACCTATTAATTTATGTTTTGTTACATCATAATTCGTAACTCTTTTTACATCACATCACGCAAATAATTTGTACGTCAGTAACATGTAATAGATGTTTCCCCGACCTTCATCGCCATGGAGATTCATTCTATACCCTTCTAATATTAACATTTGTATTGAATTGCTATGAATATATATATTTGTAATTTTACAAGAATTATTTCAGATAATTTCTCCATAATTCATTGCAGTTCTTCGACTCTATTTTAGGAAAGACAAAACTTTCTGTACACGTCCGCGTTGTGTTGTAAATATATTACATTTTTGTAAATTAGGTGCGTTCCGGTTGTTACGATTTTTTCAGCTCATCACTATATAAATATATATAAATATTTAAATAAAATTTTATTGATTGAACCCATATACAAAAAGTAAATGTTCGTCGTGTAGCTGCTATTCATTTCATTCTTATAGAAATCTTTTTCAAAAAATGTCAATTACTTATTAAAGTATTCCACTTTTCACTTTCATAATTTCTATTTTCCATGCATACCCTTCATACATAGATTGATTATAAGAACTCATGAGCAATATGATAAAATGTGAATATTGTCGACTCAAAATGTTATAGCCTATGCCATGTTTGTAAGAGCTCATCTGGGATTTCGTCAGAATTCACACAATTGTATGCAACAAAATTTTATTTTGGACATTTCTAGACCTAGTTTTGATTGAGAGATAATTTAATGCCGTAACTACAACAGTCGAGTGGGCCTATATTAAATGGATGGTTCCTTGAGCATCAATTTCGTTCACAATTACAAATCAGCAATAACTTATCAACGACGTAACAATTGCAATTTATGCCGCCGCTGCCGTTATTTGTCAGTTTTTAGTTGTGTTTCCAAAAATAGCCGTAAATCAAATTACATTATGTCCTCCGAGAACCTTTAGTTTAGTTGCAATAACCAAAAAGTGATACCGCAAATGTGATAGACTTGCCTAAAATTAGCTATCAGTACCCGAAAGCGGCACATGGTTTAATGTTTTAAATAAAAATGAAAGTTTGCTAGGTATTGCGACATCGAAAAACGATTTTATAGCGGCTAGCAATGTGGCATTTGTTTCCAAATTAAAATACGTCATAATAGTCACGCAACAGCAACCAATTGAGGAAGTTATGCAAAGGTCGGCTGCGCTTACTTAATTTGACTGTAATACGACATATGCCAAACCCGATCTGTTGTGTATTTGATTTGGCTTGTCATAACTTTACTTTTTATTCTGTTGCGGGAGTGACCATTTATTCTCTATAATATGATTTGGTCTTTATGTCAAACAGAAAAATCATCGCAAGCGAAGGTAGGCCACTCGCAAAGGTGTGCTTCGCATGACAATTTCGACGTATCGATATTGCTCACCTCGATAAGCAACCTTCAATAAGTCAACACAAAGTTCTAAATATATTTTTAGAATTAGTCGACCTTCAATGTGACTGTTTTGCAATTAAATCCAATTTATTAAAATTGAATCCATGAAGCTCAAAGGATTTTTACTCTTCTCTGAATGGTGCGAAAAATATTTAATGTCACGAGAATAGCACATTGAATATCGGTGTTATTCGGCTCTTCGTACATTTGGGAATAGACCTTCAGTCCGATTAATAACATCAAATCTAATCAAAGATATCAATTGGCTAATGCTAAACCCAAACATGTTCTACAAATTTCCACAACAAAACTAACAGCGAATTTTGACGCTTCAACCCAAAGCCTAGCCATATTGTGGAGATTGAATCCAAATCTTAGGCGTAGTATTTTCCAATTCTTCTCTGGTACTCAGGTGTAAAAGATGTAAATAATTAAGTTCATTAACTCTTTCGGATTATATACAATGAGTTTCAACTTCAACTATACCGGTGACAAGCGATATTATTTTATTCTAACCAAACTTTCGGCGGTCGCATTCAAGGTATAATGAACCTGGTTCCCGTACATTTGAACCCACGACAATTGCACCTGCATACTATTGCACCTATGGAAAGTTTTTTGTTTTACGGATATTTTAACCCATACTAACCCTAACCCATGGGTTTTAGCACCCGCATATAGATTGAACCCGCGGATATACACACGGGTTCAAATGTACGTGGGTTCAAATGTACGGTAACCAATGAAACTACCCTAGCCTATTTCGTTTGCAGTAATGCTACTCCTAGCCTACATATCTATTTATCCAACTGTAATTTGCGAAACGACACTTTTCACTTAAAGGATGTAATCTGAAAGACTGAAAAAAATTTATTTCCACAATGTAAAGGAATGGGGCTTGGCGATGCGACGCACCGTGCTAAGTGTTGGCAATGCGCTTGTCACCGCACCTCTGAATACCCGGCGTTGGTTCGCAGGTTCGAGAGGATTGCTGGGCTCCTTGCCGCCGTAGTGGTTCACGAAACCACTAGTCGGTTAAGGCTTTCCCCCGGGATAAAATATAAATCTCATCCTATCCTAAGTTTTAAAAAAGTGTGCCAGGTGTACATGATGTATAATTTTTTTGTTTTGATGTTATACAATGAATTTCGAGTTTAAAAAGGTACCCCCGTGATCCGAAGCAACAACACCTCAGCTCTGAATTCGCAACCAAAACACTGTTCCGACAGCATAGGCCAACTGTGTGAATCGCCTCGAAAACATTTGCTTTTTATTAGTAGGCATAGCGTTAGCCACTATCGGTTGCCATTGGTATGGAACTTTCCCCGAGCATCGACTTCCTTGTTTACTTCGTGACATCGGCCAATCAGCAAGATGAAAAAAGGGACGTAACAATGCTCCCTTTTCGCATCCGCTCAGACACTTTCTTACTCGCGCGGCGGTGTGGCTCAACGGGCTAAGCGTTAGGAATACGCTCGCCACCGCACCTCTCACTACTCTGCGTGGGTTCGCAGGTTCGAATCCCATGCAGGGATGGTTATGTGCGAGAGGATTGCTGGACTCCTCGCCGTCGTTGGGTGGTTCACGTAACCGCTGGTCGGTTACGGCTTCCTCCACCACCAAGTCCATGCTTCCGAAAACAAACAATACAGTAAATCTAATCCCATACCCGACTTGGAATGGTAACCGGACGAGAGGCCGTGGTTCGCCATATGGATAAGACGTCTTATCGGCTTTCCTCTCCCCCGGGATAAATATGTAAATCCTATCCTATCCCTACTCAGACAGATTTTCAAGCGTGGTCGTAAACATTACCTCGTTTTCGCGTTTTTGAACTCTATTTATTATCTTTCAGTTGTGCTTCGGAAACTTAAATATAAATCAGAGAATTCAATGATCGCTCTTTCTTCCTAGGAGTTTTAATTGGACACGTAGTGGACATAGCGATCGTTTCAATATTATGCTGTTGTTGTTGTTGTTGTTCTTGTTCTTGTTCCTGGACACGTTTTTGAAAAGTCGTTTTTCTCTTTGATTACTGAACCAATTGCTTTGAAATATTTAGTGGTAAAAGATAAAAATTTTCTTCAGAAGGCTATTACTTTTTTTTGTTGCTCTGACGTCATCAAAATTATTGCCATTAGGTGGCGCTACGTATACATATATTTGAGCATAGCTCTCTTGTAATTTAATTGCAGTAATAAAAAATTATCGTAGAAATAGCTGTGATAGACTAGGCTAAAATTCTTTACCGGTACTTTCAAAAAACAGATTGTTGTATGCGACGAATCATAATGATGGTTTGAAACACATACCCCATTTTACCGGTGCCAACTCGCAAAAGCACTTTCAATATAGCCCCGAAAATTTTGCAATGGTAAAGTATAGGAAGAATTTTCGGGAGTCAAAGGTCGGGGAGAGGTCTAACCCGTAAAATATTTACAGGACACGTTAGCGCCCTCGAGCGTTCACTTGCCAACGAATCCTCAAAACCTTTGGGAAAACAGTTTTGGAATTTCTTTTACCTCAGTCCAGTCCGTTTCTTCATTTAGCCTTGTTATTCTAACTTTCTATTAACGAGCTTGATGGTTAATTTATCAGTCTAGCATTACTGCATTAAGATCTTATGGTTGAAATAGTTGTGAACAAGAAATGATAAAAGTACCTACGACAGTATGCTGAACGTTCTGACGATAGGATAGCATAGGACTTGCATGAAAACAGAGTTGATACTGTGATATGTCTGCAAGTGAACTCGTATGATATTTCTGGATACATGGGATTCAACATTAAGTCTGGAAGTACGGTAGTTAAGTGAAGAAATTTCGATCAAATAGATCTAGACAAAACTTTTGTTACTGAGACACAAATCCATGTATTTGCATATTAATAATTCTATTTTGGGACTATATGGATAGATTGGTGGATTACTTTGCCGTTGTTGGATACGACTTCATTAACAAAGGTAAGCTATGTAATTTTTTTTAATTCAATGAAGATAATTTTTCGGATTCTAGCACACAATATACGGTAATATATGCACACTGAATAATCGAGCTTATTATGTAGATTTATCAATGTATGTGCTTTGTCTTCGAGTCTACAAATTCAATTCTCTAATTGTGAAAGTTTAACCAGTTTGCGAACAATTTTATTCTCGGCAGTTCAAAATGTGAACTGGCAATGCTAACCCCTCCATTGGCACACAACAACACTATGAATCAGTACGACATAGTTCTTCAACTCTCAGACATTGTTTCTGAGACAAATGAGTGGTTGTTTTACAATATGGCACAAACCACCAATTCCAAGAATAGCCCTCACATTGAAAGACATCAATCATAACAGTGAGTGCACACCCCTCCTTCACGAGACAGTCTGCGCCATCCAGCACTGCTCAATAAACTAAAAGGAATCCAAAAACTTCACCAGTGAAATATTTGGAAAAATAATCCGATTATCCCAAGAAAAAAAAATTACACCGTAGCATTCTATTCTTTTCAGCAAAAAAAATGCAATTTTGGTCACGTGACAGCTGCTATTAATTTAGATTCTCATTGAGCCAAGCATGCCATGAAACAACATTCCTAAATTTTTGTATGCTTAAGATATTGCAATTTTTTTCTGTGATTGTTAAGATTCTCCTGATGCAATCAAAGGAAAAGTAATTACAAGGATTCCAGAACAAGATTGGAAAGATGAACCATTTATTACTGGAATCGAATTGGTAAATGTCTAATGGGTATTATTTTCAATATCTGCCATTATTGGTTGAAAGTTGCAATATCTAGTATATAGTAGCCTACTGTGCGAAAGGGAATCTATCTGTAAATGGGTATGTTATGAAAATATAGAAAAAATGTTTATTTTATAGCTATTTATATTATCACACTATTTTTTTGTTTAGTTTTGTCAACCAACTGGATGGTTTCTCTCTAAAGAAAAACAACCTCCAAAGTATTTCGTATCAGTGTTAACTGATGCTTATGGTAAAAGGCACTACTGCGCTGTCTTATCTTTTTCTGAACCTCTTCATGAACATAGTGGAACATCTCCATTACCACCTCATCTTAATAATGAGAGGCCAGTAAGAAAAGGAAGTAAAAGGTTGAGTAGTAGCTCGCCAATTTGTGGGAATTATGAAGAAATGATCGATGAATCTATGTGTCAAGTTGAAGGCAGCATTGATGATACCGACTGTAATGGGCTGAAAGCATCAGCTGGAGATCATAATAATGAAACTCAGGACGAGTTTTCACCAATGTGCTTGGTTTTATTGTCAAGATATCAGGAGTTCACAGTTCTTAAGGTAGGTTGATATTGAGTAAAAATGGTCCATAATAAATCTAGGATTTTTGAGGGGCTGCATTATGTTTTGTTTATACATCACACTTGATAGGATAGGATTTACATATTACCTGGACGAGAAGAAAGCCGATAAGACGACTTAATCATGTGGCGAACCACCACCTCTCGTCCGGTTACCTGTCCATGTCGGGTACTGAATCAGTTAGCCAGCATGGACTAGTGGTTACGTTAACCACTCTTTGGCCACGAGGAGTCCAGCAATCCTGGCGAGCGAGCGTATTCCTAATGCTTATCACAATGTGCCACACACTTGACAGTTGAATAAGTTCAGGTTGGCATGAACAGTGGTATGAATAACACGCAAGCATTGCTCATGCATGGCCTCGCACAAAAAGGAATATGCGAGCGTAAAAAATACTCTGCCTACTGAGAACACTACTTGGGAGAGTAATTCAAGAGTATTTCAGCCGTTTTTGCCAAGTGTGATGTGAGAAAGCTGAAGCACCCCAATTATAATATAGAAAAAACAAATATTTTGGTTCAATGATTATGCACGACGTATACCCCCTCTAAAATGCATAGTTTGGACCCGGAATAGCAATTCATAGATTTTTAATATTCGAGATATTTTGACTGAAAGACCAAAAATGGGTCATAGTCACCCCGCTTTACGGTATGTTTAAACTAATCCTGAACTGTGCTTTCTTCGTAGAGCCTTGTTGCTGCACAACTACACAAATGTACTGTGGCAGGTTTTGTTATGTCAATGAGTCAACACAATCATATACACAATGAGAATAGATATTGTTCTCTAGTATTGAGCAGTAACAATATGCAATGTTTTTTTTCTTCACAGAATTGTCTTGGCCTGATATACACTATATATATTGAAGGACTTTCTGTTTCATTAGAAACTGTTGTTGCCAATTTACTTGCCGTTCATGTTCCACCCAGAGGGTCTTCAATTTTTCGATTTTCTATCGGAGCTGCTGATAAACAAGCAATACAATCTCCTCAATATGAGGAATTGCCAATTACAAGATCTTCTGTTTCGACGCTTTTGCACCAACTAGGTGATTTATTTCTTTCACACAGTTTACATGGAAGTTATATGACATTATTGACATTCTTTTCTTCTGTGTCAGGTTGTCCAAAAGGAATTGGATATTAGAATCTATTTGAAATTACTTTTAAATTCTTGCTTCGGGCAATGTGTTTAGTATATTTTCATTCAAAATGATTGTGCAATTGCATTTATCTCTTCTTCGTAATTTCAAACTCTTGGAAAATACTAATTATATATAATATTGACTTCTATGTGATTTGTTGAACAAAATATAATTTAGAATAAATACGATATTCAACATTTGAAAATGTATTTGAATGTATTCGTAATAGCAGGCGGCTCTATCGAATATTCCTATTTAAAGTGAGTTTAATACTTACCTATCTCATATAATGATAGGAATGAATAACATGTAAAAATGTTTGTAATACTGAGATAATTGAATTCCAGCCTATTGATTATGTCAGTGACAAAATTCCCTGATAATGTACATTTTTACAATCATTTTTGCATTCCCTTATAAAATAAAATTATATGTATCCCTTGTGTTGGTTGCACCTCATTTTTATAGTTCTTGGAATGTTTCAGGACCTTTTATATCCGTCTTAGCCTATACAAGTTTCAAGTTGTTTGTCATTTGTCTAACTATTTTTGAATGGCATGAAGTTTTACTGAACAGTTATAAAATTGAGTCAATATTTAAGGTCTTTGACAACTTGAAATAAAAGCTAGTAATCAAATATTTTCGTTTTTTTCAAGTTTTCCCAGACATTTCCTCCATACCATACCAGGAAATAAAAAAGATATTAGATGAACTCCACGATTTTTTTTAAGGAAAATAGAGTATTAATCTACAAAAATAAACATTTTTTTTTATACTTTTCCAGGTATTTTAAATGTGATGAATATTCTTTGTGCCGCTCTCGTTGATCAGAAACTTTTGTTTTATTCCTGCAGTTTTACAAGATTAACTGAATCTTGCAATGCACTCACTGCTCTAATGTTTCCTTTTTCATATAGGTAAGCAAGTAATGTATTTTCCTAGTTAGTAGTAGTTTACATAATAGATCAGCATAGGTTTTATTAAATCAGAGATATTTTAAAACTTTAGTGTATAATTGTAAATCAAAATTACATGTAAATCCCTATAATTTGTCTTATTTTGTTAATTATATTACCTTATTTTATATTAAGTTTTAATACAAGGATTAACCCTAATTATAGTATTCAGATTGAATTTATAGCATTTAATAGGATTAGCACTGATAAGTTGTGGACACTACAATTGCTTGCGCAGATTGCCAAAATAATATACAATTGTGATAAAGATTTCCAAACCAACGAATGACGAATGAATTATTTTTTAGCGATTTTTTGATACTGATATCAATTTTTTTTGTCAGTTATCCTTATATTCCGATTCTTCCACAAAAGTTGCTCGAATGCACGTCGTCTCCAACACCTTTTTTAATTGGAGTGCATTCAAGTTTGAAATCTGAGCTGTATGATTTGCCGGTATGTACATTTTATTATGAGTATTTTTCTACACATTGAAAAGTGTTGAATTTAAGTTTTCTTTTGTCAGGAAAATTTACAAAGATGTAGGGAATAGAAGGGTACTGTACTGGTCACATTCTGTTTGTTTTTTCCGCGCAAATGTTCCAATTTTTTTTTTGTTAAGGTTTATGCGAATGGTAAAATATATTATCCATAAAATTATTTTGATTAGTTTTCAACATTTTTTAACTATGATATTACTATTTCCTATTTCCTATTTTACTATTATGACATTGATTTTAATCAAAAATGCAAAATTGAGTTCTTGAGATAATAAATTATCCCATTATTGTGAATGTGACAAGCTGACAACTCCCTATTATGCTATAAAACAAATCCTTTTTTGCTCATGACTTTAAATTAACATCATTTGCATTAATAATAACTCAAAATTTTTGTATTTGGTTTTGTATGAATAAATGGTATCAGTACCTTGTTATGTTTTCGATTCCTTGCTAGTAATCGGAATTCAAATCACCTATTCACTGCTGTGTAAAATTCCATACTTACCCTATTTGGGATCTTGATTGATTCTGTGAATACCATGACCTCACGTTTCTGCCAGTTGCACGTACAGATTTAGAATTGGACCGTTTCCAGGTTTTGTAGTAGTAAACAGCACATAGTACTGATGATTGCCGCATAATAAGTCTTGCACCTTCAAGGATGGGCCTGATGCAATTTGATCTTAGCCATATAAATACATTATCTTATCATAAATATTCTTTATATTCATTTCTCGTTGGCAGATGGACGTAGTGACAGTAGATCTGGACGGTGGCGTGATTTCAGTACCAGAAGGTACCAGCATACCTGGCATTCCAGAGCCGTACTACACTCGCGCTGTGGAACTGTTAACTAAGGTTTAATTGCTTTTCAAGATAATTATATTGGTTTATTATTAAAATTGTGGTAAATGACATGCAGATTATGTTTGGCCAAATATAAAATATGTCATACTCTCGATAGACTAGCTTGAATTGTGGTTAGGCATGTCTGTGACGATCAATAGTCTATTCAGACTATTAGTAATGTTATTGATTTTTGGACTTGGAATGCCGCGCATTAGGTTAGTTGTAACTTAAAAAAAAAAAATATCCACGTTTTCAAAAGGAATTGTTACGTGAAGTAATAAAAACGCAATAGAAATCCTGGTATCACTGTCTATATATATTTGTTGTTTTAAATTTTATTTTTTTTTTAGATAAATATGATAGCCTATTCATTTTATTTTTAAAATTTTAATATTATATTTTCATAAATTTTCTTAATTAAACTGGATCTTTGCTAGTTTCAGCTCTCGACCAAAATCTCAGAGTCAAATCACATGCCTGCCACCTCTCTCAGAGTGTAATAAATAACATAGGCAATGGAGGCAACTTCTGAAATTTCTGTCTTTCTAAAATATAGCAGCTGCTTATCTAGATTGTGCAAAGCCCTCTTTATGGTGTGTGATATTTTAAACGTCATATAGAAAATGGGTTCTCAAACTTTTGGTGTCTAGTAGTCCATGAAGAGGTTGACTATTATTTGCAGACCCTCACAATAAATTTATGAAAAAACACATTGTTGCTTATCGATGAATGTTCCCGAGTAAATTAAAATAACTTTATTTGATGATAAATATGGCGTTATCTATTGGAACTTAGATAATTTTTTTGCCACATTTTGAAGCTACTGTTGTCAAATTTTATTAATGCGATTGTTGCTTCTTTGGACAGTTACAAAATCAGCCAAGTCAGTATTTTAATAAGTAAACGAATAGCTTGCAGAGCCCATTGGTTTTTCTCACGAAGCCCTGGGTTCCGCGTGGAGCACTTAGAGACCCTCTGATATAGGGGAATTAACGTTTCTTGACAGTTTGCTGTTATCATCAGATTCTGTAGACAATGTTCAAATTATTGCTTCCAACATACAAACTTTTTTAGGTTCTATGTCCTGATCTAGCTGTTGCAGATTATGCATATCCACCTGAACACATCAACACATCTGAACCTGAAAAATTGGTAAGTGGAACGAAAAACTAAATATGGAATTTACAATTCACACTTTTGTTCTCGAATAATGTCATCATGAACCATGAATAGGAAGTTGTTGTGTTAATTATGTTATGTCAAGCATGGAGTATTGATATATTGAAATACTTTTGTATATTATCTGTTAGCCCATGCTTGATCAATCATACCGTGTAGAGTACCCGGTATATATAAAATCAAGATGAAGATGAGTCAATAGGTCAAATGAAAGTTTTTTGTTTTCGTATAGTAGGCAAGTTTTTTAATACTGAATTGACCTGAATATGCAACTGTGCTATGTCTATCCTGGTTTGTCATTATTTAGATAATCTGTGACCTCTTCCATCTTTTGTCCTATTGTTTTTTGATGTGTTAAATATTTGTATAGTAAGTCATATCCTATTTATGTTTATTTTCAATGCAGATAATAGCACTCTTGCTGAGTAGAATTTTTTAAATTTAGTAATAGAATCTGTTTTGCTGATATTTTCCATAATTTTAGGACGATTTTGAATATTTGAACACTCTGCTATTTTTATATTTTGTTTCTGCCATTTTTCTTTCTCTGGATGCATTTTGTTATTATTTATCTAAATATGGGAGTAGATGACGTAACTTTAGTTGAGTAGCAATATACATATTTTATTCATAATGTTGTGGCGGGACGCGTAAAAGCACTTGGTTTATTATATTTTAAACCTATTTATAGATTTTGTCTGATTTTCTAATCTTTCCTAATTTTTTTACTTTTTATTTGTACGTGGTTTTGTTATAGATACCAAAATAAACTGTATAATTATTTGAAAAATAAAAAACCTGCTGTTGCATTTTTTCCGCAAGTTTCATAATCCATGATTAATATTGTGTAGTTTTGATCTTCACACATGGGACACTTATACCAGGTCCGAAATGATTTCTGGTACTCGATTTTATGAAATTAATACGTGAAAACATGAATTCGCATGCATATAAATTACTTTAAAAAATATCATAATGCTACGGCAAATTTTTTTTATTAAAAAGAATTTGGAAGGGAATTTCAATTTAAGAGAATTATATCTTACGATTTGATTTTAAACGTATTAAAGTCACTTCCATCCTGCTCTATTGTTATTTCAGATTTCTGTCGTAATTAGTTTCTTTCCCTGTTATAGTCAGCGTACTATAAGTGATAATATTCTTATGTCATATTGCACTCTCGTCTTGCACAATGCAACATAGCATTTCTTTACGTAGTTAGCTATTGTGTGTAAATTCAGTCATCTTGGAAAATTACTCGGCGAAAAAAAACAATCATGGCCCTTTGATAAATCTTCACTCCACAAACAGATTCATCAATGAAGCATAGTTGGACTGTCTTAATATTGATTAACTTTAATCAATTTTCTATTGATTATGTCATGTGATTGTGTATGTTCTGGTTTATATTGTGTAACTTAACCAGTTAGTCTGATGCTGTATTCACTCACAATGAGGCTCAAGTCAAGCTATATCCCAATGTCATAACCTGAATAATTTTATTCGAGTCTGAGTTGAAACTGTTTCTCAAAAAAAAATTTTCAACTTTGAATTGTTACAGAATATATTGAAACAGAATAGATTTTATTTGATTTTATTTGAAAGTAGAATTGATTTCTGAATTTTTGTTGGATTACTGTATGCGCACATGCTTGCTTTTCCCTGTTAAAATGTTGAAAAGACAAGGGACTTATGGTAACCTTTTTTTTCTTTCTTAAAATGATTGCAATAGCAAAATAGCCTTCCTTTAATTAACGTTTGGTTTGGTCCATCCATCTGACACAATGCATTTTTTGAATTCTATGATTTCTATTCTATGATTACCTCCCACATGTTTCCATTTTGTTTCAATATAAAGAAAGTATGATATTGCAGAATTTCTCATTGTGTTTCGATTCTAATCGATTCAATGCACTATTATGATGAGTTAGCTTGGCTCTACTTCCTGTCCTGAAACTTATGTGACGTCATCTGATTTGAAATGGAAACAAAAATAATAGCATGATTTCCTAACTGGTCACCCAGACGGTTATGAAACGGTTATGAATTAATATGAATCACTCCAATTTCAAATTTAACTTATGTTTAGATTTTAATTGTCAGTAAGTCTTCATCTGGAAATCTTTAAATGTAAAATTATATGATAGTAATATTTGCAAATTGAAGTTATTATGTTTTAATCTGTCATAGCAAATATCTAAATACCTGTTAAAAATATTGTCAGGCTTTACTGGTTTGGTGAAGGATTCTTAATATCTGTATATTTTGCTTGTTTCTTCTTTCATTTGTGTCAAGAAGTTTCAAATGAAGTTATTCTAAATCTAAACCACTCATAGGACTAAGAATTAACGTAAGTCCTCGCATATAAGCCAATCTCGCATATAAGCAGACGCTACACTCTTTCAATAATATCATGCTATTTGTCCCATGAAATATTAGTCTTTTTCAAATTCGATTAGTAAAGTAGTCAGACTTTGTCCATCATGCGATGATTTTCGTCTTCTACTGTTTACTTCACTCAGGAAATTGAGTGCTTTTGTTTCCGCGGACTTTAGTTTCAATTAAATTTTTACCTTTAAGGTTACAAGCTGCTTTTTATTTCAGGACAAAGAAATTCGTGCAATATTTTTGAGATTATTTTGCCAATTATTAATGGGATACAGATCATGCCTACAAGTTTGCAGAATACATCCTCGGCCTATCATTCGATTTCAAAAAGTAAGTTTTTATCTCGATCACAACTTACAATATAACTGGAAATAGATTGATAATTACCAGATTCTGGTTTTATTTTTGTGTGGTTGATTACTATCGCTATTATTTTATCATTTTGCAATTTTTTTAAAAGGATTTGTTCTTGAACGTAAGAGGTTATGATCGAATTGACTCCGGTATTTCAGCGGAATTTATGCCAAAACTTGTGGAAAGCCAAGCATTCTCTCTTTTTGTACAAGAAGAAGGCCCTCCATATAGAAGGTATACACATTTTTTTCTCTTATAATAAATTAATAAATTATATCACTTTGATAATTTTTAAAAACATTTTAGATGAATTTTGGCCAGCAGTTGGTGCATTATGCTCAGCATTAGGAATACACTTGTTATTGCACCTCTAATTACCCTGCGTGGGTTAGCAGGATTTGAACCCGTAGGGGATGATTATGTGCGAAAGGTGGTTCACGTAAACGCTGGTCAGTAATGGCTTCCTCCACTATCAGGTCATGGTTTATGATATGATCAAGTCGTATTATTGACTTTCCTCTCTTCCTAGATAAATAGGAAATATATGGAAGGTGATAAATTCTTCGGCGCTGTAGTAGTTTTGTTTGCCTATTTTACATCAAGTTGTGTAAAGGGACTGAAGCCTATGGGGTATATTAACTCGGCTAACACAGACTGTCCCCGAACTTGTAATAGAACTATAATACAAAAAATCGGAATAAAATTATGACCTAACCCTAACCTGGCACACACACTACTTGAGTACCAATCCTTGTACCTATTGTGCAGTAGTTCTTCGAAATTATAGATTTGCTTTGTATTTGCAAAACAGAACTACCTTGTTATGTTAACATTACTAATTCTATGATATATTATTTTAGGTTGAACATATTCGATCGTGAAGTAGCTAAAATGCCAGAACAAATGAAAAAAGAAGGTGGAGATATCAGTAAAGCATTGCGGCACATTAAAGATATTGCATATGAATTGGATAAAAATGTAAGTTATGTTTATTATGTACTGTATTTTCTAGATAGGATCAGTAATGTTCGCATTATATTCCAATAAATTTTATACTCGATCATACATGTTACGTTGAATTCTGGAGTTTTTTATGATTCTGTACTTTCTATTTCAAATTTTAAGTTCAAAATATTGATTGTGCAATTCTAGTTTTCACATCTTCATTATTACAGGAACGACCAACTTCATCTCCGCCGTTACAAAAGGTCCCAAAACCAACTGATGGTGCCTATCTCAGACCTAATCAGTTAAAGTTTCCGAGGCTTAGTCCTACTGCCGTTCAAACTTTTATGACAGATAAAGCTAATAATTTGAAAAATGAATTCAAAAATATAAAACCTACGGAACGGCCGAGCATTCGTGTACCGGACGGGGCGCAGATGAGTAAGCACATTTTTATATATTTTTATAATATGTTTGTTCATCTTTTGTTTAACTGCCTTAAAAAATAACTTCTGCACCACATTCAAATGGCACTTGGGGCCATATTTCTATTTCTGCTCTAACTAGCTCTTTTTTTGTATATATAGGCACTTTCTCTCCTCGCTCAAACACACTCACGACGAGTAGCAGAAGACTTGAAGTTTTGAGGAGTTGCGTGCAATTTATATTTGAAAATAGAACATTAGAAACTAAGAAAATATTTTCTGCAGGTAAATTAAACAATCTTCATTTTGGTTGTCATTTTCAAATCAAATTTTATTGTGAATCTTTTAAGAAAATTTTATTTTATTTATTTAACTGATTAAAACTATACTATACTGCTCATACAATACTGGTATTTCATTTTTATATGAGTGTGTATAACTACGGGTAGATAGAGTTTAGGGGGTTGCCTAATCCATTGCACTCAAGTAATGACTTTGATTATCTTCTCCCATCATTTTTTACAGTGATCTTGATTTAAATTATATTCTAGAAGTAAAATTTTAGATTTCTTAGATTTATTAGGTAAGAAAAACTCCTATGCTAATCTAAAGATCATTTAATTTAACTTGTTCTTGGACTAAATTAACGAAGTGTCATTTGTGCGAAATTGCATATTGAAGAGAAATATTAAAAATTTGAATAACAGAAATGTTTTTATTTGGAAATATATCATATTGATTCAATTGTCACCACATACCTCAACTACTGATAAGGCTATAAAACCAGTCAAAACAAATCATTCTTGACTTTTGTTATCAAATTTTATATCTATATTTCTGTATGATTTGTTCCAGTCTCTTAAATTGTCCATAATTTAAAATTACAAAAAAATTATCTACTTGATTTAAAATACCAAGTCAAATCTTCATTTTTGAAACATTCTTGAGCCGTGTTATTTAAAAAATTTGAAAAATAGTTATATATAATATAGCAATGATCTAGTTATTATCAATTGGGATTACGCAAGAGTGGCTATCTCTTTCATATATGCATTTGTTGGATCTGGTGGATTCGCATTTCTATATCGCTATGATGCTATAGCAAGCATAAAAATGATTTAGGTGATTCGGGAATATAACTGCATACTAACACAAATGTATTTCTGTATTCTTAGGTTTAAATTAGCTTAAAAAGTCATATTGGTCAGACTAAATGTAACAGAAATATAGTTGTGTTTGCGAATTACATAAATATTCTATTATTTATTGTAATTTTTCAGTTTTAAGAGCACTGAAAAATCGTTCCGTCAGAGAAGCACTAACGCAAGAACTAATAAAGTATGCAAAACTGAAGCCACAGCTCGACAACCAACAATTTGGCTACATTGCACGACTTTGCAATTCGGCATTAGACGTGAGTCTTCTATATTTCATTTTTTATCCATAAACAGACTATTTTCAAATATTTAATAACCGTGATACATATTTTCACAGGATTGCAGCAGTGAAGATGATGAATACATTGTAGCTGCGGATCTCTTGCCAGCATTGTTGGCATTTTACAGGGTATATTTTTGTTTTTACTGAAAGGGTGTTCACATATACTATAGGGTGTAAAAAAAAAAAAACATGAATTCCTCGATTATTTCTACGAAAATGAAGAAATTGTTTGTGTACGATTGTACCCCCCTCGTAATCTAGGACTCTTTGCACAAAAGTCATGTTCTGTCCAGAATATTTTCCAAATAACCTGGGTTATGTTTTCATTTCCCTGTGAAATGATATGTAATAACTTTAACAATTTGCATGTTAGGGTATTGCCTATTGCCCTACACTCCCATGGCCCAAATAAAGAAAAATATTTTATTCAGACGAAAACTTTTTTTCCCATTTCAAGACACACTATAAAATCATGTATATCGCTTATTGCTTTTATATCCTTTTCACTCCTAATTTCACCTAATGAATCTTGAATGCCTGTTTTTATTTAATTGCAGAAATTATGCCCTACTGTGATGCAGTTTTTGTACACCGTGGTGCAAGAACATGCTGTCTGGTCATCCATCGAATTTTGGGAATACACTTTTTTTTCTGATGTACAGAATGAGATGTGTCGTTTATATCAATTGAAGAAACACGGAAGCAGAACTGTCATACAAAGGGGTGACATGAAATCGAAAGATGTGAGATTTTAATTGGTTTTGATATTTGTTTATATTATAGGTCCTTTAATTTCAACTTTGTTATTGATTTTTCAATAATCTGACGTTTTTATTTCATATGCTGCTTATAAATTCATAATTATTAGATTTCCGCTCTGGGAGGCCCTTATTATCGGCCAATCTGTATGTTTAGATGTAGCGTCTAAACGGCAGGAAATTTTTCATGCGGGTCCTGTTACCCTAGTAATGTGCGTTTCATAGAAAGTCCAGATTGATGTTTTCGTTTCTATGGCAACCACAAAAAATGTGCCAATCGTTATTCCAAATATTTCATAATTTATCGCTGCTTTCTCGTCAAGTCGAAAATTAAAATTCCAAGAATGCTACTTCAAAGATACTCTTTGAACAAGTCGTCTTTCTTCTCGATACTTAATAAAGAGGAGAAGCCCTAGGGATTATAAGGAACATTATTTTAAATATTAGCTACAGTATATCACTCACACAAGAATGTCTACGGGTGCGCAGTGCCCAATATGAACTGGCAGTTTCGGTAACCCGCTGTCCCTTATTCACACTGCTATTATAGATCTGCAAGTTTCTATGGATGGTAACCAGGTTGCTTGAGTGCGGGCCTCAACTATCAGAGGAGACCCTTGTCCTACCGGCTTGTGATTCTGTTGTTTTCAATTAAACATCATACTTCATTTGATATAAAAATCATCATTTTATTTTTAGACTTCGAATTTAAAGCATGAGAACGTAGTTGCTGTAGCTTCAGCAATGAAAAGAAATGCATCGGCAGAAAACATTGCCAAGTTCGAACAAAATAAAGAGAAGAATACATCCTATGATGGGAGAGACAACGCAGCTTGTCTTGAGATAGCTGCCACTGAAGTATGTTCTATCCATCTCTGGTTTTATTTCTAACTCTAGATTTTTTCTGATTTTGGTAATATGAATATTTGTCTTGGCTGAAAACTACAAATTAAGGATTGCTTCATAAATATTAAAGTGATTTTGCGACTTATGTAACTATATGAAATACAGTCAAGATGAACTTTAGAGTTACTGCAGAGTTGAACTTGCTCAAATATCATGCATGTGCACTCTCACAGCGGTCGATTTAGCACAGTTTGTCTGTAAAAACATCATTATTTTTTTTTCACTCTCCAGTCCCTAATCATTAACCAATTTTCGACGGATTTACTTTTTCTTGTCAAGACTATACTATAATGTTTTTAAGCAATGTGAAATACCTTTGAGTCATCGTCTGTATAGAAATGCACTGCATAGTCACCAAAATGAGACTCAAAAATCAATTTTCCATTACTTTGTGAACACCACTTACTGTTATGTTATTTACTATCTGACTTCTAGACACATTTATCTTGGTCATAAATGTCTTTATGTCTTTATATGTACTAAATGTCTTTTTTGATATTCGACCCAGTTGAGAGATTTAGTGATCAAGAGTGAAAAAGAAAAAAAGGATCTTGCGTTAGCCGAAGAAGGAGTAATTGTCGGACAAATTCAACATGTTTCACAACGAATGGTTTTTATGCTTGTACCTCTTGATATCGGTGACGGGAAAGTTCAAATGAAATTTTTGAGAAATTCAGGCCGATTAAATGAAGATAGCAGTAATAGTTTCTTTACGAGCAGGTACATTGTTATCATGTATTTTGAAATAATTTTTATCGATTCAATTTTGAAATGTAAACGTCTCTGCCTGATTAATTTGGTATTCCAGGATTCTATTTTTTAATTTGGAATTTGTCTGGTTTGGTTTTGCCCACCAAATTTATTACACACAGGGCGAGGTGGTGTGCAGGGGATTTGAACCCCAGTATATAAATCTGCCATGCCAACATACAGTTTAACCCAGGGGTGGGCCAAGGTTTTTGGGCCAAGGGCCAAAATTTTTGCCCACCTAGACTGATGGGCCATGTACATCTGACGTAATAAGTTACATTTTATGAATAATATTTACAGTGTTGCGAAGAAGAAAATGGAAAACAATAAGCCTCGCGCCAAAACTAAATTTAATCTCAACACATTCCTTGAGGTATTTTTCAGCCAAAACATCAAAATTTGGTTTTAGTTTGGTTGTGGCAGCATCAGACGGGCCAGATTGAATTACCCAACAGGCGGGAATTGTCCTCGAACCGTAGTTTGTCCAAGTTAGGTTTAACCTCTAGGAAATTTTGGATTAGAGCATTCATACCTATTATTAGCAACATTATTGGGGACTTCGGAATCTTCAGAAATATATTATCTTCAAATTTTTCAGTTTGGGTGGATCTGTCAATGGAAGCATAGATGATGACAGTTTTGCTTATCAGTCTGACGGAGGAGATGTCAAAAGCGTCATCTCTAAATTTGTGTCAATGTTTGTTGATCGAACGTGCAGTGAGACTGGGATTTCAGCAGACTTCTCGAAATCACTTCTAAATAAAGTTCCCAGTTTGGTTTTAATGCAGGTTAGGTGATTTTTTATATTCGATTTACAATTTATGTGAATCGGCATAAAATATTCGAGTAGCTCAAACTAAGATAAAATTACATACAAATGACAACAATTATATCTCAAAGGAAAGAATATTATTCTAGATTATTTTTCATTCAGATACTGGTAAATCATTTTTTATTTTAGCTACATCCCACATTCTTATTAATTAAATAGTTTATAGTGAAAATAGTTTTTGAAAAGACCGGAATTTTGTGGCTAGGCATTGGCTATCAAATTTATTACATTTTGGATGCATGCAGGGCAAGGGATTGGGACCTATATTGTTCTTATTGTGCCTTGTATTGGTTGATCTATATGTACAGAGTGCACAGAGGCTTAGGAAAGAGTCAAAATAACTATTCTTTTATCTTTCATCACAAATTTTGAGATGTTAATAAGGTCATTTTTGGTAATTGTAATAATGTTTTTTTACAGCATGAATCTTTGCATGACGTTTCACGAGAGAGCAAGAGGCTTCCTCCAATAAAAAAGGTATGTTTTCTTAGTATACAGACATTTACCCCCGGAAAAACACATCTAGCGAAAAGTCTATATATTTGTTTGTATATATTCAATTTCACTTTCATAATACAAATCATTGTCATCCCCATAAATTTTATTTCAGGCAAAATTATTACAACCGACTTTGTTACCTGGAGAGACTTTGTATACACAACAAACATTGCGAGCATATCTTTCTGGTGACGGTCGCATGATTGCTACTGGTGGTTCTCTTGGTGGTCCTTCACTTCTTCCAGCAGAGGGAGCTATATTTGTTTCAAACTATAGGATTATGTTCATCGGAATACCATGTGATACATTAGGTAAGTGTCAGTATGAGATTATTTTTGGTTAAGATAGGATTCACATATTTATCCCGGGGGAGAAGAGAGACAAGAAGATGACTTGATCATATGGAGAACCACGACCTCTCATCCGGTTACCAGTCCATGTCGATTGATGGTGGAGGAAGTCATAACTGACCAGTGGTATCAGCAATCCTCTCGCACATGACTATCCCCGCATTGGATTCGAACCTGCGATTTCACGCAGAGTAATCAAAGGTGAGGTGGCGAGCGTATTCCGAACGCCTAAAACGATGCCCGAACCACGAAACAAACTTTATTTTTTTTATTTTTGATCCGAAACGAACGTATATTACTCATCTATTTTAGCGTCTGAGCAAGTTGTCATCAGATCATTTCCAATATCGGGATTGCATAAAGTGAAACAGTTTTCTGACAACGATAAAATTAAAGAACGGAAAATAGAATCACATGTACAGGTTCGTGCACTTTATTGCTTTTTTTATTGCCTTTTTTTGGAAGTTGTCAAGTCTCACTCCTCAACTCAAAAAAAGAGCTAACAATAAGCTACAAATAACAAATAGTAAGGTGAAATTATGTTTTGTTCAAGAAACATGTTGGAAATATGTGGATGAAACGTAAATATCTATAATGAAGAAATGTAAATATCCGAAATAAGGCGGTCATGATCTAACAAATATTTTTATTTTTAATTAGATTTCACGCTACCTCAAAAAATTGTCTACACTCCCCTTGTGGGGCATGCCCCATCGTTTGAGAACCACTGCTCTAGAATATATTACATATCATCTGGGTTCTGTTTTTGGGTCACCATATATTTTACTATATGGTAAATATTCTACATCGTTTACTTTTACAAATTAAAAATTTGATTCTATTTCTTATATTTTCTCAGCATTGGTGCGTACTCTACTCTACGACATTTCAATTATTTTATATCGGGTTCGATGAGGACGTCACCGACGAACAAAGAGAAACGTTTGAAGAGAAAATACTCGCTTTGAGGAATCCTGCCACAATCGAAGGAACTTTTGCAATTCGAGCGACCTCAAGAGTGACCTCTTCAAGGTCGCCAACTCGCGGCGGCAAGAAAACGACAAAAGATGGGAAATCGCCTGAAAAGAAGCAGATGTATGGAGAGCGGACACATACAAAGTATGAATCTCTCTCTATACAGTTGTAAAAACTTGTATTATTAACATGAGTTTCTATGTTGTTTAAATTTCTAAGAGTTCTACTTTTGTCATAGGCATGGAGCGAAACATCTTGTCAAGCAAGCGAAGAGAAAAGCGGGAATGACGTTAGGAAAACAACCCCGATTATCTCGATTAATGATGACAGATAGTCGTACGAAAACTTTGTATTTCTCTCCAACTTCAGAACATAATGATTCGATGGATTCTACATTGACAAGACCACAAACGGCTGGCACTATGGATCGGTAAGTATTGAAATCCTCTTTATTCCGCCAAAACCAAATAATATAATGTTTGGAAACAACATTTTTCAATACGTTTTAAATGGAAACGTATTCAACAAACAAAATAGCAAATAAATCTGGATTTTTAATAATTGAATATTTTTATTGACCTTTGACCCCCAAAAATTTGTTTTTGGTTATCCACCCTTTGATGCTTATTTTCAGAATCAATTCGTGAAATGGCGGTTACAAACGGGTTTGATACATGTTTATAACCATCATTTTGATTCCAAATCCACCTGCCATTTAAAAGTTGTGAGCTGATTTCAGTCTAGTCTATCGAAGCTTTACAGGACTATAATTTGATTACCGCAACCACACTAAATGGCTTGATTGGCCGGTTCATGGCCTACAAGCCACCTGTTCCACACCCCTAATCTAAATAAAAAGAAAATGGTGGTACTTGAAAATGATTTATAGTAGTACAAATATATCTAAATTTTATTTCAAATGTTCAAATTTTTAATTTAGCTTTTCGAATCCACTTGTCACAGGTTATCTTCGGTCGATGAAACATTGAAAAAGACATTGTCTGACAGAGGAACGATGGATATGTTATTTCAACGCGGATGCAGAAACGATTATCGTCGTATGAAATTGATTGGTGGAATGAACGAACAATTTAGATTAACAACAGTAAATAGAATGTTCTCTGTATGTAGAAGGTAACACTGATTTAATACACTCTCGAAAGCAAGCCATAGATAATAAGGCTTTGTCACCCCTCAAAAATAACTAGCTAACAATAAGCTAAAAAGTACACATAGTAAGGTGAAAGTATGTTTTATTCAAAAAAAAAAACGCTGGAAGATGGAATAGGTGTTTTAGGCTATCACAGCAAATGGGTTTTAAATTTTCAAACCTATTGAATTCACCAAGTTGGTGAAATAAAGGTTTACAATAAACCCCTATGGCGTACATCATCGATAGCTTGATTTTCTACATTTGTGTTTTTCTTTTCAGTTATCCAGTCTGTTCAATTGTACCAAAGTCAATTGCAGATGACAGTGTGAGATCATTGTCTCATTGTCATCATCTCAATCGATTTCCTGCAGTAACATGGATGCATCCTACAACGAAAGCTGTGCTGGTGAGAGCAGGGGCAATTCGCTCACGAACAATCACAGCTGTATTTAAACATGGCCAAACATCCCAACCGCGTAAGTAACTGAATATTCATTTATTTATTGAGAGGTCGGATTCGACTAAATTTACTTATTCAGGTATTTTAGGAGTTTTTTATTTAAGAAATTATGATTGCGCAATTCATTTTCATTCTATAAAAGAGTGAATAAAATGTGTTTTGAATAAAAAAATTTCTTCATTTGCAGTGTCAGATGAAGGAACTCTTGGTTCGTCCGCTGAAGAAGAACGTTTTTTGGGAGCAATCATAGACTCGTCTAAAAATTCGTCTCCGACAAAAGTTTATCGACCCGATTCTTTGTTATTTAACGCAAGTGATGATGAACCGGTATGTATACATCATGTATGCGGCTTGGGAAAGCCATGTCTAAATTTTATATTTATCCATGTTCCTTGTATGGCAAATACCTCAAATCCCAATGAATTATTTTCAAATTTTTTTGTATCATTTTTTTAGCCAAGGTCACCAAAACTAAAAGGGAACAATGGTTTTGCCAACTCGTTTCGAGAAAATCGACCAGAAAGCATTTCAGGGTTGAAATCTGTAAAAAAATGGGGAACACTCAGTCGTGCAACAGGAAAGCCAGAAATGAACTCGTATTCAAAGGTACGCTAGCAGATTTATATAAATAAACAAAAGATGTCTGACTATATACCTAATTATGTTACCAATGAATGATAATTTTTATTTACAGACTGGAGCTCGACTTCCCCTCGATCGATCTGGCAATGGAACATTAAATGTTCCTGGCTCAGCTGCTACTGTTAATTATAAAGCAATGGCAAGAAAATCTCAGCTTTATGTTTTTGCTGAAAAATCACTGTTGAAAGTTAGTAATTCTTATATTTAAAGCGTTGACCATCTTGTTTTTTGTTATTTCCATCAAAGGTGAGATGCATTCCACATTTTTTTGTTAATAAAGCCATATTTTCAAAATGCAATCTTGACATAAGTCCATATGTTTCATTCACAACTTTTTTGTCCTAGTGAGTTGTGAATGAAACATATATTTTTTTTATTGTGTGTGCACACTCAGCAAACAGCAAATAATTCATGTGTTGAGCCATTACAATAAAAAGTCACCTACAATTACATATCTTCCCAAGTATTAAGTATTCAAGATTCGATTCGGAAAAAACATTTGATTCGATTCGGAAACAAAATCATAAGCAAATATGGGCAATTAGGATCCTTATTTCATGTTGTAATAGTCTGATATGTAAAGTTGACAATACAACCCAGTTCAAAGTCAATACATCGATTAAAACAGATTAACAAAACCACACACTAATAATGAGCATGCTGCCCAAACAGTAAAAAACAGAAAACAAAACACAATAGAAAATTATTCACGCCTGAGCGAACATGATAAATGAAGCAAAACGAAAGTGAAAGAATGCAGTGCTTGAAATGAATAAAGCAGAACCGTAACATGATATTGTAACCTTTTGAAATTACTTTTTATTCTAATATAATATTCACAAAGAAATATCATTGTATATACATTTTCAGAGTTTGAAGCAAGAACAACAAGGAAGGGTTGAATTTGTTCCAATTGATGTACCGGAGCCAAAACAAGTTCGATTGTCATTTAAAAGTTTATTAAAAGTATGTCTTCCTGTCGATCCACCCCCTCAACCACAATCAGCGCAATCCGCTCTCGATGACAACCAACAGTTTCGAAAAGGGGTCGAAGAATCGGGATGGCTTCAACAGGTATATCATTGCTGGTACTCCTTTAGTGTGTGTACCAGGTTAGGGTCAGGCCATAATTTTATTCCGATTTTCTGTATTTTAGTTCTCTTATGAGTTCGGGGACTGTCTGTGGTAGCCAAGTGGATATATCCCCTGGTCATAAGTTTCAGTCCTTTTACACAACATGATGTATAGTAGGCGAACAAAATTAGTTACCTTCATATTGGTACACATAATTATGGAGCGCCTCATTGCTTGTTTACTAGCCCAATTAAAATGTATTATTCACAACAATTTTTAATTCAACTTCACTCTTAAGATATCTTCATTGCTATCTGTCTCGGGAGCTGTTGTTGATATTCTGGACACGCAAGGTTCATCGGTTGTCATAGCGATGGAAGATGGTTGGGATGTCACACCTCAGTTGACAGCGCTTGCACAGATAATGTCAGATCCGTACTATAGGTGTGTGCATTTACGTGACTCACTAAATTGTCCTTCACCTTTTTCAAGTGCGGATTCATTAAAGATACATTTGTGTTTTAGATAGTTTTACTCTCTAAATTATTGACAGAGGTAACTAATATGTTCCATTGGCCGGCCTATTTTTGGCGAACGGCCCTGCTTTTATCCAGCCATGGCATATTCTTGGCTTAGCATTGTTCAGTTAAAACTGTTTCATTATGCAGGCATGAATGAATCCTACCAATGAATCCTGAATTCTTCATTTCAGAACCATCGAAGGATTTCAGATTTTAATCCAAAAAGAATGGTTATCTTTCGGACATCGATTCAGTCATCGGAATCATTTTAACGAAACGATATCGAGTGGTTTTACTCCTATATTTTTACAGTTTCTTGATTGCGTTTATCAAGTAAGCCATTATTATATAGCGATTGGTATTTTGTTTGTTTGCCAAAATCGTTTATCGTAACACACATCATAGTTTTTCTTAAGTCAATTTGTGTTACAAACCTGTCACATATCGCTACTTCGAATATAGTCGAAGAACTGAATTTTTCCAATTCAATATAACAAATACAGGCCTATTCTAGATAAGGGCTTTCCAAATTGGGGGTCGCAACCTCGCGAGAAGGCGCATAACGAATTTTAGGGGTAACAAAGAGTACACCAATTTCACATAAAGTACTATATCTATTGTACTTTTTCAGATTTTTGATTCGAAACACAATTGTTAAAACTAAATCTCACATAAATCGCATAATTTTGAGAGAGTACATACTGCGCGCTTGTATAACAATGCCGACTTCGATCGCAAGACCCGATAAGCCCCGACTGGGGGTAGCGGAAAATTTTAATATATTGGAAAGGGTCGTGAGCCTAATAGTTTGGGAAGCACTGATCTAGATGACAGCTCGGACGATCCACGTCTTTTTTTCCAATTACCGGCCTCCTGGATGGTCTTGCAATGTCAAAACAGATTATGCTCAAATCAATTCAGGGGCACGTCTTGTTTATAACTTTTCTCATTTTATGTTTTGTCAACAATATCATTTATTAAAATTTTAATTTTTTTTATTTTTCAGATTTTGCACCAGTTTCCTCTTGCTTTCGAATTTAATTCCATGCTCATACAAACTATTGCATTTCATTGCACTTCCAATAGATTTAACACGTTTATTCTTGACTCGGATTTTGAAAGATTAGAAGCAGGAATCCTTCTTGACACAAAATATGACAGAAGAAATACTTCTTCCTCTGTATCACCTGATCAAAAGACATCTGATAATGACTCTCAAGGTGAGGGGTTTCTCAAGCTGACAAAAACTTACTCTCGTTGTTGGCGGAGAAAAATATCATGATTGATCAAATGCAATTGAAATACACCCCGTTTGCCGAAGATTATCAGCTATTTTAGTTTATATGCAGTCATGACGAATGGTACCTTGTAAATGTTCATGGCCCCCACAGAGCCACTGTGTGGCCCCAAGGGTGCCGGGGACCTAGTTTGGGAAATCTGTTCTAGGCATTTTTGTAGGTACTCCTGAAGTATGTGAACCAAGATGGCAGATACCAGAACGTAGTATGTGTACCAGGGTAGGGTTCGGCTATAATTTTTATTTCAATTTTCCTTATTTTAGTTCTATTACGAGTTCGGGGACTAGCCATGTGACTCTCGTAGTATTTGTACCTGTAACTATGGCCTAACCCTAACCTGTTACACATACACCATACCGGGGTCCGCCATCTTGGTTCACATACTTCGAACCTCCACCCTTTTGTAGAATGATGCATAGAATGTGAAAATTTCTATTTTCTCTCACATAAATGAAAATGTTTATATTTCTGATATCAAATAAATAATTTTGGATATTTCAACAATTGTTTTTAGTTTTTGCATAAATAATTGGAGTTTTTTTTAATTTTACAGGCTCTCGTACAAAATCTCCACGAAACATCAAATCATTATGGGAATATATTGATCTCGCTCATGAACGTTCGACTGTTTTCGTAAACACTTTATACTGCCCTGATCATCTCACACAAAACGTAAGTGCTTTAATTATCCATTTAAAGTCAATTTTATCACTCGTAAATTTCTATTATACAAATAAGTGAAACCTATCAAAGATTCGCAGTATTCTTTAGGGCTGTGACCAAAGAGTGCTCGAGTTGAGTCTCGACATAAGCCATCTATATGTATTGACTCTGACACGACTAACTTCAGGCATGACGAGCTCATTGACTTAACTTCAGACTCGAACTTGACTCAGGTGAAGAGTGACTCGACTGTGAGACGCAGCTTAGTGACTCAACTTTGGACTCAAACTTGACTCACATGAAGAGTGACTCAACTGTGAGACGTAGCTGAGTGACTCAAATTTGACTCGAATGAAGAGTGACTCGTCTGTGAGACGTAGCTCAGTGATTCAACTTTGAACTCAAACTTGACTCAGATGAACAGTGACTCGACTTAGCTCGTAACCAAGTAGTTTGCTATTATGGCTGGCTGGCCAGTAAAAAATATCTAACTAGCTTGTTGCTATACTTTATTTTACTATAGGTACTCCGTCCTGTATCATCAATATGTCGATTGCGCATCTGGCCATATTACACACAGGAATGGTTGGGAGATTGTCCTCAGTATGACGGTCTACTCGGAGAATTAAGCAGCACTGGAACAAGACATAACGAACAGGAACAAGAGGTGAAAATCTTGGATCTTGTCTTTTTTTTATTTAGATCTCAAAACTTATCAGAAATTAAATTTGTTTTGTAATTCAGGCGAGCGAGGCGTGGGAAGGTCAATCTGGAAGACGAATAATCAATCGATGTTATGACAACACCAATGAAGTTCAACCTGATTCAATTTGGTAATTTGAACTTTTTGGTTTATTTGGTTGTATTAAAATGAATATTCTAGATATTTGGTTGTATTAAAATGAATATGCTAGGTATTTAGTTGTATTTAAATGAATATTGGATTTGAAATACAAATTCACTTCAAATTTCAATCTTTTTTCAGTTCTCTTGTTCAGCAAATCGAACATTTGCAAAATGAGCTTGGAAAGCCGAACGAATCGTGGAAAGATATTTGGATATCAGCAATGACGACAAAAAGAATAAAAGTATGAAAAAAATACTGAGTTATATCCTCGCATGTGAGCCAAACCGACCTAAAACTGGCCCTGAGCGATGAATTTATAAAAATTCGCATATGAGCTGACCCTACAAATAGTAACACGCCGTACGCACCTGGAATTGATCCAAAATTCTGTACTGGCGGACCAATAGCCAAGACACACAAGCGATTACATGTATAACAACCAAGCACAGACTGTTATCGCTGTTATAGTGGACCAAGCGCTGCTTTGCGTGTGTGCGTGCACACGCTTACAGTGAGTTGTAGCTGTTGAAATTAAGTTAGCATAATGTCATTTTTTTCGCTGCTTTGCGTGTGTGCGTGCACACGCTTACAGTGAGTTGTAGCTGTTGGAATTAAGTTATCATAATGTCATTTTGTTTGAGTGTGAACCGAGTTATGCGCGTATAAGCCGGCCCTTCAGTGTGATCTGTAAGCCGACCCCTAGTTTGGCGACTTTTTTTTTTTGAGTTTTAAACTCAACTTATATGTGAGGATATAATAAGTTTAACACATAAATCGATGAATACATTTTATTTTACAGTATCGTGTTCCGTCGCCAACACATGCAGCAAGAGAACAAGCTAAGTTAATACACAAACGATCAACTGTTGATATTATTGTAAAGGTTCGATTAAATTACTATTTTCTATCAGTTATATTTGAAATAGTCAATTGTTTTAACATGCCATTACTTGGATGCACAGTTACAGTATCTTGCTATAACTAGATCAGCGTTCCTCAAACTTTTTTTTGCCTCGGAACACCTACGCTTTTTATCTCGCCTCGCGAAACACCAATTGAAAAATTAGGCCGACGGTTATTAACGATATTGAACAGTTAATGTTTGAACAGTTAACGAAAGGCTTTTCAGATTGGCATGGGGCCTGTCAGCCTGTTCAGATAACAGGGCCTGTTTGTTGCCAGTTGAGAGAAAATTTTACAACCTAGAGTCACCGAAGCACGATGGAGATTGCCATGGCGACCAATTTAGTCTCAATTTCCCTGTTCTGCAGAACGCTCTGAAATAGCTTGCGGAACAGCAGTGTTCCAAGGAACACAGTGTGAGAAACGCTGGTCTTTATAAATTAGCAATTCATTCAACACTTCAAAACTGCTAGCTATTTAAAAACAGTTCAAGCACATGACTCTGGCTTTTTTTAATTGTAACTAATCGAAAAAACATTCACGATCCTAAATCCTTCTAAGCATGTAACTCTGCGCATGTAATTGACCTCAATATTGTCAACAAATAGATAAAATCTCACAATATTCTAAAATTGTTATTATGGAAAATACCCTTATTTCAGAGTCTTGAGATTGTTCCAACATCAGATTTTGGTCCTGGGATCCGAACCTTTTCATTTTTGAATACATTCAATCCTATGGTATATGGGAATGCATTTGATTTTTAGCATTTTTGTTTTATTGGGCTAATATTTTTGTTGGTGATTTTCATTAACCCTAACCGAAGAGGTGAGGTGACAGAATTGTTTTGGTATAATATTAGCAATCAATATTTTATTTGATTTTTGGATTTATTTAGTAGCATTATATGGTACTTTTTTGTGGTATCTTGGCACCTCAGCAGTTGCTCGTACCTTCGCTCGGAGATCAGTTTTCTTTACCTATGAGTGAATGCTCGTAACCTTGATTTTAGCAAATTTCTCTAAAAACGTGACTTCATGTCCATTTTATCACTTAGTCTTCTGACACTCAACTGTGCCGATAGGTACTCATGCTTTCATTTTTTTAATCATTGTCAGGGGCCCCCAGGAGTGGTTTTGCACGTCAGAATCCCCCCCCCCCCCTCACCCCTGTTGAAATGTTAAAAAGCATTTTTTTTGTATCATACATAGCAACTTTTTATCGCTTGAAAGTTTGAAACGCTTTTCAGACTTTCTAAACTCCTGAAAACAGATGTTTTTTGACCAGACCCAGTCTAACTTGGCAATGCGAATTTCAGAACCCCCCCATTGAAAATTCATTTAAATATTTTAAAGGTTAAATTATAACATTTCTAACCTATTTCTGTCATTACTACCATTTACTTTATTTCTTAAACTTGCTCTTTTTAACATTTACAATTTTATTACGTTTCTTTGTTTTCTAGCAATTATTGTCATCTTTCAACTAACTTAGCTATTATTTTTTGTTCAACTAAAATCGATGTCCAATACAAATATTTTTCATGAAAAAATGAATTCAATACATTTACATCAAATCCATGTTTTTTTCCAGTCATTTGTAAAATTTATGACAGGGATATTGTTATTTTCTCAAAACACTTCAATATTTTAAAATTATGCACAACTTATTAAGTGCTGCTTTTTGTAGAAAATGATGAATCCATAAGGCAGTTTTAACTAATAAAACGTTTTGTCTTACAAATTGGACTTGCATTTGATTCATATAATACTATTTTTTAAATGTTTTTAAAATTTCAAATTAGGAAATCAACTAGCGTGTTTCTACTATTGAAAACTGTAATTATCGTTTGTTGCTTTGCAGGCTTTTATTGTAATTTTTAATTATTGCTCTGTTCTTTACACAGCGTTCAAATAAAGAGGACACAATAGCAGAAACATCGTCATTAGTGTCCGAAATGGGAACGTTACGTCCGGAAAATGAAGATAATTTCGATACAGCATCATTATATCACTTCCAAAGCAATTCATCTGAAGTAAGAATTTTCTTTTTAAATTATTATAACTCGAGCGAAAATTCTTCAACCTGACCTGTTATAATTATATTACTTTCAGGTTCGAACATATGAAGGCGTTTTATATAAACAGGGAGCTTATATGAAGAGTTGGAAGCAAAGATATTTCGTCTTGGATTCAACGAAACATCAGGTACGAAAAGGGTTTTCAAATATATTCAATTCTTGTTTGACAAGCTCGACTGAGCAATATAAAAAATGACACATGTTGTTTTATAGCAGTGTTCGGAAAAACTGCTGCTTGCGCGTCAAATGCGGCGAACAATTGCCCTCCGACCCCAGTTTTAATGCATAGAAATAAAAATTGGTCATAAATTTATTATTTGCACACAGATGTACCGTATTTCCTCGCATATAAGCCGAGTTCGAAACTAAAAAAAGTGCCCAATTAAGGGGTCATCTCATACACGCATAATTCTGATTGCACTAAAGCTTAGTTATAATTAACAGAAAAATAGGAGTTGCGAGTGCGTCATAATTTGAAGTTTCATGTGGCAATTAATGTGACCTGCATGCTACATGCATATTTGGTCAAATAGAACAGTAAAATTTGGCGACCACGGTTCTATAGAATGACTCTATAAGAAAAGTGGGCCAAGAAATATTTACCCTGCCTGTAATAAGACTAATCATTTTACTTTTTTTATCATTGTTAGCTACGCCAGTACGAATCGAAGCTGGATGTAACTTGCAAAAGTATTTTCGATTTAAAAGAAGTCATATCAGTATGTCTCATCGACAGTGTTTCCAGTCCACCCAAAACGGTTGAAGATAAATCATTTTTCGAGGTAATACCTTTTAATTTTTAGATTGGAGTTTAGCAGCATTATATGAAATTGTCCATGTTGTCTATTATTACTGCGGTTTCATATTTTTCCTCTCGTTTTTGTCCGCAATACTATACGAATGTCCGAAGATTTTTGTTTTGGCTGTGTTTATAATATAGGTATCAATTATTAAAAAACAGGCTTGACTGAGACACAATATGGAAAGTGCTTGATCCATGGTATTCCACTCATGTTATGTCTCTTCAATTTGGGTTTTTATTTTTCAGATAAAAACTGCCAAAAGAGTTTATCATTTTATTGCTGAGAGTAATGAAGCCGCAGTAAAGTGGATTGATGTTTTGCAAAACGCATTGGAGGCTTGATATATTTAAAGTCAACACAACCAAGCATTTGGAAATCAGGATCACTGAATGCTTTTCATCACAATTAAGTTATGTTGAACACAGGCCATAGATTTTTTAAGTTACTTCTCAGGTTAAAATACGAAAGCGCGAATATCTGAATTTTTTACCATGACATCCTCTCGAGGAAATTCAGTTATGGAGAGTTCAGTTTCATCAAGTACTCCAATGCTTTTAGGCCATAGTAAATTAGATTGTTTAAAATATGTTGCGATGGTACAATATGCTTACGGAAGTGTAAGATTATTATTGCACAGTTTTCTTATTTCAAACATTCATTATGACATTGTATTACCAGCGCTTCAAATTTCATTAGTAGCTAGTAGGGTTGGGCATTTTCGAATACCTGATGATTTCAGAATTTAATCGAATATTTTTTTCCAATCGAATCTCGAATACTTGGGATATATATAATTGTATGTGATTTTTTTATTGTAATTGGTCCTGTCAACAAATGAATTACTGAAAACATCACTCAGACAGATTGCTTAGCGTCCACACACGATAAGAAACACATTTATCAGTAACTCACTACAAAAAATAGTCATGTGTCAGAATAGCGTTGGGAATTTACCTCAACCATTGGCAGAAAAAACAAAACAAGATGGCAGCAATTCAAAATTTTGCTCTGAACTGATTCGGATAGTTTACTATTCGATTCAAAATGCCCAGCCCTTGTAGCCAGTAATCATGATTCCTCTTGTCAAGAAGTCACAACTGTTTGGGATCTTATAAATAGTGTTTCTTATTTTTTTCTAATACAGTGATGAAGGATTCGTGTTGTGTTATTTACTACTAGAAAATGGGTGTTATGTAGTTATATAAAACAGTAGAATAGCAGGTGTTACTTTGAAATAAAAAAATGGTAATAATAATCATCTCTTTTTATACTTATTTTCTTTTGTTCTATTTTGTGAATATTATTTTTTGTTCAATTTGAAGATGGTTTTATCATTTTTATGTCTTCCTTTCACAAATTAAGTAATATTATATGTCTATATGGTTTCATCTTGTCAGCTGGGCCAGATGTGATGAAATTGAGTTTATTGTTTATGTTAAGTCGATAATATGAAGCTTATTGCACATCCTTTTGCATGGTGGTGTCAAAAATGGAAGTATGAGTGTCTAAGGACGGACTACCTGTTTTCTTTTTCAGCGCCACCTGTCATATTTAAACAGTTTTTCTTTTCCAGCGCTTTTTGCTGCTTTTAGAGAATCTTTTGAATTTATTATTGATAAGCAGAAATAAAATATAAATTAGGCCATTTGCTTGTATTTTGCAACGGCTAGCATGGGTGGATTGCAGAAGTACATACAGCAATCCTGTCAAAATTGCACTTAATTACGCTGGATGAAGCTCCATACCATCACTTGCGGGAAAGATATAACTTACCTTCCATGTTAGAGCACTGCCGACCATGTGCATTAGCACGAAATGCTACACCATAGTTGATGTGAATAAGCAGAATGTCAGCTATTGCAACATACTTTTACCTGATAAAGGAATGATAAACACAGAAGTGAAGCAGGTGTTCTGGATCACTAGAAAAAATACCACCTTTTATGTTTAATGCTCGATTCCCCAGTCTGTAAATGGTCATTTAAATGGAACCAAAACAAAAAAGCAGCGACTTTTTAACAAAAATTATCTCTGTCAGAGAAACTCGTTTCAGATCCATGAGAAAAGTATATAGATGGTGCTACTAAGAAAGGAAGTTGGTAAACACGGCAGATTTATTGAACTATAACAAATGTTCATGTGATAGGGAAAATGTTTGAGAACATGACAATGGGACTCTGGAGACAATAGGGGTGCAGACAGTGTAGGGACCCCCATTTGAAATTCGATTTATTATGAGTGTTCTACCTTCTGCTTAGTGAGCACATCACACCACATATTTGTGGTCAAGATTATGTCGATCGTGATCCAACGAGAGTGATAGAGCATGCATTTCTTTCCTAGCTTCAAAATGTCAAGAAACAAATTTAACCCTGCTACCAGTAATAGTTTTTTAATGATTGGTCACTTGAAAGGTGAGAGTGTTACATGCATATATCAGAAATTCCCAAATTTTTGGAATACACGTCATGACACATAAAATAATATTTGACTTTATTAACTTTTAACACCCATAATGTAGTTTTACAATTCATGCACAGGTAATAAATCCAACAAGTGAACTCGGTTTTGTGCTAATAAACAATATTTACGAGACAGGATGTCCAATATCCACAAGTCGTACTTTGGGCTCAGTATTATTTAATTTTCATCTATCAACCTTTTCTAAATGCTGGTGCATGAGATATAATTGATAGAAAATGGGAATTCATTCAACAATATTACGCTACTAACGATCTTTAAGACGCAATAACACCACGTCCCTGTGAATAGCACATCTGGCGAACGATTTTAATTCAAGAATAACCCCCTGTTGAGAAATCATCCTGGCTGCGCCCGTGGTATGCATATCATTGGTCGAAACTGGTTTCACCTTGTCAAATTAGGGCAGCAGCAAGATTAAAACAGCATGAAATAGTGTAATTCAACTTATATATATATAATATACAACTTTAGAAACACTTTTTACTGCTCTGCTACTGATTGAATAGGGTAGAAATAAATTTCATCAGTGTCTCTCCGCCTTTCGATCTGTACATCTGATGTTGACCCTTTAACAAAATCATCTCGTAAATGTGGAGGTATGTCTTTGTCATCATCGTCACTCTTTAATAATTCCCAATAGCCAAGTTGCTCAATTGCCATTCGCTTTGCTGTCTCACTAATCTTCTTACTTTTGAAATATTTTTCTCGTTCTATGGTGTTTTCAACATCAATCTGTTTTTCAATATCGCATAGTTCTTTGTATTCATCAACCCATTTTGTTATTGTGTTTTCATATGCGACCTGTTCATCTTTTTCTGCTTCAGGTATGAGTGATGCCAAATTTTCATTCAATTTATCCAAGAAATTATCCTCCGAAATCAGTTTCTCAGATTCAAGAGTTGAAATTTTGTCATTCAATAAATTAATTAATTCTTCATTATCTTTCACAACTTCGAGCAATATATTTATGACGTCACGTGGTACAGGGGTACCTTCTGACCCCATAAGCCGAAGTCCTCTCTCGAAATAGCCCTTTTCCCATGATAATGGTGCCCATGGATTCTGATAAACACTACGAATACCGTTTTCTTTTTCGACCGCACCGACAATACCAAATCCAAGCATTTCGATATTTCTTATATCCATTAGCTGCCCCAATCTCAAACATATCCCACCAAAATTTCTTTTTACTGCTAAAGATTGAAACTCTGGCAGTGTGACTGCTTCAGCACTATCTTTCGTTATTTTTAGTCTTTTAAGAATTGTCATCAAACAAAGTGACTGGGACAATTTTGAGTCTAATCTTTCCAAAAGAAACATGTGTGAAGCCACTTTAAACGCCATTTCATGACTTTCATTTTTTAAGCAATCCCATAAAAACATGTTGAAAGCAACATCATCAGGAAATAGTCCATAATGTGCAGTTTCATCAAGTGCTTTTAATGCTAAGTCTTTTGCATCGTGCTCAATACATTTGCTAAACCAAATATGCATTGTCCAAGGACGCAAAAAATAGCATGCATCTGAGTGTCTAAATTTGTATAAATAGTACATGGAAGTGTCTATGTCTTCGCGATCTTCGATTGTGCGCACCATTTTATCCATCGTTAATGATGTAAATGGATAATTTCGTTCTGAACAGCGATCAATAAAAAGACATGTCGAAGACATATCCCGTAATAAATCACCATCGATGTCATTAAATTTTTTCCAATGTTTTGTATTTCCATAAGTAGTTGATAAAAAATTCCTCTTCGGAATTCTAATACAACTTAATCCAAATGATACTGTTGTTTGACGCTTCATACATGTCCCCAGCAGAGTTTTTAAGCAGTGGGCAGCCATAGACTACCGTATTCCTTCCAACATGCAGACTAGAATTGTAAAAATTAATTTTTATGACAGTTCCGCTGTGTAATGATGTACCATGTTTAAGAAAAATGATTCTGGTGTCTGGGTTCAAAACTAATAATGTATGAGATTATGGATAATTATGTGGGAGAGGATTGCTGGACTCCTCATCACAGTGACAAGAGTGAGGGGGTTACGACTTCCTCCACCATCAAGTCCATGCAAAACAAATACTGGAATACGGTACAGGTGGCGGTACCGTAACTGGCCAAATAATCCCATACCCGACATGGTCTGGTAACTCTCCCGCGGGATAAATATGTAAATCCTATCCTATCCTTCCTAACTACTGAACTACAAGCAGTCAGCAAAGAATTGCAAAACTTGACCAGACAGAGAATCCTATTAAACATGATCGTATAGACGTATACCGTACTATCTCAAAGCACAAAACAACATTCAAGTTGTTTCGCTTGCCACCAGGGGCAGAAGAGGACGGTGTGTTTTGAGAAACAAATTTTCAATGGATGTTTCCCTGAGCATCGATTTCCTTATTTATTCCGTACAAATTGCAAATCAGCGATGGGTGAACAATAACGTATTGTAACAATTGCAATTTATGCCGCCTGATAGCGTATTTTTGGTAGTTTTGCGTGCTATTTTGTCAGTTTTTAGTTATGTTTCTAAAAATAGTTGAGCATCAAATAACTTAATTGTCAATATGTCTTTCGATGGCCTTTAGTTGCAACAATCAATACTGTAATTGATGCCACAAATGCAGCGACAGCGCACAGAGTCAGCAACTATTATCCTCAGTGGTTACAGACTAGCCTAAATCTAGCTATCAGTACCTGTAAGCGACACTGCTTTTTCCAATCCCGATCCAGCAATCACTTCCTAAAATTTTCTCAAATTGTACCAAGGAATTATTATTTGACTAGTAGATTTGCCATTATTGCCGACTGAACTCAAACTGGCCTTCAGTGTTCACGCGATTACTTTGCTGGGTTTTTATTCACTATATATTACGAAAATAGAAAAGTCACACCTCTGAAAGGTAAAATCAAGAAGGGTAACTATCGTCTTCATAAATATCCGCATTCCGCCGCCAGAAATGATAATATTTTTAGCTCGCAATTGGGACGGTCAATTTTCAAATGGTGACAAGAAAGATCAAAGCCGACCCAAAAGTTAAAAATCGGAATAAAATTCAACCCGATATCCGACAATTCGCTAAAATTTTTCAATTCGGTGAAAATATACTACTTCGACCACTACTTGCGATCTGTAATCTGGCGAAACGCGGGGTAGTTCAAACATTGATGCAATAAAACCTTCATAAATTTAGTAAATTGCACTACTTTACGAAAGCGTAGTAGAATTGACGATTATCTCATGTCTCGAACACAAAATTCATAACGTAAAAAGATACGTCCAGCTGTGAAAATTGTTTATAACAACTTTAAACCTATTTATAGTGTTTTATGCAATAATAATTAATTGTTGTAATGAAATACAGTTTGTTTGCCACTTTCATTTCTCTTGCAACTGCCGACAATAGGATAGGATAGGATAGGATTTACATATTTATCCCGGGGGAGAGGAAAGCCGATAAGTCGGCTTATTCATATGGCGAACCACGGCCTCTCGTCCGGTTACCATTCCAAGTCGGGTATGGGATTAGATTTACTGTATTGTTTGTTTTCGGAAGCATGGACTTGGTGGTGGAGGAAGCCGTAACCGACCAGCGGTTACGTGAACCACCCAACGACGGCGAGGAGTCCAGAAATCCTCTCGCACATAACCATCCCTGCATGGGATTCGAACCTGCGAACCCACGCAGAGTAGTTAGAGGTGCGGTGGCGAGCGTATTCCTAACGCTTAGCCCGTTGAGCCACACCGCCGCGCCTAAACACTATTGAATAATTTTGGCAATGAGAGAAACATTGATTTGTAAGTGAGAATACATGCGATAATAATAAGGGCGTAACGTGGAAAGGCGAGCAAAACCGAATCGCGTGATCAGCGGTGCGGTAGAAGAGCACGTATTACACATGCGGCCGCGCAACTTTTGCAATAATGTGAGGTGCTCCGAAGACGTTCTCTTTTACATTAATGTAAGTAAACAGTTCTAATATCGGTAACTGTTAACTATTTGTTCGCGTTCAACTATCGCACTCTTAATGGGTAGTAAATTTTAGTAAATGTAAATACATACGTGATTTTAAGTTGTTTCAATATTTTACTTAATGCCGAAAAATTCCGGGATGAAACGGCTCAATCCCGGGATATCCCGATACCGGGATTTCCAAAACTGGTCCCGAAATCCCAACCCTATTTACGATAAAGAGATCAAGGGTCTAAGAAGAGACCATTGTACGGTGTTGTGTATAATTTGTAACTGTCATTTCAAATTATTCGTGAACATAAAACGACAAAGGGGCTAACTTGTGAGTCGCACGGCTTCAGGTTAGTATCTCAAAACAAGTATGTAAATAAAAGTAACGTTTGTATATGTGCAAAAACAATTAGGCTACTAATAAATGGATGCTTCTTGACTATATAGTTTTCTTTTCTATCCACATGCCTGGGCGTAAAGATTTAAGCTTGGCATCGAATAATAAAAACTCGCCTACCAGTGATAAAGTAGGTTTATTTCGACTTCATAATCAGCATAACAGGCAATAAAATGATTGATAAAAGCAAATAAATAAAAAATAATTATGAAAACAGGAGAGCAAATCAAACCTTGGATAAAATTTAAATCGAACCCAAGGGATTCAGTATTTCGATTTCCAGTTTAGTTTCCGGAGCTTTACCACCATATCGAAGGTTGCATGAGCTTACACCCCCATCGAGTCCATGTGTCTGAAATAAAGAACTAGTACCCTTATCCCCTATTATGGTCTGGTAACCGGATAAGGAGCGTTTGGTCGTCGACTCATCGGATTTCCACTCGCATGGGATGAACGTAAAAACCCTATGAACAAGACAGTATTTTATTCGCCTTATCACCCCAACGCAAACATTCTTTACTAGGGTTGCCATACGTCAGTTTTTTCCCGGATATGTCCGGAATATTAGTGGTCAAATTTGCGTCAGGCAGAAATGTCAAAAAGTGCTTAAATGTCAGGGATTTTTGAATACAGTGCCTTCCTGCTACAAATACTCGAGTTTTCAGATATCACTGGTCCACGAAATCGAATTTTTTAAAATATGTCACATGAAGGCTTTGTCGTGCAACACAGATTGCGCCGGATTCAGCTAACTTTGATGTCACATATGACCTGAATTGTCAGCATTTTGTAATCGGTATTTTGGTTGCACTACCGCAGAGGTCGGCAACGTTTTTTTTTCAAGTGTGACAATTTGTGAAAGCAATTTCAAAATAAACGTTTACGTGCTGATGAAAATTTTCGTTACATAATCAGATCTGAGGACAGTACAAATTGATGTAAAATTGCTTGTATGGTTTGCACTATTTGTTTAATAGTTTGCACACAAGTCATTTGTTTCAATGTACTTATCTAAATGTAACGGCAAATCAATGGAATTATTTATAATACATAAACCCCAAACCACATTTTCGCATTCTATTTCGGTGTGATCTCCGTCCTCGCTTTTTCTGATTAGAGCTTTAATATTTGGCTTATAAATTGTAGCTTTTAGCTGAACGCAAATTTCGCAAATATCAGCCGAGAGACAAACTTCATTTGCAAAAAAATTTCACACAACTACCAAGATCCGAATACATGAAGCAAGGCTTTTACAACGTCCCCGAAGTCACCAAAAGTAATCCAACGGCAAACTTGGCTATAAGACTTCCCACGCTCGGCGATACTTTCTGCAACTTTGTGGCTCCCTTCGTAGTTTTTGACTTGTACTCTTTAGCTTTTTTTCAAATGCAACTTTGTATGTCGTAAAGAGAAACTGCCTTTTTGAAGCGCTACATGCTTCTCCGAATCAACTTTAAATCATTTTTTGTGTTTGGTTCCAAAATGACCTTTAATACTTGAGGTACGGCAAATGACATTTGTTCAGCAGAGTGTACATACAGCTCTGCCATTACGACAGACAAATCCGGTTCAATACGGAATAAACAGCATACCGGCATGCGAGAAACATCAAGAGAGCTACGCCCAAATATATGGACACGTCTGTTCGCAGTACAGTACGGTTTACCGTACCGTCAGATCACAGTCTACAAATATATTCACACCAAATGAAGCAGTACAGTAGGACACAAATGGCGTCCGATGTCTGCACAACGTTTAATGACGTCATAGCAAACAAAAACAAATCTCACAGAGCTAACAGAAATAGTTAAAATGAATAAAAGTAATAGCCTTCTGTGGAAAAATTTTATTTTCAACCACTGAAAATTTCAAAGCAATTGGTCCAGTATTCGAAAAGGAAGGGTGATTCCTTCCAAACGTGTCAATGAACAAGGACACTAAGAACAACAACAACATAATATTGAAACGATCGCTATTTCCACTACGTGTCCAATAAGAATAACAACAACATAATATTGAAACGATCGCTATGTCCACTACGTGTCCAAAAATGATAATGACGATTTACAACGAATCCACGACCTCTCAAATGCAACGCGGGAAATACGAACCCTCTGCGGTAGCTGTATGCTCTAGCTGTCTGGTGATGCCGATGTTCAGGTACCGGTAGGCAATCCTGAATGGTTTATTAATTTTCCATGATAGCTGATAATACAGTACCGGTACCGATACAGCAGGAAGGCACTGATTAGGCCATACCGGTAGCGCAAGTTACGGCTGTAAGGTACGGTATGCCAGACATCTGCACATCATGCTACAGTGCTGAGGGACAACACTAAAAGGCTGAAGGAAGAAACGGATGAAGTGGAGGGAAAACGGAAGTTGAAGTGTTCCCAAAGGTGAAAAATTAAAAAACACTACATTTCTTCCGACGAATAATTGGGTGGTTGAAGTCACTAAAAAGCTGAACACTAAAAGAAAGAAGTGGATGACATTTCTTCCGACGAATAATGAGGTGGTCGAAGTCACTAAAAAGCTGAACACTAAAAGGAAGAAGTGGATGAAATTTTTTCCGATGAATAATGAGGTGGTTGAAGGCACTAAAAAGCTGAACACTAAAAGGAGGAAGTGGATAAAATTTCTTTCGACGAATAATGAGGTGGTCGAAGTCACTAAAAAGCTGAACACTAAAAGGAAGAAGTGGATGAAATTTCTTTCGACGAATAATGAGGTGGTTGAAGTCACTAAAAAGCTGAACACTAAAAGGAAGAAGTGGATGAAATTTTTTCCGACGAATAATGAGGAC